TGCTTGAAGTGTGTGTGATGTGTACCACTCGGTTATCATATCTTTTCCTAGTTTGAGACATCTTGGTTGAAGAACTGCCTCTAGCAAATATCATTTCCAGTACCAGAACATTATGTATTCTTTACATGATGCATTTTGCTGTCCAGTAAAACAAATAGCTACTGATAAATAACCTGGACTAACAAAACACTTGGGGTGAGTAATTTGTCTTTTACATTACTATTTCATGACAATGAATGTTAAGGCCAGTGATCGTTTTTAAACCAGCGGCTAATATCTTGGCTGAAGCACTTGTAAATTTTGTCATGTTTTGATACATACCCCTGGATGGGAGTGCTTGCTGACAGTGTTGAGACATCAACCAGTCTCACTCGGCCAAGTACTATAAGTGATGGACCATGAACTACCTCAAATATCAGGGCTCCCATATCTAAATAAACATATCTACAAAGTTAATTCCAAACATGTCAGAGAACTGGAAATATATAGATTAATTTGTAATTTGCTTGGCACAGTAGTTACTCCCACGATTTTTTTTTCAAGTTAATGATGAGTTCCAGCACTTCTCTTTCCTACACCAACTCCTGTACTGAAATAATAAACAAACCTACAAGGACAATGAAATGTAATTTATCCCTGCATCATTGCTTTGAAATGAATCATATTTGGTATACAAGAAATGGTCATCACACCAGGAGCCCACCCATTTAACAATGTAACAGAAGAAAACAATAATTGAGTTATAATTTTTTTCCTTATGAATCACTCACCATTTAAATATGCACTAAATTGTCTTGGACCACTGCATACTGCATATCTTACACATGTCAGCCTTGTGTAATCTTTTGTCTGTTCATCTGCCTTGTCATCTAAAGGTCTGTATTGTTTTGATTATAATATATAAAAATGTAATAAATTTGTGGATTAGAATTCCAATGAACATTGGTAGGGTAACAGGTCCACAAACTTGGTAAGAGAGGGACTCTACTAATGAAAGTATACCTACAGAACTAAGAGGTTTCATGTGAGTGGATGTTCACCATTTTTTTCCATATTTTAACCCTTTTATACTCCCTATCAAAATATGATTGTTAATTCTCCCTATCTGCTACACATTTCCTGGTAAATTACACACAAGAATTTGGTGTTAGATCAAGGCAACAACTTCTACCTGATAAGTTTCAGTATTCTTATTACCTGTTTGCTGGATGATGCATGTATATTGTTGGGAGAAGTTATATTTCCATCACTTTTGGGAGTTAAGGGTTAACTAAATTAAAAAAAAAACAAAATTAACAGCCTACCTTAACAGTACACCATCACCATCTTCTCCCCACCATCTGAGTCGTACTTGGACATCTGTTGGATACTTTTGAACAATCCAGTGAATTCTTGGCACAGACACTCTTAAAAAACACCTAAGGTGACCATCTACAGCAGGGGGGAGACTGGTCACCACTGGTATTCTGTCATGATCAGACACTGTGCTTGTTGGGGTACTGGAAACTAACAATGAACATAGAGTAAAATGATCGTTTAGAGTTCTGCTAGAAAATAATATTGAAAAGAGGTCACAGTAGCTAGTAGTACTTGTTGATAACATCTTCTTGGTGTTTACACCTTTAGCACATTTTCCAAGGTAGAACCAATCATGCCAGATAGGTCAAAGTGATGGACCATTTGACAGGTAATATAAGGAGAAAGGTCAATAATAGACAAAAGTACAAATAAATGATTGCCATGTATTCCTCTGTATTACTGTAATTTACTAAATGAAACTAAACAAAACAAATCAAATGAAATTCTGTAATTTACTATAAAAAAAACTCTGTAATTTGCAAAACAGAAATCTGTAATTTAAGCTGTAAAGTGCACATCCATTTTGAAGTATTAGTATGCACTGTACCTGTACTGTATATGAGGTATAATCAATATAACTAATCAATGACTAATAAGAATGCATGACATGACATTTTTGTTGCAGTAAAAGGTATATGTATCATATTTCTAGATGAAATATCTTTCTAGATAAAATATCATATTTTCTGGGAAAATAAAACTGACCCAAGTTCTTTGCCATTCTTGAATGTCAGGCATGTAATTACAATTTGAACTGCATGCTAAAACCTTTTGGAGGAATGATATTTGAATCTTGTTTGTTTGTTTTTTTTTTAACCAAGACATCTGCGACAAAAGTTGGTATGACCTTTTCACTCTTTAACTCCCACTCTTTTTAATTTGTTATGAGAATTTGGTATTAGATCAAGACAATAACCATGAGGTGGCCATGGTAAGGAATTACACAAAAGCTCTGCATTGGTGGATGTTCCTCTGCACCAATAATACAAAACAATACATGAGCATTATTGACTAGTTTAAAAGACAGTTGATAGATAGTACAGCAATGACAAAATTGCTTCGGTGTCATTTTCCATCAGTAAATAATGTTATCACTCTGGCTACAGATCTGTCATTAATTACATCATTGTTTGGCAAATCACCAAATTAAACTCACATTAGGATATGAACTTTATTCGTTTGTCTCACGATGGAGTCACTTTGGACGTTGATTGCACCATTTAGACTGCAATACTGCTAATCTTCATCAGGTGATGAGGTCGATTGTTTAAGTGTCGCTCTGTCATGTTCTTTTATCCTTTCTGGCATTGATCTCCCCATTTTACCGATATAAACTTTGCCGCATTCACGGATCTTGTAAACAACACCATTTCGTTTTTTTGGTTCCAGAGTGTCTTTAGGTCGCACTTAGTGCGACCTAAGGACCCTCTGGAACCTGAAAAAACATTCAAAGTGACTCCATTGTGAGACAAACAAATAAAGTTCAACCCATATCAATACACCACGATGAACTAATAACCACATATTTTATTACATTAAACTCACGTTTTACTCAGAATTAGAGGAGGTTAACTGAGATGTATGGCTCGCAAAGAAATAACATAAAACCAAAACTTCGATACCTTTCCATACAACCTCGGTTGCCAGTACCCCTCCCCTCAACTATTGAAGTCAAGTAACAACGCCAATTTCAGTTAGAAACCTACCAGAGCCTTGCTCTTTCTTGGTTGAGTTGGAGCTCGTCTTCTTCTTCTTTCCAGCCTTTCTCTTGGAGTTTATCATCTCAAGTTCTTAAAATAGCTTTTAATCTATCTGTTTGTGAAGGTAATCATGCTGTGAAGTAAACAAGGGGTGGAACAAAGGAACTTAGTACTAAAGCAAGTTGAAGTTCGATTTTCCCGCCATGTTTATTACCCGAGATTCATGGTGGCGGAGATCATTTTATATAAGAAGCCATAAATTGTCAACCAACTTGGTTACTACAGGCGACGACCAGAAAGGCCGGTAGATTATTCCCTCTTTTGCGGTATTTTCACGAAAATGGCTTTCTTCGATGATAGAAATGAATCGTTGACGTTTTAGTGCCCCCCCCCATTCAATTTAGGTAGAGATGGCCTTTTATGGTCATGAACAAAAAAATGGAGTAGCATCGGTCGTCACTCCACGAAATGCATACTAACGGTAAACATAGCGTTCATGGCTTTCGGTTTGCTGAAAAGCTCCGTCCCATCTTTTATCACCGGTAAATTGGAAGGAAGTTTGCATTGTGGTCCTTCTCTTGCACACTGTGACAACTTCACCGAATTGCCCAGTTTAACAATGTATTAGGAGGATGTTACTCCATCCCTCCCCCAAAAAAAGGATAATGACAATAATAATAATAATAATAATAATAATAATAATAATAATAATAACAATAATAATAATAGACAAACAAATTTGGCTGCTCAATTAATTCAAAGGGTCTGATATTCACAGGATCTGGCTATCGTCAGCATATTCCGAGGGCAAACTAGAGCTCGATATCGAAGCACACAATCTAAAACAAACATGTTACGCATGCAAGAGTTTCTTTTTGTATGGGTGGGTTGAAATGGGGCGCTACGTAACTACTGCTTGCACTTTTGAAAAAGAAAAAGAAAAAGAAAAATTGCCCAACGACCTACTTAACCCCGAAAGATCAAAGCGAAAAGGTCAAACATAAACTATTACACTAGGTAGCTGAGCTCAGTATTCTTTGTTTATGCCGTCCTTAGTTTATGCGTGTGCGTGTGTCAATGTTGGATTGATTCCATCGCAACATACTACTGTACTCTAATTTCATGACATGATAGGCATGAGGGACGATACTCTGACGTTCTGACTGGTGCAAGTCTACCCCAGTGCTGTGATCTGGATGGTGCGAGATACATACCCTAATGCAGCAAGCTGATTGATGCGATACATACCTTAATGAGGACAACTGGCGTCCTCGGATTGATGCGGTGGACCATGTTCTAAAATCCTGGCGTTCTCGCTCCCTGTCTCTCCGTGGCAACGTGGTGGAACATAGTTCCACCGCATTGCGTCGACAAGTTTACTCCTATGTACCCCTCGACTGGCCGATCATGTAGTGCTCCCTGTCCTTTTTCGACCCCGATCGTCAGGTCATCATTTTTGGGCGGGTGTGCCTGTTCATTGTCTGGTTTGAGTGAGTACGCTTAATTTTCAGTTTGGAGTGGGTGTGTTTAATTTTTAGGTGGGATTCGATTCCCTAAGAATTTGGTGTCTAGTGACCCTCGGTTTGCGGTGAACCCAACCCTAAGGCATTGCACTCCAGCCATAGGTTGGATCAGACTTGTTGATCGGCAGGCATTGCACCGCCCTCACGGGAGCCTGGCCGTTCGCCTCAAAACATAGAAAAAACACTCGATGTGCTAACACAGTTATTTTTTAAACAAAAGAATTTTAGTTCTCCGAGTCTTCACGATCTTAATAAAATCTAAAATGTTCGGCATGGGACGCTGCGTTTCACTTTGACTGTCATCAACAGTGCGACGGAAAAAATGTTTAAGAATGTTTTTGAGGTTAGGTATGTACATACATAAACAACCAGTCCAATCAATGACAAAGGAGACAACTTTAATAACATTAAACACACGTCAAAACTTCTAAAAATGATGAAAGTAACAACATAGTTAAAAAAGTTTGAAAATGCAACGCCCAACAAAACGACTCCAGTTTATACCCAAAACGATAAGTGAATCATTAAAGTGACAGATAGCCTATCGCTAGGAGTTAACAAATATCCGTTAACTTTTGATTAGTTAAGTCCGATTTCGGACGCTTGCTAGAAAACCCAAGATAGTGACCTCTGACTACATGAGGGTCAAACACCTCTTTCCTTCATTTGTTAATCGATACAGACCTGATGCTAACGGAGCAAGGTTGCTCTGAAAAGACAGAGAGAAGTATATTCGGCTCATCAAATAGCCACAGGCGAATTCGTCTTATTCCCACCATGCCAAAGCTTACACATTTTAAAGCTGTTTTTTGTCAGACAGTTTAAAATTGTCTTCTTCGTCGAAGCTGCTTAGACCAATTTTTGTCGATTTTCAAGTTGGCACATTGAAAATACAAATGACTACTTCAAGCATAAGGGAAATTCAGTTTTCTAATTCTCGTTTCTGTTTTCATTCAGTTAAACATTGATAAACTACACATGTTTCGCTGATGTGAATGGTGCATAAGTCTAACATGGTTCAAAACTAAAAAGCGCAGTGGAATACAACTGAAAAAAAACAAAACAAAACAAAAACTCGACAGTACAATTCAAAGGCCTGTAATTTTCCCTCCTGAACAAGAAAGTACTTTGAAGAGAAAATGACCGCGATTAACACAGATTTCTTCAATAGAGATAAAAATCCTTGAATCCATAGGGTGTTAATGGACATGAATGCCAAAAATTCAATGAGCTTAACAAAAATACCAATTTAGAAATCTACGAATTAATAAGTTTTACTATGAGACTTACTGATTCGAACTACGCGAGCTTTAAGGTCAAGCGCACTAAGATGGTATTCATTACAGGGGGTGGCAGAGGGGATCTTGATCCCGTTTCACGCACGAATTTTAGAGAAATTCACGCGGGACGTATATCAAAGGGGAAACTTCAAATCCCTCTTCTTTTCTACAAGGTTTCAGGGAAATCTTAGGGTTTTATCGCATGAAAGAAACAATTCACGGGTCACGTATATTTCAAGAGGCGAATTACGCCTTCATAAATTTACAAATCACGCTTGCCTTTCTGTAAATTCACGCGTCACACATTAAATTTGGCCCTAATCACGCGTCACATATCAACCCTTTGCCATCCTCGTTATAATTGATTTATTTTTTATGTTACTGATAAAACAATGGTATATAAAATTGTGTAAAATAATGGTTACAAACATCTTGGATGGCTTATTCCTCGTCGTCATCTGAGCTACTGTCAACTCTTCGTCTCTTTTTGGAGTTTCCTTGACTACTGTTCTTGTAAGGAGAAGTGCTCCGCTCGTTCTTTCCTCCATTATATTCGTCCTCCGAATTACTGGAATCACTATCAACCACTCCCTGAAGTCGGCTGAACAGTTTAGGGTTTGAGTTTAGGACGGTACTGGGTGTTGGCTTGCGATCTGATATTATACGGCTGCTTCTAGTTGGCCGCCCTCCACCATCTAAAGTAATAAATAATAAACTAATTTACCAACTAAACTGATCTTTGGAAGATATGAATTATCTTGTTTAAATGTCACACCCTAACTCTGGCTGCAACTAACTCAAAACGTCTCAAAACAAATTTTTTAAGGTGTCAGCGCCTTCTCCATCTTTCTAGAGCGCACCTCAAGTAATTTCAATACTTCTCAACAAATTAGTAGCTTTTAATCGGCAAAAGGTCTTCGGTCCCAACGCAACTGCATTCAGAATGAAAGATAAAATGAATAATATGGCAAGTAAGTATATGTTTCGTGAAAAGTCTGACATTCTCTGCTGAAAGGAATATCATTTTATATTAGGGAACATCGTCAAGGGTTGAAATAACTTCCTTCTGAATAAAATTTGAGAAAGGTAAATGGTTCTTTTTAAATATGTAAGGAAAGAAATTTCATGGCCTACAATTTTGCGTTCAATCTGCCATGACACCTGCACCTGAACAAAGAGAACTCGCTACTCAATTTTTCCGTTTAAGGTCACTGCTTTCTAACCTGTGGAGATGATATTGCCACAATCAAGCTCAGCTACTTCATCTGCTTCCTCCCTGGCCTGCTTGAACTCCTTACACATACCAAGCGATATTCTTCCTGAATAACAGAGAAATGGTTACATATACACTAACAAACCTACACCATCCAAAGTACTTCCTACCATCACTTAAACATTTACCAAATAAAGACAAGGACAATTAATAAACCAACCTGTATTTTCCAGAGGACGAAGCAGTGAAAACTATGAATTTTGCAGTCTGATAATTAGAAAAACTAATTATGTGACCAAATTAAGTATTATTAATGAAATTTTACCTTCAAACCCAGTATCCTTTCGCAGCACTGTTTCTAAAACTGTCTCTTTCTGAGACATGGAATTACATGCAGCAAACAGTTTAACATAGTTTTTACGCAGTCCACAGGTTCGAACAAAACGTTTTAAGTTTTTTAGTCTAACACTGTCTGCAGAAGGTGGTGATGACTTTTTCTTTCTTCTAGAGGAGCCTATCTCCTGCAAAACAATGAAATTTACTCATTCAAATCCTGAGAGGAGCAATGAAAAAGAGCAAGAACTTACCAACTTGTCTTGCTGGCCAATTCAGTGTAACCCCATGTTGTTGGCCAAAAAATCAACGTGGCCCTTAAAACGGCAAAACTTTTGTCATCTTGAGGCTACCCAAGTAGACAAAGTACCGGTAATTTCATGTGCTCAATTAGACAAAAAAAGCCATAAGTTGGTTTGTTCATCGTAGTAAGAACCTGGTTTTCTTTAAAGTGTTTGAAGTCGTTCACCAAATGGGTGTTTTGCCCAAAATAGAAGTTGATTTGCCTTGCAGTCTATCAAGTCTTGGCATATTCATACCACTGCCAAAAATCTTTCAAAAATATTCCCTTAAAGCAAAAATACTCTTGATGGATGTTTAACATGGTTTGTGCTAAGATGTGGAAGCCCCCATAAAAGTTTGAAGAGCACAAACAACTCAAGCTTCTTGAGCTAAAACTTTTTATATTAAGTTATTCAGTAAATATTTAGAACAAGTGAACACTTGCTCATTAAGTGAACTTGGTTAAGTACTCTGCAAAGCAATATGAAAGTGGTTCATTGTAAAAGTGCCCCAAAATTTAATGCAAGCATTTTTCTTCCCTTTCTGTCTGGTGATAATAATGTTTCAGCTACCTCTGACTTCCCTTTCTGTTTTCCCTTCCATGAATTATCATCATCATTCACCCTCACATCACTTTGGTCTGCTTCATGACCATTTTTCCTTCCACCTCCTTGTGTTTGTTTATGTATTTCATCATCAATGTCATGGTTAAATTCCATAGGTTCTTCATCTTCATCTCTCTCCAATGTCTTTTTCTTTTTGGATATATTGTTGTTCCTTACTACCTCACTGTCATCATTCGATACCTCTGCATCCTCAACACTTTCCACTAACACCTTTTTAGGTATGCTCTTTTCTTCTCTTCTTTCCTCATCAATTTCTGGATCATCATCAATGTCCTGGGATATTTTTCTCTTCTTAAATGGAGATCTCTTGATTTGCTCCTTGTCCTTACTTTTTATCAAAATCAATGTAGACTTTCCATTTAGCTTTTGAGAACTTTTTCCATTTGAAACAGTATTCCTTTGATCTATATTTTCCTTGTCCATTGCTTCTTTCCCGTATTCATTTGCTTCTCTTTGTTCTTTGTATTGTTCTCCAGACAAATCATTGGTGTTATCAAGTATTTCATTGTCACAAATGTCACCTAAATTTGTATCATGCACATTAGATGATCCCTTTTTGTTGTCTATTGAGTGTTTTCTTTGCCTTTGCTTTGAATTGAAAGATGAAGTGGATGTTGTGGCATCACTTGAGTCATCAGCTGTCTGGGAATCTTCCACACTTGACTCTAATGAACAACAATATTTTATAAGCTAGGAACTAAGTAAACAGTGTTCTTACATGTAAGTCAAGTCAAGGTACACTTCTTGTTAAAACAAAGCTCATACAAGTTAAAGGTTTCCAATTTGTACTGTGAAGGGCTGTCAAAAAGTTTGAAAGAACCTTTAGATGGCAAATAAGAAGTTATAAGTAACCTAGTTATCCTGACCTTGTTTCAACAGATTTCAAACAAGACTAAGACCTCTCCAGCTAAAATGTCCCAGCATCCCACCATGCTTACACCAACCATTGAGTATATGCTAAACAAGTGTTGGGATTACGTTGAGTGTCAACCACATATACACATCCGTCTCATTCCAGTTTTTATTGAGTACAACGTGTTACAATGCAGTGAAAAGTTTGATCCTGCGTAAAAAGGGTAAAGGAAACTCTGTGGGAAAGTGACCCAGTTACTCCGAAAACTCCTATAACTCCGATAGAAAACTCTAGATGGATATACTCCGATAACTTACTCCAACACTCCGATATGTGATACTACAGAGATTATGTAAGCAACAGGCTTTAAACATGATAGGCGGCTAATAACATGATCAAATACACTCTGATAAATGATTAAAAGAATGAACAATGAAACGATAATAGAATTTAAACGATAGTAGATAATCACACAAAACAAAACAGTTCAGTTCATTTCAGTTCAGTTCGCTTGCTGAACGTTCGTCACAATGGCAATATGTACACTTACAAAACTGTCACTGATATATCATATAACTCAGTTCCTCTCAAAACTTACAAATAGCTCTTTCAAAAATTTCAGATAGTATTTCAATCATTGCACAGTTTTTCATCAGTAATGACAATAAAATGAGATGAAAGTAGCCAGCTGCTACTGTCCCTGTCTAACAGCTCTGAATATATTCAAGCTAAGCTAATCATGGATGACTTGATCTATTTGAACTAGAATATTTGTCAAAATATTATTTAAATGATGGAAATGTACACTGAAAGTATATTTTGAAAATGGCGACTGTTTTTTAACACTCTCCTTATCACCACCTGAAAGCCATTCTTCCATTTAATTATTAAGTGTGATAATTGAAAGGCTCAGAGCAAGAACGACCCCTTGATTTTTCGGCCATTTTTGAAAGTGTTCAGAAGTAGTTGAATTTTGGCATGTGGACTTAGTTTTACTCGATATACACTGTTTTGGTTATTTTTTCGCGGGTTTGCGCTTCGTTTTCGAGAAATAACGTATGCAAAAAACCTTGAATTTTGTAGCGGCTTTCATTGAGTGAAGCCGAAACAAAAGAAGCCTTTTGTTTCATCAAAACAATACAGCCCCCGAGAACTTGCATATTCATAACCAGCTTAAAGAAAGAGCATGTTTTTTGTTTTGAGTTTAAAACACCGTTTAGCAAACGTAAAATATCCTTGAACAAACTCGCGCTACGGCAGAATTGAAGACAAAACCAAAGATACGTTGACATAGCCAAAAGTTTATACGAAAACATTATTGGAGTAAGAGTAGAGATAGATTTGAGGTCTTATGAATGACTGTTATTCATGACAATCTGTCACCCACAAGAGCTTTTTCCCAAGATACCCTTACCTTGGTGGCCACAGTATACAATTGACTGTTACTCCTAGGTACAACCCTGTCTATCTTTTCATAACATTTACAGTTTCTAACCCCCAGCCCCCACCCTACCTTGCAATATTAAACCTTGAATTACCTTCTCTAGCATCACACCCTTGAAAAAGTTCTATATATAAGTAAGTATATTTATATCAAATTCACCTTGATCACCTTCACTTTGTCCTTGATTTTTATTAGTATAAAAAGCATAGATATTATGCACAGTCTTTTTGAAGACTTCCCTCTGGTAAGCTTCCAGTTTCTCTAATCCCAGGTGTTCAAGAAATTGATGACGTAATGATTTGACAGTAAGCCTCCTACATAAAAAAATCAAGGAAACTAAAATTGAACATTGGATTAATCCAAAATGGATCTGTCACAGGTCTTATCTTTTTTAAGATAACTGAATATGATCAAAGGAGGTAGCTGAGAGTAAACATACAAAGTTTGTTTGAGAATTTAAAGTAAAGGAACTCTTCTATAATACTGTGGGAATCATAGTTGGACCATTAACATTTACAATTTAGGGCCAGGGACACCAACACAGAGCCACAAAGGACACGCTCTTTGACCCCTAAAATAAATTTCAAGAAAGGGGAAGATCAGAAAAAGACTCTTGCGAGAAGTCTCAGGGCAACAGGGAATAAATCGATAGTCACTCATATTCGATAGTCACTCACTCATTCAGTCATTCATATTCAATTCTATGCAAATGATTGGCTGGAAATTTCGCAGACTAGCCCCATTGGAGCAATATTGGATCAATTTATCGTTATTTGCGGGTACACTTGCAGTTTGGCGGAGCAACAACTTAAGAGCATTGGAGCGCGGAATCCGAAGGTCGGAGGTTCGATTCCTCATGGGGCACTCAGAATTTTTTCTTTGTCCCGAGCTCGTGACAAGATGAAAAAAAACCATCTATTTCTATTTCTTTACCGGGCTCAAAAACTTACCATCTCTCTTATTTCTATTTACAAACATTACGCTATCGACATTGCTGATCCTAGCAGTACGCAAGACGCGAGTCATATGAACTTCGTAACAGACCTCGCTCACCGTGGAGTCTCTGTGACTAGTTGGTACAGCATTGGAGCGCGGAATCCGAAGGTCTGAGGTTCGATTCCTCATGGGCTACTCAGAATTTTTTTCTTTGTCCCACGTATGTGACAAGACAAAAATAAACATCTTTCTCAACTTACCCAATGTTATCGCTCTTCCTGAACACCCTGTGTACAAATGTCTTCATCATCGCTTCGTCAATATCTTCAGTCATCTCTTCCGATTCGAAGCTCTTATGTGTCCGTTATCAAAAGTAAAATACTCTCTCCTTAATGTTTAATGCTTGAGTCTAGAAGCGTCTGGCAGAAAGTGGCGGGAGAATCTTCTCTTTACCAGCTTCCCTCGATCTTCCTCAGCAGGACTAGTAATCAGCGGTTGAACATTAAAAGATTATGCGTAGTACCAACATTCAAGATGGCGGAGGTAAATTGGTTCTTTGCGCTTGCAACCTTCTCTCATTCTTTTAACTGATTCAATGAGTATTTTTTGTTTCAGGACATTGTAAAGCATTCAGTTCACACCCTTGTGTTTCGTTCTCTGAAGAGAAGTCATGATATGTTTCTTCATGATAACGCTCTACCGCTGAAAAGGGATCAAAAAAGGTAGTGTTTGAAGATAAGTTACCTTTGGTTCTTACAAGAATCCTTTGCCTTGGAGTGTAAATTGCAAATTTTTTGGTGCTATTTCAGAATAGTAATCTATTGATTTCAGTAGAATAGCTTTAGAATGGCCTCAGCGCATCTAGCATACTATTCTTTTTGTTTAAATGTCAATGTAGTAGGTATCCAACACCTACTCTTCGCATAATTTCTTTGTAATCTTTGACGAAATGGATTGTAGATCCGAAAAATAGGATAAGGTCCTGAAAATGTCACATTTTTTTTGGTTCGCAACTTCTCAGCGTTAACCAGTTTTGTGACCAGTAACTGACAGCTTAATCTGAGTTCCAAAAATATTTGGTTCACAACTTAACCCTTGCAAGTGATAAACGAGGAGTGTGAAATATGAAGGGATAACTCCTTTCCAAATTACAAAGAACTGAACATACATATACATCTCATGTCTTTCCTCAGTTGTAGAATTGGTAATTTTTAGAAAATGGTTGTGGTACTATGAGCACCCTGACTAGACAAAAACCTGTTGTTTATTGCACCAGTAAACCCATAGAAATTTTTTGTTGTTGTTGTAAGTTTACTTTGCAAAAGCAATAAACTGCACTTTCTACAAGTTAGCTGTTATAATAACCCACTTCAGTTGTGGGAAGAACACTTGGAAAGTCTGCAAACTGTGGCTTGTGATTTACAAACTTTTCTGTTGTTGCCCCAACATCCCATGTGAGTTATTCGGCAAGTAAATGGGTAGAAAGTATGGTCTGTAGCTTGAATAAATTTTATTGGGCAGAGTTTTATCAAACTTTAATGTTTTTGACATTGTAATGTCATAGTGGGTCATCTTTCCAAGGAAGGGAAATGAAGTTTAAACTGCTTTGAGACATTTTGAACACATCTTACACACATACTGTATACATTTTTTTACATAGTGATGAAGTGAAAAGATTATGCAAAGTTCGTGATGAATATTTTGTGGTGAAAGACTTGGTTCCTGCTAAAGAAAACACTGCATCAAACAGAAATCCAGCAACTGGAGAGTACCCATCACAAGAAGGTAAGGGACACTCTTTAAACTAAAGAAGAGTAAATATCTTTTGATTCAATTCATACTTGGCCAAATGTTATTTTCCTATCTATCTCACACAGATTTGTATTAAACTTAGAAACAGTGAAGAATAAAATTTGACCCAAGCATGGAATTAAGTTGCATCATGTACATACCTCATGTTAGAATTACCAAGTAAAAATGTTTGTTATTTGTTCAGGGAGCCAAATTTTCATTTCAAGTTTTGAAGTATTTTCATTTAGGGGTGAAACTAGAGAACTGATGCTTTTTTTTTCTTTTCTTACCAATATTCACCATTTTCTCTAACCCTCATTTACAAGAGAAATGTCATCCTAATGAAGGAGTGTAAAAGCGTCATTTCCCTGAGGGAAATGAAATTGGCTGTTGACTTTCTTTTTTTGTTCTCAGTTTCAGATGTGCCCCCATTAATACAAGGATCACATCCTTATCCATCAGCACCAAGTAATCTATAACAACTTCACATCCTGTATAGTTGTTGTGTCACTTAAGCTCATTACCTTGAAAAGTACTGGAAGGTCAAATACTTAAATCTTAGTTTTAGCTATAGCTGTGGTTACACACTGACAATGTGTTTCTACGCCAGCTGTACCCTTAATACTCCTTTAGTTTAACTTTTTTCAAACTCTTGTCTCCCTTACTTTTGTATCACGACTTGCTGAGTTTCAGTAAAGAATATTTGGCAACATTAGTTTGTATATGTTATATTTTCTGAAGCACATCAATTATTTTTCTTTGAAAATTCAGCAATGAGGTATTTTTAAAACTGATTTTGTTTATGTTAGGTGTTGCACTGACTGCAGACACTGCAGCAAACATAAGGTCCCCATCGCAGGCTGGAGTTCAACAACTCATGTCAGGTTTGCCACCTTCAGCAGCACAGTGAGTATTTTGTCAAGATACTTGTACAATTGTAAGGAATTGTTATCAATTTTCATATTTCCCACTTAAAGTTGCTATAGTTGCTGTTACTTTTAACAGATATGAAATTTTATGACTGAGCAGAAGAATTGTTTGCTTGAATTGAAGGACTTCTACCTGCAGATAATCTTTCAGAAATTTATCATAAACTCAATTAAATAACTGAGCTTGATTGTATTATCACTTTTTTATTCTGTTTAAATCATAATTTTTATAAAAACTCACAGACTCCAATCCCAGAAAGAAAGCCCAGGTGTTTTGGCCATTCAACAGAAGGCTTCAGCCTCAGGTGGAAAGGAGAGACTTGGGCCTTCATCTAAAGCATTGGTTTCTGTTGGAGGAAACAAATCATCAACAGCATTAATTCAGCAAAAGAAAGCGGCAACCTTGCCCAAACCACAGTGGCATCCACCATGGAAACTCATGAGGGTAACAACTTTGCCTTTTCATCTTATTTGTGAATTGATGGCTTTAAAAAAAGGAAAATACATTTTTTACTGAAAAATTAAAAGTTAGTCAATCAACCAAAGATGTATGTACTTTTTCTTTAACATATTTTAATTTTTTATTTGTGTTTGCACTTGATGCATGTGTATTATGGGCTCACCAATTTCTAAAATACTCAATATCACTGATGTAATTATATTGGATGATAATTGCAAGTAAGATGAGAATGAGCTCCTGTCAATAATTTTTGAAAATGCCTTTGACTTTTGGTGACTTGTGCTATGAGAAATTATTGTAAATATAATCTTCTAGAAATTTCCAGACTGCTGAGTCATGCTGACTTACATATCAGAGAACTTTCCAGGACATTTCATCAAGTCATGTATTTATTATGTAATATTACCAAAATAGTTCTTGTGTAAGCTTCTGGAATGTTCCAGAACACTTTATGAATGTATATTAAGACTCGCTTATGTAGTAAGAGAAGTAGTTATCATCAGAGCAAAAACTGTTTTGAAAGCTATACTAAGAAGTTATTGCAGAAGACTGTGGATATAGACTGTGCTGGATGTAATTATGTTTATTAACGATAAGTATCATATTATGTTTAGGAGTGGCTCCTTGTTAAGAACATTACTCGCTGTTTAATAAAGTAGTTGAGTTTGTGGGACTGTAGTGTTTTTCTGTTTTTTAGATTACACCATAACTCTTGTTGCAGGTAATCAGTGGCCATACTGGTTGGGTAAGATCAGTTGCTGTAGAGCCTGGTAACCAGTGGTTTGCTACAGGATCTGCTGACAGGACAATCAAGGTACAGCAAGAACATATTTCAACTCTAACTCATCTTCAAATCTTTAGCCTCTGAACATAAGATCTGCTGATGACAGATAAAGATTAACTGTCTTTTTTGGCCTTGTTTAAAGAAGCACACATCTTGTGGCTGGGGTTACTTCTTGATCTAAATTGTTGTCCACCCTCCCTTCAACTTAAGTTCCTAAACAGCTGTCCATGCAAATTCTATATAAAACCAGAAACTTGTTCCAAAAAGAATATTTTATGTAAAACAAGAATTTGAATATAACAGTAACAGGATAGCTGTATTTGAAAAGGAATACTGAAATACAAAATTACTCATGTTATGAAATGACCCTAAATGGACAACTTTGTCATAGAAAAAAACATGAAATGTTTGTTGTTGCAAAAAGTCCTTCAACATAGGACAACAACCCCATTAAAGATTTGTCTCTTTAGAGGCAACCTGGTTTTTTGGTTAGAGGCAACCTAGCCTGTTCATCCACTGACATATATCTGGCTGGTTTTTGGTTTATCAAAGTAGGCTTGTCTCAATTTTAACCAAGTTACTTGAGATATGAAGCTGTGAGCCAGGGCCTAGATGTTTAAGTTGCTTGGTGTGCATTGCTTTTATCTCTTGCTGTGGAATGATGTAAGATTTGTGGCAATTTATTTACAAGAATGCCATCTGTCATGACATCATCTTTGAGTACAACTTATGATTTATTTTATTCAGATATGGGAGCTTGGAAGTGGCAAACTTAAGTTATCCCTAACTGGCCATATAAGTACTGTTAGGGGTTTGGCTGTGAGTCCAAGACAACCATATCTGTTTTCATGTGGAGAGGACAAACAAGTCAAATGCTGGGACTTGGAGTACAACAAGGTACTTTTACATTTCTTGAGTAAAATGACTCATTATGCTTACTCATCAATCACTCTATCAATTTGTTTTAATCAAAACTTGTTCTTGTTGTAAATGTTTTGCAGGTTGTGCGGCACTACCATGGTCACCTGAGTGCTATTTATTCACTGGATCTCCATCCTACAATTGATGTGTTGTTCACTTGTGGTAGAGATGCAACAACCAGGGTGAATTTTCTACCCTTAGTTGTTATTAACAGAACTATCAGAACCAGTAACCATCTGGCCTCTGTATCAAAGTATATCAAATACACTGGTGCGCCTTTTCTGAAAGGCTTCTGGAGCACAATCATTAAAATTTGAGGCCAGTTTATCATTATCATGTGAAGGATATGATGATTATAATGACAATGATGGTAACAATGATGAGTATAACAAGAAACATGATGTTGTATTTGTAGAACTGGCAGCAGGCAAAATTAACAAGCTACTTTTTTGGTTTGTACCAGCTACCACAACTGCTTTCGCGCAGGAGAAAGCTTCTCATTCAGTTGACTTTCTCTGTTTTCTACTTTAGGGTGTCTTGAGAATCAATTGAATGCAACAAAATCATAGTGATACCCTTAGTATCATTTTCAAACTTTCAGTGAGTACTCTGTTGTAAGAAATTTAAATGTTGTATAAAGTATAGTGATTAACCTTTCAGATTGACTCAAGACATCGATTATTGTTTTCAGGTTTGGGACATGAGAACCAAAGCCTGCATACACACTCTGACAGGTCATACAAGTACAGTAGCAGTTGTTAAAGCTCAGGCTGCAGAGCCTCAGGTTAGTAAAATGCTTGATCCAACTATAACATGGCTGGCTCCACTTTGAAAAGTTATCCTCAGACAAGTACCTGTTAATTTAACCTAGGATGATTATTCAATACCATCAGGTAGAAATGCATGATACTTTTTCCCCACATAATTGATAGTCATGCATTGAGACACATTCAGATGCGTTTTGGCATTAATTTATTGTTTCAGTTTAAATAATTATCTCTTACTTAAATGGAAAATGTAATGCAAATCAGTATTTCAGTGATCCAGTTTTTTCTTGTTGTTGTTTATCTCTGCATTCCTTGGCCTTGAACTCTAATTCAGGCTAATGGCGTATTATAAATTTTGTTATCAAAGTTTCAATCTATGTAACCTAAAACACAAGGGCATATTTGAACAATTATCCTCAGAAATGTTCTCTGGGAAGTTTTTTCAGCATCTGGAGCTGTCAATGAAATTATTTCAGCATTAAACAATACTAGTGAAGTGCGGATCAGAAGATGTTTTATACAAAGATTTTAGTAATCAGAGATCATGTTTTTCTTTTGGTTAGGTTGTTACAGGAAGCCATGACTGTACCATTCGTCTGTGGGACTTGGCAGCTGGCAAGTCTAAAGTCACCCTTACTAATCACAAGAAAAGTGTCAGATCTGTAGTGTTACATCCAACACAGTAAGTAGCAGTACACAATCAGATACATATGAATGCAAAACCTAGAATCATTGTGTTTTCCTGTCACCAGACTGGCTTATCAGTTAGTTGTTCTGTAAAATGTCAGTCAGCTAGTCAATTAGTCACTCAGTCAGTCTTTCTGGGTATATCTGTCTATCTGTCTGCTTGTCAGCATATCCTTCCATTTCTCAGTCTACTGATTGATTTTTTTGGTGACATGATCTATGCAAGAGTTAGATATTCAGTCAGTCAATACCTGATGATGTTTTCCCCTAATTTTAAATCCTTGTTTTTTACACCCATGTAGTACTGGTAACGTGCCTCCCCTTCCTTGATCAGAATATACTGCACTGTGCATCTTGTACTGTGAAAAAAAATCACAAAATGAAATAAATGTGCATGCATTCCAAGAACATGGTATTGTTTTTCAATAAATTAACCAGGTAAAGATGTAGGATGGTCTTCAGCTCTTGAACAAGCATGGTGACCTATATTTTTATTCCATAATATTGGTGTACAAATTATCCCCTATAAATTGGATGAATTTTAAAAAATTCATTAAAGGGAAAAAAAGATGAAGCTGAAAGTTTGTTCAAAGCCTGGTTCTCCATGATGCAAATTATGAGCTTGAAAGTAATGACTCAAGGAATGTTTTAAGTCAATGTAGTTTAAAATTAGGTGAATTTTCCACAAATAATATATCAAATTGTTCCATACGCTCTAAAATATCTACCCATTAAGTTTTTTTAAAATGTTAGCCAAAAAATCCTTGCTTCCAGCTACCTCAAAATGAACCACAAACCAATGAAATGACACACACAATTAGTATCAGAGCAGGCCTAAATGGGGTAAGCTACCTCAAAATGAACCATAAACCAATGAAATGACATACATGATTAGTATCAGAACAGGCCTAAATGGGGTAAGTTTGGCCATGTTCATCTCTTAAACAAGCACTGTGACCTACCTTTTTAATGGCATCTTTCTAAACAGAAACTGCTAGGGAACATTTAAGAAAAGTTCAAAAAAATTGTTCTATAACTTTCTTTTCTGAGGAATCACTTTAAAAAGAGTTCATCTATCTCATCAAGAAATTAAGCAAGTTCCAGTCAATCAAATCAGGGACATGATCATGACCCCAGTCCCCACTTGGCATTAAGAACTTAGAGTTAGCTTCAAAAGTGAACCTGCTTTATGGCTTCAAAAGGGTTGTCTCAAATATAATCACACCTGAATAACTTTGAATAACTAGCTGTGGGGTGCTGTGAAAGGACTCTTTATAATGAGATTTGTGTTTGTTTTCTTGTAAGGTTTTCATTTGCTTCAGCTTCTCCTGACAACATCAAACAGTGGAAGTTCCCAGATGGGAATTTCCTTCAGAATCTGATTGGACACAACTCTATAGTGAATTGCATGGCAGTTAACCCTGATGGCGTCTTGGTTTCAGGAGGTAAAGTTGAGGTTGCAAAAGCTTTATAACTGCAAGTGTTCCACAAAGAAATAGCACTTGTTGGAATTATTTATCACATTTGTGAGGAATATTTTAAACATCTTTGACATGGAGTCAAGGGGATCAAAGACAACATAGACATGACCAATTCTTCAACCAGTGACACATCTCTGTATAATGAACTGAGAGATAACTTGTGTTCTTATATGTTGATGGCTAAGAGCAGATAATTTTTGTGCTTTATCAGGTGATAATGGAACGATGCATTTCTGGGATTGGCGTACAGGTTATAATTTCCAGCGATTACAGGCAGCTGTGCAACCTGGCTCTCTGGATAGTGAGGCTGGTATCTTTGCAATGACCTTTGACTTGAGTAGCAGTCGACTCATCACATGTGAAGCTGATAAAACAGTCAAGATCTACAAAGAAGATGACACAGCTGTAAGTATCACTACCTTTGTTCTAAGTGAAATAATTGCCTGAAATGGGGTCTCTATTTAGACACAATCCTTCACTTTTTCCTTACTTTGCTACTTGAAAAGCTTAAAGGTTAATGTGCTGGATACATGTATTGTGACATAATTATTGTTTGTTTTCGTTTCAGAGTGAAGAAACCCATCCTGTGAGTTGGAAACCTGAGATATTGAAGAGGAAACGATACTAGACAACTGCACTCTCCATTTTGAAAAATAGAGAACTCTAGATATCATAGCCCCTGTACCTTCAAAACTTAAAGTCTACTTTACTTTTGTCAATAGTGGGAAGCTGCAAAGTTTGAATCTGTACCACTCAAGGCCACTGTCATAATGTTAATAAAAATACTTTTTCTGAAAATGTGAAAATAATGGTCTTAAAATGGTTAATGTTGCAAGACCAATCAAAGTATCTCTTTGTCATAAGATTAAGAGTGACACAGGAAGCAGGATTTAGAGAAAGCAGACTTGGGAAGACTTTCATCTACTCCCCAAGATCACTGGATATGAAAAGTAAATTCTCTAAAAACTGGCAAGCTGCATGATTGCAAGAGATGTACTTATACCATATCATCTTCACACCCTGTAGTGCCAAATCATCTAGGGTGAATAAAACCTACCTTGGCTTTGCAAATCTATGTTCAGCAAGTCCAAGATTCTCCCTCTCACCCAAACTCTTCTTTGTAACCCAGATTCTCACTGTTTCTTACTAAAGCTCACACTGGCATGCTAATAAACACTGGCTATCATGTTTCTGGCATGTGTGGGGTGTCTCAAGAGGACTTATAGCATAGCTAGTAAATTTGTCTAATCAAAGTCAATTGCACAAGTGTGCTTCATATTCCTATTGTGCACGCTCAAAAAAATTTTCCATTGGGTTGAAAATGTCATTAAACAATTGTTTCATACGTCATCTGTGTCTTCATGGAGATAAGAAGCACTTGGGAAGTTTGGAGAGCACTCAAGAAGCTAGAGTTGCTCTTGGCTATGCCTCAAGCAACTTTTGCGCATCTTTCATGCTCTCCAAACTTCCCACATACTTCATATCTTGATGAACGCATGTTGACGTAGGAACCAATTGTTAATTTTAACCCCAATTCACATCAAATTCTAAATACCATTTTCTTAACAATGAAGGCTTACTCTGCCCTGTTTTCAATAAGACATTGGAAATCCATAGCCTTATTTTTTAGGTTTTCAATGCACAATCACTTCACATCTTGTGGAGTTGCATTCCTTTCAGTGTCACTTGTATATGTTTGCACACCAATGTTCCCTTTCTATTGCATCAACTAAATTGTGAGCATAGACATTGCAAGATGAGCAAGTTGATTTTCCAAACCTTTTCGCTTTAAATGACCAACTACACTTCCAATAGTATGGGGAGAAATCCACTGTCTACATGGTACATTTGCAGCTAAATAATGAGTCACTACTTTTTCCCTTGCATTGGGATTCACCACTACATTAATGCAAAAACAAGAGGGGAAGAGATGCCTCTAGCCAGTGTAAGGCAACTGTCTCTTATGTTCCTTTTCATTTTATCAAATAAGAATAGGGTAGTTTCCTACATTATAAGTCACTTTTTCTTTCAATCTCCTTTCATTCGTTCACTTTTTGTTACAAACAAAGGTAATGGAAGGGAAGCTAACTGCTATATAAAAAACAAGGTAGACAGCAGTGGAGCAATTCACTTTTTTATTATCATTACAGCACCATTTAGGATCGAGGTCGTTCCTTCTTCTCTTTAAAAAGAGCAAGAAGTGAAACATTAGCAACCTTTACAACCTTGAACCTCACACCAGGAATATCACCCACAGCATGACCTCTTCTGCCAAAACCAGAGATTAAAACTTCATCGTTTTCTTCAATGAAATTAAGGCAGCCATCATTTGGCACAAAGGCAGTGATCTTCTTTCCATTTTTAATGAGCTGTACTCTAACACACTTTCGAATAGCAGAGTTTGGCTGCTTAGCTTCCACTCCCCTACAAAACAAACATTTAGATGTCAACTGTTGTCATCAATTCAATATGCCAAATGCTCAACACATAACTACACTTATTCATTAATACAAAAAGTTGTTTTGGAAAGTGACCCAACAATGACCACCAAAACAAAAACACTGGAGGTTTGAGCAAGGCAATGATCACTTCAAACAGATTCCAATATGTGTTTATCAAGAATAATTCAGTTTCAGTGCTTTGAATGAGGTTAATGTATTTTCTTCATTCAGGGCCCTAAATTATGCAACCCTTGCTGGAAACCCAGTATGTAAGCGTAAAAACCAAAATTCATAAACACCCTTCCTCCACACTAACAATGCATCTAGAGATAAGCCCTCATGCTGGAAATGTACCTTCCTGATTTCAGTATCACTTTGCCTAACCCAGCCAAGAAAACTTACCTTTCAGCGAAAGTAAGTTTCTATTTATTGAAGTCCTATGATGGAATTTGAATATTTCGAGTGAAAGTATCAACAATTCTGAGTATACTTAAATGGCAGCATAGCTCGGGCTGAGAACGGCATATTATCCAGTGATTTTACCATTAAGCTGTAGTGGGGAGTTCCTTGAGTATGTATGTGAACTGGTGACTGAGTTAATCCGCTGTTCTAGGCAGGAATAAGGCAGGCCGCCCAGTGAATAAGATCACATTTCCTTTTCGAGGATTTTAGCACTGAAAATTCATGGTTTCCCTCGATCCAGTGACTCTAACCTCGTTCATAAATTTAAGACAACTAACTCAAACAACCGCAGAGTTTCATATATTACTCGTTGAAAAATATAACGACGATCTCACATCAAACAAACGGCGGAATAATACCTTAAACAGTGTCACAGACAAGGATACGGGATGGAAAATTATATTCTTCTAATCGAAAGAAGGGTACAAGTCCATGATGATAGCCAAATTGCTCAGCGATTGTTAAAATACTTCAGACAAAGACTCTTAATCAAGAATGAAGAACATTAAATACATACACTTTCTCGAGAACAATTCCCTTGGCATGGGAGGCACCACCAAAAGGGTTAGCCTTCAGTGCTGTTCCTAAATGCGCTTTCTTGTATCCCTTGTCATGCCATCTTTGGTCTCGGCGGTGGTTTCGGAGTTTACGAGCGGTCCTTAAACCTCTTGGCTTACCTTAAGAAAACAAAAATAGTTTTAAAGGAGTGAATGGAGGTACTTTGAAGTTTATCTCAGTATTTGTGGTGTTTTAATCGATAAAAAAAGACAGTAATTTAGAAAAACACGTGTATATTTACCCATAGTCTTCCACCAAATACTAACGAAAAGAACGATCCGTGGTGCACCGCGTGGATTTATAGTTACTATTATGGGATGAGGGTTGTTGGCCCATAAGCCACTGGGCGTGCTAATAGCAAGCCTCTGGGCGCCTCTTCGGAAAATAAAAATTAACATGTATACGACAACACTAATTTTGTGTTTCACTTCCCAAGAAATACCAAAATTACAAAAAGTTCAGCTATTAATTCTGAAAATTCCAACCAGCAATTCCTAGACAGTGTGAGGCTTTCGGTCAGGGCAAACAAGCGGGTGCGCCCGTAAGGAAGTAAGGCAAAGGGATCCGATCTAAACCGGGAGTGAATACCATTTTAACGTCATTAATTTTTTTAGGTCATGTCTGGTTCCAATCTGTGGCAAAAATGCATAAGCGAATCCTCTCCTCGAGCTTAAAATATTACATGTAGCATACAAAGAAGTTGTAATAAAAACGCCCTGACGTCTCTACCAAAAGTAGGTTATGCAAAATTACGGTGCGATTGGTGCTGGATATGACCAAGGTCAGTTTTCTTTACTTTTTTAGTTTTTATACCGGTGATGTTTGTCACTTCAGTTCGATGAAAAAAATATTGTGATTCATTGTTACTCTCTTATAATTCTGAGAGCCAATAGTGTCAATGCCATAGAGGACACTGAGGTGAAGACAAAACTGCAAACATATGTCAAGTTACTCTTTATAGCTACAAAAGGTATTTTGTGTAATTTTGTGGACGTAATAATAATTTGCAGGTGACGCAAATGCCTCCAAGTCTGTATGGACGCCAGGAAAATAACTAACAACAGAATTAAACTGTTTTGCATTGATCCCAAGAGTAAGTCTTTTGCTTTGATCATTGGTCATCCAGAGAACTCTATCCCCTCAGTACTCCATGGCCTTTTTCTAAGATGAAAAAGAGATTTATTTCTAGTTTTTGTTTTGCCCTGAAAAGAGCACAATTTCTATAGTCTTGCGCTCTCTAAATTTGCGAAAGTAAGCGGAGGATATGGCACATTATGAATAAATCATTCTAGAAAAACATGAAAAGGAAACTGATTTAAGTAACTTTTACTCGTACCTACACTTAATATGCACTGAGGTCAATTGACAAATTAACGAGTTCTTTGTATTTCAGTTTAAGTGCAGCAGTCGAGTGCCGACACGACTAATCATTAATTCAAAGTTTGTGAACGTTTTTCGTTTTTGACTCAATTACAGCCACATTCTCTTTAGCAAACCAAAACGGCGATGAGTTATAGAATACGCAAATTGAGTTGATTTGATGCACAAGAGAAAGACGCCGTCTTTGTTATGAGTCGAACAACCAATTGTAATCTTTCACAATAAATAACAATTAACAATCCACATCAATTACTTTCAAACTGTCTGCATTATTAAGTGCATTGGTAATGAACTAGTTTTCGGAAGGAAACAAGCGCAGCCACAAATTATAACACTACATCGAGCTGGATCATGTCCTCTTTCAACTCAGAGGCCTTCTCAGGTTTGTAGTTAAGGACTTGTTTTAAGGGACTAGTGTTTGACTGATCAGCAGTGTAAAGTTATTAGAGCTGTGTAGGAAGTTAGGTTTTGAATCATCGGATTTGACTTAACCTTCAACTGACGCAACCGTCAAAATTAAAACATAGTTAAGATTTAATGATAACCAGCTCGGTCGCCACAACTTCTCAGGAGGAAAAAGAAAGACAACCCAAGGCGTAAGACAAGGGGACAACAAAAACGTCTTGAACAAAGACCATCTCGAATAAATATTTTTTAAGGTTACGGAAATGATAACTCCGTGGTCTGATTCATAGTAATCTAAAATGACTGCGTAACTGTAACTACCCTCTTTGCGCATAACAAGGAAACTTTGAACACTAAAGCAAAAGTAATAAAAGCAGTGACGAGACGCATTGCAGGTAAACAGTGGTTGTTACCACAACAAGTACTTAACACTTGCGGTACAGTATGGTCACTACTAACCATTTCCACACTACAACGGATAAAATTGGTGGCAGAAATTTTCCTTTCGCGCCCCAGAGAGAAATTTCTCCTCTCGAGATCAAGACAGTTTAATGCCGAAAGTTAGTGATAAGTGAGAAAAATATCAACCAGGGGACACTGTTTGATTTAACACTCGCCCCAAATTCCCATGGGTAGAGTTAAAGAAATGTACACGGCCAATGTGGAGAATTGATATTCAGATCATGGGAGTGACTGGATTAAATCTACCCGACATGGCCGTGTGAATGGGATACGAGATCGCAAACAATGGAAGATTGAAAGTTGTAAATCTCCACAGTCGGTGTTTTCAGTTAAATCCGCTTTAAGAGCGTTTTTGAATAGGTTTGTCTATTCGCTGGACAATCTACTCAGATTATAGTTGAACCCCGGTAACTCGAATTACCAAGGGCAATTGAAATTACTTCGAGTTATCGGGGTTTCGAGTCGGAGGGGTTTGAACAGAAAGACCAGAAACACTCGATCGATTCCAATCTACGCGCCATTATTTCTCTTCGCCGGGAAGAACTGTAAAAACTGTTTGTTCACGGACATACAAACGTGTGATCTTGACAAAGGTGTCTCAATATGTAAATGTCACTAAATGTAATCTTTTGGTGCAAAATGTTATGGCTCATTAGTCCGCAAAAGTTAAAATTGACTTCGAGTTATCGAGGGCAAAATTAGGCTCATTTAAAGTCCGGATTCGGGAATTTAAAGTAAGAAGAGAGCAAGATGCGGGATTGCTCTTATGAACGGGACACGGGAATCGGCAATTTTGAGGAGCGGGATTCGGGAAATAATCACTTAAACGAACCTAGAACTGGGATGTCCGTTGACGAGGATTTAAGAAATTTATCTTCTCAGTCATGAAAAGCACCAAGCACACAGGCTCTCTAGCATTCAAGAGGCGGTCGGGCTGCTCAGCGACACTCTTAAGTTATTGCGCGGGAACGAAAATTATATCAGAAGTGAAGTTGCCAATTTATCAAAAATCCTCAATGGCCCACAGGAAAACGTAGTCTAAGACTGCTGCGTTAATTGGAATGCTTAACGGCGTTGAAAAACCTCCTGCAAGTCTCAGAATTATACCGATATGATGCTCTTAACCTGTTGAGTTACATGACACTACATGTGAAGAATATTCACTCGATTGTGCATCACAAAGATAAACTTTTCACGGTGTTAGACTACCCAAGGAACTTTGGAAATGTAACCCAAGGCCTAATGAGGACAATCCATTGGGCGGCGTACTATTTAACAAATCCAAATCCTTGGTATCCTGTACCCGAACATGCCAGGATCCTGTCGGCCATACCAGCAATCCAACCGTTACCACCTGTGCCGAAGGCACCACAGAGCATACAGAAGATGAGGGACTTGGCGGAAACATTTGTTGCAGCAGTGCGTCAGCTCTCTGTCAAACAGGAAACAACGATGGCAAGAGCTGGAACTTCCCGTCGTACCTTTATCAGAGAAAAATTCAGCCGGTCGAACCGGTCAGCCTCGAACGCTCTGACTTCGAGGAGGAGTAGCAAGAAAACAGCGGGAAACAAGACGAAGAGGAAGATGGAATATTGGAGTACGATTCCCCGAGTGATGATGACATTCCATCTTTGGAACGAGAGGCTGATTTTTACCTCGGAAGAGATTCCCGCCTCGGAAGAAGTGTTCGCTTCAACAGAAGAATTGTGTTCAGTTAATTTTTCTTAATCTCCGTTGTTATAAAACCATGGGATTGCCGTGACCTTTTGTGTTTTATGCACTTGTTGAAATTGTTATTCGTTTCTTTGATACTGACCTGCTTGTACCCATACGTTTGTCCGTGATCGAAATTTAATGAAAGGAAGTCGTTACCGTAACTAGCGTACTTTATTCGTGAAAAACTTTGAAAACTTTTAAAATGAACGATATCATCATTTTGGTGAAAAGAGCTAAACTCACGCCTGACGGTGACAATAGACTTCAACGGATCGATGCTGGTTAAGAAAATCATCACCCACTGGAAAGGCCCTTCTAAGTTTAGGAAATGGACTAAGACAAAATTGTATGATTGGGATCGGCGTTAGCCGGTATAAACCGTCAGGATTACGGGATTAAGAGAAAATTGTAGTCGGGATCGCGTGATTGAAGAACTCCATTGGGGACCCTCACCATAGGTACAAAGCTATGTTTCCAAATTTATCCGGCTTAATAAAGACGAGGCTTGTCCAACTTCTCTACCAAAGATTAGAAATCATGCCCGAGACTCTGTGATCTACTCCCACTTTTATTGAAAAATATTGGGATGTTTGCCTTTTCCTGCTCACTCAACTCTGTTGAACTGTGTTCCCTTTTTGTTTTAATTTATTTCCTACTTTGTCAGGAACTGCTGTTCCCCCCAGTCCTAGAAGTACAGACTTGAGTGGTATGGAGCACGTATTTATATCGAAGAACCTACATGAGCCAACATTTCAACATCTGGGTAAGTAGCCTCACATAATAGGGCTTTTTTGATTTTTTGGCGCTTTATCAGTCTGCAAACTTAACTTATGCACGAAGAGCCACAAATGGATATACTATAAATCGCTCATCTACCAATCACTGAGAGATGAGTTTTGTGGGAGCAGAGAACAGGTGGATCTGAACCCTTCTACACATGAAAATTTTGGGTAAGGGGGGACAAACCACCCCACCCCCTGTCAGGAGTGCGGAAAATGCAGTCAACTCTCAAAGCGACTCTACTGGATACAAAAAAAGTAGTTGCTTGAGGGAGGCGGTCGCTCAAGAGGAAAATTGTAACCATAAATCAAAATCGCATGTATCGACTTACTTCCTCCACATGGAGTATCAGTTTAAAGAAAGGGAATGTGCAAAGCCCCTTTACAAAGTTGCTAAACGTTTCAGTGTTCATTTTCATTTTAAAAACATGCACCAAAGACAGTTTTTCCAATCAAATAATCTTTTTCTATGAAATCCAGATTCTGGTTTCTCGATTACTTAGTTCGTTGTTTTAAAAATTATACAGTCGTGGAGACCATTCATAATTTACGCGACTGTAGTTCTTGGAATCGTGTTGGTGGTTGACTACTAAAGAAACATAAGATTTGCCTAATTGTTCGCAAGTGGTCGTAGCCGCAGACGGCAAATTTGAGCATTGGTCGCCTAGGAGAAAGTTTGTGAAAGGGTATTTGAATTGTGTAAAACTAGTCATTTACGAACAAGTCGTTTATTAAACGAAGTAATTGTGGATGAGACTGAACTCTATCACCAAGGCAAAACACTCCCTCTCATGATCCTAACAAGTAATTTCATAGAGATCGCGCTTGACAAAATGTTATGCAGTGGAATTTTTAGAATAACTATCTACTTCAATTATGCGTTGTCACCGGTCGATTACGAACACAGAAGATACTGTTTAAGTTCCACAGAGTTTTGCCCGTGCCGACGTACGTTGAGTTTGAGTATGCGCTAAGATTAGAGAACGATAAGCCCCCCAAGCCTACTTTCGACAACGTCTCTAAACGCTCCGCCGTTTCTTGACTTCATAGGACACACTAGACTGCGCATGAGATTTTTACTTTCAAACAGTCCTTCCACAGGAGGATGTTGTAATAGCAGTTCGTTGGACGTGTTCTCGGACGACCTTTCCTGTATACTAATTCGGAAATTAGTTTTCATTGTCACTAAACTAAACCCTGAGGACTAACAAAGAGTTGACATGAACTGTGCTTTGAAAAAATTTACTTGATAGAACAATAAGAAAGGAGTTGATGATTGAATGATCGACTTCAGTAACCAGCTACCCTGTCATTTACCAGGCGATCAGTCAAGTGTTGCGAACGATCTCTAAACTAATGAGAATAGATGAAAATCACATATTTGAATTGCCGATCAATTGATGAAGATGAAATTGATCTTCGCAGAAATTAAAACTACTTAGGTGGTAGTGAAAAAAGGAAAAAAAAAAACAGGCCTGTACGAGAGTTGAACTCATGACCTCTACGACACCAGTACAATGTTTAACCAAAACTACACTGCCAAAACTGAACTACTATGACACTGGCTTCGTAAAGGTTGGCCATGTTTAGTGCGCGAGTTTTATTAGAATACTCGTGGTTTGACTGTACCATTTCACACTCGTTTTGAGTATACGTGATCGAATGGCAAACATCACGTGCAGCTTTCCCAAGCTTATTGAAACATAACAAAAACTCATTTTAACAGCAGCTTTGTTATTCAAATATGTTGAGCAACCGAAATATTCCCAACAAACCGCATACATAAACAAAAGTGAATAACGGTATTTGTTGCGCAATACAAGTTGCACTACCAAGAACCGGCTTCAAGCGTCAGGCTATTTTATAGAAGCTGGGAGCTGGTGTACACTGACAAAGGCCAAGTAAAGGTTATTTGTGTGACAGACGGTGAGTGCATTGCAGAGAAAAACAGTGGTCTCATGTGTAGTATTTACGAAAAGGTTAGGTCAACTGATCACAATGTGCTGGTCGTCTACGTATGCTATTTTAAATCCCTACTGATCGCACTCCAGCAATATCTGAACATACACAACAGTGAGAACTGACCGCATAATTATTCACCTTAAACCTTCTTTTTCCGGTTTTTGACCATTTTGAGCAAGCACATTTATCTCATCAATTCGTAGCCACAATCTCCAGCGAAAAAATTCTGTCCAGTTTTTATATCTTTGGTGATCATGACCAAACGGAGGCAGATTGCTTTGTGTGTCAGAGTCCTGAGCAGAGCGAAGGAGGGAGAGGAAACAGAAAAGAAACGAAACGAAAGAAACTATATCTGTGTTCATCCAAATGAAACTGTTTTCAACCTGATTTAAACCTTTAACGGCTACATCGACAATCGGTTTACTTTCCGCAAGAAAACAAGTTATATAAGTAATTCACCCTCCACTCTGGGGTTGGGCTTCGGTTATCTAGGTTTATGAGAGGAATTAAATCAGACTTAGGAACAAAACTGAGAACAAAAAAAAAACGGTTGCATAATATTGTTAGCGATCAAGTGTGCCATTCCTATCATTCCTTGGTAAAACGCACCGGAACTTTGCGACCTTTGCGGCCTACCACGGTTGGTGAATTCATTGTATTCCGACTGGGTTATCGTTCGCTTGCAGTTAGCTGCATATAAAATCCATCCAGAAACAGATCAACTTTACAACGAGACTGGTAAGTATTGACTACGCAGACCCGTAAGGTATTTAACTGTCCGTTGTCCTGATTTCAGCTTTGTTACTCGTACCACTTTATTAGCTGGAGTGTTTTCGCAATGACGACGCTCAGTAGTAATCCGATGAAGACATTCATTCCTATGTTTCCCAGGGCGGAAACGATCTATATCAAGAGTTGGGCTGATTTATCACGAAACTGGACCCTGTAGAATTTACCTTTTTTTTCCTTTCGTGTTTTCCATTCAAAGGCATTCTAATTTATTCAGCCCATTCTTACTGCTGACTATTTAAGATTCATACATATGAAAACTACAGTGATCTAACGATAGGGAGGGAATTATCCAATCTGTAGTCTCTGTTTAGCCGTAGACTATTAATTGACAAGGAAGTTACAACATAACAGTATTCTATCCTCGACATAAAGTAAGTTAGTGGCCTAACTCGCGATGCACCGACCAGCAAACTTCTGAACCGTATCGTAGATGAATGCATAAATCAAATCCCACGCAGTGATTTGGTTGACTAATTTGAATACCGAAGCTATGATTTAAGATTAGAACAAGGAGGAATGCGGAAAGAAACGTATTAATTCAAAATTAACTAGGAATCCAAGACTTTGTAGTCCACAGCAAGTCGACTAAACGCTCAGGCATACGAGATTGTACATAAACCAACAACCATAAATTCAATTGCAAAGACTGGTGTCATTAAGAGCAGGAATCAGGAACAGGAACGAAGGGAAAGGGAAAAGTGGCCACGACAAATGAAAAGGAATGGTGGTGATGGAAAATGAAAATACATTCGCATTACTTAAATGTATTAGACATATTTTCGATATCGAGACAAGATGGACTTCAAATTTTCTTTTTTTTAGTTAATAAAGGCGACGAAAATTCAATTTCTTACCAACTTCACCGATCGATCACGTCTAGTTTGACTCGATCAGCTTAAAAAAAAAGGATTTTAGTCTTTGCGTCGAATTATAATCTGTTCTATAGCTATTTTGATGCCTTTCTATTTAAGGTTGTGAAGGGGTAGTTTCCTTTCTTAAGGGTGCCGATGAAAGAGACATTCTTTAGGCTTAAAGTTGGCATATTCGACCCGCGGACTGAGCTTCATTATATCGTTCGCTCTCGGCTGTTCGCAGGAAAAAACTTCGAGGACTTTTCGAAGCGTGAATCTTGTTTACGACTGTCAGTTTTTCTTTTTTTTCCGTTTTCAATGACCCATTCTCGTTTTATTATCATCTAATACCGCCGCCGGCATCGAATATACACACATACATTCGAAAGGAAGTCCATTTCCTGTTGGAGAGCCCCATACAAAATATCACGATATGGTTCGGAGACGAGTCACGCACGTTAGCATTAGAAATATGAACTAACTTCAGTTGCACTGATTTGCAATATGAGAAAGGCATTCTAAGAATGATATCATCGAAAGAGAATTTCTGGCCATAAGAAAAATCTAAACATTACCCTCTGTAGTATCCTCCGTGGTACGATAAGAAAGGTATCAATGATTTCACCAAACAAATACTGTATTCGCCTTAAGAAGCTCAAGATTTAATCATCTTCCGCATGGGGTCCCTCTGGATGTGTAATACTAATCCTTTGAGCCAGGCCAGGGGAGAAGGGCTTAACTGAAACCTGCTTTGAGACAAAATGCAAGTTATGTTTTTCATTTGAATGGTTGGCAAAATCTACTATATGTAAAATACATTTCTATGGATTAAAACAAAAAAAAAGTGAATCACAGACATGCACATAGTATGAATTCAATCAAACACAAGTATAGACAGTTTTCAGGCATATTGAAAATCTACTTAAACGCTTCCTTACTAGGTAAACGCTTTTTTTGGGAGGGGTGGGAGGGGTGCCCTTTAAATTATCAGGGGAGGGGCTTGTCGGAAACTTAAAGTTCCTGAGGACAGGGAATTTAGAGGAGAGAACTATTTAGTGTGTACGTCCGTTGGATTGTTTTTGCAAGGTACGCTGGCGTATTATCACCATTCATCGTTATTGATTATAGCCGTATACTTAACCTATTCACTTTTTCAAAATTCATTTAATTGAAATGGTTTTTGGTCGCAAAATAACTATCATTTAGCCGTATCAAAAACGAACACGTATATGGTCATTTCATACGAGAAAGTCACCTTTTGTCGTGAATATAATCCTTTCAATAACAACGTTCAACGAAGCGGACCACTCACGATGTCACGCAATTTTTTAATATTTTCTCTGTCATTCTACATAGACACGTAAAAGCATCTTCAAGGATCAAGAGATCAGAAAATACATATAAGTTTCACAATAACCCTTTGCAAACTCATGCAAATATGGGACTCCAAACTCGCCAATGGTAACAAATAAATATGTGCCATGGGAAGACAAACATCCTTTCTTTGTAATGGTCAGTAAGTTTAAGGTCCTATAGTTTCAAGAGTTTTCAATATTTTCTCGCAAAAAAAATTCAGATTCAAACTTATATCTGATCAATTGATCAGTTGTTTCGTTTGATTTACTCGTTGTGAAGGCGTGACACCGCCTAAGTTCGAGCAAAGGTCGTTTAGCATGCTTCGTTAGCGTGTCTATGTAAGTAATTTGCTTTTGTAACATTCCTCTCGTGCACGGGATCACGGGATCACGGGATCTAAAAAAGAAATTGTTTCTTGAAGCATAACTTCTTTCGTGCTTTGTATCAGTGTATCGAGGCTTTCCTCAAAGAAGTAACTCATTTTCGTCAAAGAGGACGGACAAGTTGTGATTAGTCGCAGCCTAAGCTTGAAACATACGCGATCGCTAGAAAGTAAACCTTAGGGCTGAAGCTCATCGAATACTACGATCTACGGTGAATGTTAAATCCGTGCGAACCGGCCGCGGATTAACACGTGTAACTACCGACAGATCGGTAGGTAAACGTGATGCCTACTCTGATACTTTAAAACTAAGTACTGCCTCAATGGTGTACGTAATGTACGTTGTCGAAACCATGTTGTGGTTCTAGCATTTGTTCTCTCGAGTTTGTTTATATTGCGTTTGCTGTTCTTTTACTACAACAGGGATGGATCCTTCAGTGCGAGATGATAAATCAACCGACTTTCTGACTCATAAATCTAAAGAAGACCTTTCTCATGAACCTAATGGAAAGTCTTCCACCGACATCGGGACAGCCGAGAGCGGCGAAGGAGGCAAAGAGCAACGTGAGACTTGGGGCCACAAGGCTGAATTCATTCTCGCCACTGTTGGTTTAGCTGTCGGTTTGGGAAATGTTTGGAGGTTCCCGTACCTTTGTCAGAAAAACGGAGGAGGTGAGATCACTTTTCTTCCAGTTACAATTTCACGTGGTATCATGCTTACAATACTATTAGGGTGGCGATTATAACAACTAACAGTCGATCAACTCTGATTTACGCCCTGATCGGTCCCCCCTGGAGGCTCTCTAATGAGGCGCCTCTCAGACTCGACTAAATAGACCACAGCCGTTGTAAACGTCGAGACTCTTAGAAGTTTCGCAGCCTTTTAATACTCTCAAGCTTTGTCACATTATCAATTTCGGTCGGAATAGGATCAATGGAATTCGCGTGTTGTAGTTACAGTGACGTGACATTCTACGCACGCGATATGTGTTCCCCAAGAATTCGGTACAATTTCGATTACTTATTAACCGAGGAAAAGTCAATATTCAAGCAATTAATATAGATTAGATTACGCAACCCAACAGCGGTTCTGTCCCACTGCGACGACAAACCACCGTTCAACCAAAACTACAAATGCAACACGCTACTGTCCGTCACATGTCAATAACATCGAATAAATTATGTCATCTGGGCGACAAGCTTTCAAATCGTCTTGCATAATTTCGCTTAAGAATTTACCCTGAGAATTTACCCTCAACAAAACTAATGGGCGCGAAGGTTGCTAACGTCCGTGTCCTCATGACGAGTTCTATGTTTATTTATTAATTCGACATTCACATACATTTTAGAATAACTGGCGTTTCTTGCAATCTGATCGACCCTCAACTGAGTGATTTATTCATGAGTAGATCTGAAACGCCTTGACACGGTACACTGAAACAAAACGACAAATCAGATTTCAGAAGTGCAATCACTGACAAATCAGCTTCTTTAAGACGTAAAAAGGTACTGGTCAAAATCTTCAATTCAGGGCCGCTTTACATGGAAAGGTGAATCGCCTGGCCGTGGTCAGAAAATAGCCCGCGTTTACATAGAATCTTACAGCCCCGGGATGCCGGGGTGAAGTTTCTCGAGGTTGTTATCGCACTTGCTATTAAGGAGTTTCAGATGTCACCACGGCGACGTATGGTAAAACGTTGCCGAAAGAACGTAATTAATTTTCGAAGATTTTAGCCACTAGCTCGATGCGTTAACCGTTTCTAACGGTACAATGTCTTCACTTCGGCACAACATGCGAATGTAGTGATGAGTTCAAAGTAAAAACGTGATTAATTCGTTGTCGAGGTTTCATTGCTAAGAGGACGTAAAAATTGGTCTTGTAAGGTTTTTAGCTCAGCATGGAACGGCTAGGAAATTTAAAAAGTTTGTTTCACTCGTGTTTCACTGTTGCTTAGCTCATTTGATCTTGTGGTAATATGAGCACCACCCCGGCTAGGCAGGTTATCCGACTTTCGCACGTTTACATGGCAAATTGTTCCTCCGGCTGACAGGGTTACCCTACCCAGCAGACCAGGCAACCCACCTACGCGGGTCACCCCACCTGTCATGTAAACGTGATCAAGATAAAATAAGAGACTATATGGACAGGCGGGTTACCCCGGGGGTCCCCCACCTCCACGTAAACAGGCCCTAAGTTATTAATGTTTTCAAATTCCAACTGGACATATTGCTTCACACTGATCAAAGTAAATTGATTAAGTTTACGACTGTTCTTTTTCATACTTCTTAGACTCATTTGGTAGCTACCCTCATTCAAACAGGTTTCTTCTGTATCAAAAAAACAACAACAACAACAATAACTTCAAACACTAGCAGTAGATTAACTGTGCTGGGAGAGAAAACATCCTAGACACTGAAGAGCTGACAGCTCAAGGGTACACTTTTCAAGTCTTTTTTTTTTATTATGCACCAATCAGATCATTTAAGGTATGTATCTTGTACCAATCAGATCGCCACATTTGGGTATGTATCTCGCACCAATCAGTGTTGTTTTTGATCTTTGGTTTGAGAGTTGTTCAAATTTCAATGAAGTAATGGGGGCTTCGGAGAGAGCGATTCGTAAAATAGAATTATCTTTTAGAAGAAATGTTGGCTTTTCTTTATTTTTAACATATTTTACTACGCTTTAAGAGAAATACAATACTACTGGACAGATGAAAGATATCAGATACCTAGATAGTTGTTCAAGAGAAAAATGGAGTTCTGTGCACATTTTGATTTGAGCAGTTCTTTAACAGCAAGCTGTGTTACAAGATTCATGATTTGTTGAGTGTGCCAATTATGTTCTTCTGGATTGGTTTGCTCAGTGCTATCTCTATATGAATGTCTGATTAAAATTATCTATGGACAATTTTGTGTATGTTTTCAATGCCTGGGGGAATTGATCTTGTGGAGTCGTTTGTGTTTGGCCAAGGATGAATTCAGATACCATTGTTAGCATGTTTATTTGATTTTGTTACCTGGAATAAATGTTTTATGGAGGTAAGTTAATATGATGTGATCTACTAACATCGAAAATATATTTTAAGTCGAAGGAACAGTTTTGGTCTCGGTCTGCATTTTTGTCAACAAAATAAACACAAACTGCTTAAAAAGATGATAAAACGGACAATGTGCAAAGCTGTCAATTGTTTCTCGAATGTTGTGCATGTTAAATATTCAATAGTGACTTCTCATTTACATCTACATCTACATCTATTTTTATTACATTGGTAAAACCTGTACAGCCATCACACTAACCAACTCGCGTGCAAAGTGAGAAGACTATATGAAGGCTTAAAATTATATTACAATCAATTTTCATCAAGAAATGGGTCAGGAATATTCCACACTAGTGCAAATAATCTTGAAAGCTGATCGCGGAAAAGCGACTGCATGACACTTGGTAAGTGGTAAGATGACATGTTATCACATACCAGACAAAAAAAACTCTTCAGATTCTCAGTCTGCATTTGTACCCACTCTGCAATCTGCAGTCTACATTTTGTATCTGGTCTGCAGTCTGCATTTTGTACTTACAGTTATCTGTGGCACCAATACAGTTTAATTTTGGTTACAGTTATTTGCACAATATACACAATCTACCACAAAATACCTGTGTGTGAGTTAATTCTACATTTTTGCTCTTTCTGCATTAATACTCTTCTTTCCTATTGTAAGAATGTAGACATCACCTACAATGTTTCAAGTAATCCACCCACCCCCCAAAAAATAACTCTTGCATGCACAGCATGTCTATGTTTTTTCATATGGAAACTTTGCACACCACTTAAGTTTCCAGGAGTAAAACAAGATTTTATCTGCATGTACCTCACTGAAATGTGAACACTCTTATGATCTTTTCAATTATTGCTATGGACTCCTTTTCATCATTTTATAAAAGTCAAATTTTTATTACTGGTTGCATGTTTTTACCATTATGTAATAAAGTAGAAACCCGCTAAGTCAAACTCCCAATGTAGACAAAAATTGGTTTGGGTTAGCAAGGTTTCAAGTTAGCTGATAGTAAATGACTGAAAAAATAGTGTCAAGGTAAATCTAATCTTGTTTGAGTTTGAGTTGGTAGGGTTCTCCTATAATCAATTTTTCATCAAACTGTAATTTGATCTGTCTCCCATTACATGTAATTGGAAGGGGAGAAATTTCCCTACCCATCATTTAGTTTTAACAAACTTCAGACAAAAAAGTAAATCAGAGGGTCAGAGAAAATTCCAACTGGGTTTGTTGATCTATGAGAACAGGTAATTTTCATCACTTATAATATCTCTACCATTCAACAGGTGCTTTTCTTATCCCTTACGTTATCTTCATGTTGATTGAGGGATTACCACTGTTCTTCCTGGAGTTAAGTATTGGTCAGAGAATGAGAAAAAGTGCCATACGATGCTGGCAGGATGTACACCCTGCCCTTTTTGGTATTGGTGTGTCATGTCTCATGGTCTCACTGATGTTGTGCCTCTATTATGTGGTTGTCATCGCTTGGTGCTGTTATTACTTCTTCATTTCATTCACCAGTACCCTACCTTGGGAACATGACAAGCTTTGCACCAACTATAATGAATTTGCAAAAATCAAAAAGACTCTTGATAGCCTGTGCAGTGCCTCCAACAAAACTTGCAAAGCCACCCCACAGTACCAAGCAGTGAATGCAAGTTATCATAATTTCCCAGATTGTTGTGTGCGAGACCCACCACAATATTACTTCTACCACCACGCAATGCAAATTTCAAAAAACATTGAAGATGCTGGAGTTGGTATGAATGGGAAACTTGCTGGATGTCTAGTGTTTGCATGGGTTATTACATATCTCTGTGTGGTCAAAGGAATTAAATCAAGTGGAAAGGTATTCTTTCTTGGCTAATTTAAAATATTTGCATTTAGGGCAATAGATCTGCAATTTTCTGCTGTAGCAATTCTCGTTTGATTTGAGACAAGACTTTATGAGACTTCTCAATGGTCAGTGTACCAGCCTCAGATTAAGGAACCAGTTAACACCAGTTGATTCAGCCCAATCTTGCTTGCCCTGCTGGCTTTTCTTCTTTCTGTGACTCTTTTTTTTTTTTTTACTCAAAATAAGGGGGACCCCTCCACTAGATCCACCACTGGTAGTGATGCGAAAAAGCAATTGAGCTAGTTATGGAGTTTCATGAATGAGTATCTGAATCTTCTATAACTGATAACTGATCAGTTATGTTCTCTAATTTTCCTTCTAGGTTGTGTATTTCACTGCAACATTCCCCTACGTCATTCTCATCATTTTGTTCTTCCGAGGTGTTACATTGGAGGGAGCAGGAAATGGTGTCAAGGCATTTTTCAACCCAGATGTGAGTAGACTTGCTAATAGCTGAGGTCCCTTAAACTGTAAGCCTAATGTTCTGTTTTCATTATGTTACAGTGGAGTTTGTTGAATAATGCCAATATTTGGAAAGATGCTGCCACCCAGATGTTCTTCACCCTCAGCTTAGGATTTGGTGCACTTATAGCATTTTCCAGTTATATGCCTCTTCACAACCAAGTGATGCGTGATGCCTACACAGTGGTATTCATCAACTGTGGCACATCAGTGTTTGCTGGAATTGTAGTGTTCTCTATTTTGGGATATAGGGAACATGTCACAGGCATCCCAGCTACTGAGGTAGGATATTATTTTAGATAACACTGACAGCTATAAAATAGTAACAGTTTTAAAAAAAGGCATGATTCCTTTGTTTATAAACTGTATTTTCTTTATTACAATGATCACATTTGTGACTAAGTTACCATGTGTTCAGCTACCAGGACTGCAAATATTCCAGAATTAAAATGTTATGTGCCTAAGAAAAGACTCCACAAGATTTTCCTCAATTACTACTGTTGGGATAATTCTGGTTGGATATTCAGTTTAAGCTATCTTGTTGTGTAAAAGTTCTCTGGACAAAATTCAGTCTCTTTAAAAAATGGTTGATACCACAGATTATCTATAAATGACCAAGCCATGATCATGGAAGTCTCAATTGAGGTTTGATTGGTGTGACTGTATTTCTTTTAACAAACAGGTTGGGTCTGGTCCAGGTCTTGCCTTCATGACCTTTTCTGATGCCATTCTTTTGATGGATGTTTCACCACTCTGGGCCATCCTGTTCTTCTTCATGCTGATTCTTCTTGGTATCGACAGTGAGTTTGGCACCCTGGAAGCAGCCATTGGTCCTATCATGGAGCTGAAGATTTTCCCCAACATGAGGAAGGAACTTCTTACACTTCTAGTTGCAGTGATTTTATTCCTGTTTGGTTTGTGCATGGTTTCTGGACCTGGTTTCTACATTTTCCAAATGTTTGATGATTACTCTGTCACCATCCCATTACTTGTGATTGCTTTGTTCCAGTGCATTGGAGTGGCATGGGTTTATGGTAATGACAGGTATGGCACAACTTCCACTGGCATTTTTTAATGATAAAGTAGCCCACTGAATTAATACTACATAAAGAACACCAGTGAGCTAAGAGGGTATATCTAACCACTACCAGCGCAAATACTGCTGACTAATGAGACTGTTGTTATTATGATCAAGTTGATATTCCTAAGACAAACATTTGTCACAAAAGAAAAAGGTAGATATATCCTCCAAAATCAATCATGACCTGCATGAATAATCAAAGTGTTATCTTACAAATACACATAGGCATAGCATTTTAATTTTTGTATGCATGCAAATAGGTTTGCAGATGACATTGAATTCATGACTGGTAAGCGACCATGGATTGGCTGGATGATCTGCTGGAAATACATCTCCCCACTGGCTTTGTTTGTAGTTCTTATTGCCCTAATTGCCCAACAAAGCCAAAGTGCTCCAACATACTCCAAATTTGTTGGATGTACACAGGTATGGTAGCTGGCTAGAAACTATACTGTTTTTTGTTTTTCTTAATCATGATGCAAGATTTAAACAAATTTGTGCACAGTGAGCAGCCCTCATTTACCTGAAATTAAGGCATTGTGATAGTATCAGTCATTCAACCTTGACTCCTACTTGAAATGTTGAGCCATAGGCTACCAAGGGGACACAGTTACTAAGAGGTTAGGCATTGGTATAATGTGATGCCATCAGGAAGAGACTGGCATTCAGATTTCCTTGCATATTTCGTATAAAAAAGAGGAATAGCCTGACTGTTGTATTCCTTACATTTAGGACCCCTATAGTGGTGCTGGGTCAGACAAATGGACAGTAAGGGAAAAATACCCTGACTGGGCAGTGTTTGTTCTTGTGATGATTGTGCTTGTCTCTACTCTGCCAATTCTCATCTGGATGATTAAGGATTGGCCAAAGAACTGGCGTCAAGGCTTCCACAAAACATTCTGTACTGGTGTCAACAATTACCTGCCAGATCCTAAGAAGGAAGAGATTCCAGGAGATGCAAAAAGGGGTTCCAGTAACTATGGCATGGAAGGAGGCAATGTTATGTAAATCAACTGTGAAATTTCAAGTAGCATTTATGTCGGTTATTATGTTACACACTGTTAAATGTGAATTAAGAGTGCAAAAAGCTGCTGATGGGGGTAGTCATAAAATCAATCACAATTTTTAGCTTATAACTGGGTAACCCTGATGTTGCTTAAATTTTTGTAAGCTTTGTAAGAAAATTGTCATTATAGATGTATGCATATTCTTTAGATGTCCTTAAACATATTAGATTGACAAAGTTTTTTCACTCAGACACAAAATTGTATTGTTGAGAGTTTAACCCAATTAATTCAATTTAACCATGCCTTGTAAGAGTTCAAGCACATCTCTTCAGTTTTCATCTTTGTACAATCACGGGGTTTGGGGAAAGTAGAGCAATTTACAAAGACTTGTCTTGTATCTGGAATGTTCAAACAATTTCTCATATATATATTTTTAAAAATCTGGGTCAAAAGGTCCATTTAGCATTATTCTAACAACATTTTGTAAATTGGCAATTTCTGCACATCAAGTTATTTTTTTTGGTGAAGTCACACATGTTTTAATTAAAAACTACAACTGTTCATAGTAGTTTCCTCCTTTTTCAGCCTTTTGCTCTTTTAATTGTTATCAGAGATTTTGGAGATTCAGCAATGCAGTTCACATTCATCTACGTTTCCATTGCACCTTCAACTGACATGGTTACAACAGAAGGACTAAGACTTTTTAAGTAAAGAATCAGTGCAAAACTTGACCAAACAAAGGATAGACATGAGCTATCTTTTCACTTTAATGGATCCCTACAGGTGACCTTTATGGCACAACACACGTTTTATCAAAGTCATACCTTTCATATGCGTGGGGTAGGGGGTAAAGTGCCAATCTAGTTATCTAAGGTCAAAATTTGCACACACCTTGCACAACCTTTCTCTTTCTTCCCTCTACCTCTACTCGTCGGGCTCCCGAGAAAGAATCACTGTCGATCGATCGTCTGGTTTATAAAGCGCATGCGTAGAGTAGGGCATCTGTGCGGTCGCTCAGCGCTCTGCACTAAGCAGAGGTTGTTGTTTGAAAGGCTCATGACTTCAAGGGAGCTGAAATCACGCAAAAACGAACACGCCGTTCGCGGTAGAACCACACGAAAAGAAGTTGAGCATTTTCGGAACGGGTCGGTCCGCATGCCTCACGAGAGATCAATTTACGAGCGAACATTATGGGTGAACCCATCGAGAATCATGTTATCCCAAATGAGCAGTTAAATCTTAATCTTGATAAAACGCATCTTCAGAAGCGTCATCGTATTTTAAGACATGGTCGCGAACCAAGTAGAATCTCAGTACGAACTCTAGAACGTCTGAGCAACAAGAGCAGAAAGGTTAGAGAATTTGTTTTCAAATGTATTTGTTCGAGTACACACTAAGTCTTCGAAAACGTATTGTTATATTAAAGGCTTAGAAACATAATCCTAAATCCTTTGAGACAATACGTAAAAGTTTTAATAAAGTTAAAATCTCGAAGTAGACGGTATTGCTCACTATTTTCTGGTAACATGGTTGTGTGCCTTTACAAGAGTCAAACCCACGTAGCAAATTATTGTAAATTTAAGCTGAGCACAGATATCGAAAAGAACCCTAGCCTTCGCCTAGTGTATGTTGATCATATAGCCCATATAGCATGTTGATCATGTTGATGTATGTATGTATGTATGTATGTATGATGTATGTTGATCATTTAGCACCATATAGCCGAAGTCATGAGTTGATATACGGACAAAATGCTGAACAACAATGTTTTGCAATGAGTTTGTGCTGCTTGATTTAAAACAACAAACAATTCTGCAAATGCTCATTCAAATAATGAATATTGGAAATCAGTTGTATTCAAGGTTGTCTCAATTAGCCAGACAGTCCTAGTTAATGCAGAAACAATTACCTCGCAATTTTAAATGTGGTTGATGCTGACTATGAACTAGAATACAGTGAAAGTTACACTGGTACTGTACATTAGGAGACTGAAATAGAAGGATATCAGTACTGTACTTCTTTACAAAGAGCCTTTGAATCACTATTATCTCAAAACTACATCAATTTTATATCAACTGTGGGAGTTAAAAGTGTTTCTATTTACTGTAATGTTGATATGGGGTTCAAAGTATGATTCTCATGCAAGGGATGTACATGGTAGAGGCCATCCCCAAGGTACTTGTGCTTCTTGAAGCATTATCACTTGATAGATTAGTATGTTATTTTCAGAGTATACATAACAATGATATATTTGAGGTGAAGGGGGTACACATTAATTAATGAAGTTCAAAATGGTACAGTACTTCCTCTGAACAATGCACAACTCTCTAATTAAATCATTTAGTAATTGGAATTCAAACACTTTGGCTACTATTGTAGAAAACAATAGAACCATCAAAGAAGAAGGAAAACAAGGGATATGACAAATAAACATGAGCTGATGATGAAACAATTACAAAAGTACAAAATAATGGACACTGCTACAAAACAAAATCTGCAAGACAAAAAAGCAGACCAACACAAAACAATGGATACTGCGAAGAAGTAAATACTTCTTGAGAAATGCAGAGAGGAATACAGTTACTGTTGTAGTAAGAAGACAGTGGATTCATGTGTTGAACAGTTTAAAAAGAAAATAAGGGAAAGTCCTTGTTATATATGTTTTGTATGTAACACATCACTTTATGAAACATAGGCATGTGTAGCATGCAAGAGTTATTTTTTTGGCTGGGTGGGTTGAGATTGGACAGTTTGTGTACTTAATGTTTTTATTTTTGTAACCGAAAATGGCACAACTTTCAAAAGAACCAAAATATAGCAGAAAGACAGAGAAAAAAACCTAATTTATCTGAACTCACATGGATATTATGTATATTATTGTCTAAATACCATACTTCTAAGTAAAAATGAAATGCTTCGGTGCCATGCTTACTGTTGTCTCCTTTGCAGCTGTTGTTTGGTCTCATCGCACAATGCCCTCTATTTCCCATTTAAGAGAGAGCATGACTGGCTGTTGCCTCTCTGGACTTTGCCCTCTGTGTATGGAATACGTGATAAAATGCAGGTTGTTTTACAAGGAATTAACATGCAATTGAGTTAAGTCCAAGGTAGCTAAATGCAAATTTTATTTGAACAAAAAGTCAAAATGAGGGAGAATTGCATAGAAAGTTCACTATCAATAGCATTTAGTTCCATGTCAATTTTTTTTCCAGTGGGCTTGGACAATGCAGTCAGAATACATGATAAAATGCAGGTTATTCACAAGGAAATGACATGTGATCGAACAAAGTCTAATGTGGCAATGTGGAATTTGATTAGTCGAATACAATTCAAGCACATGAAAAATTTCCCAATGTTCATGTGGTGCAATGATTGGGTAAGTTCTAATTGGACTTTGGACATTCTTTTCATGGTATGTGGTGGAATGTGAGCTGTTTGGCATGTGCATTGGGAGTAAAAAAGTGGAAAATCACATTTATCTTAAAAATTTAGATGTGAGCTTTTCTTATCCTGATAAATCTTGACCTTAATTAATGAGGCTCTCACAAAGGCCACAAACCATCACACTTAACAAATGAGCCCAAATTTTCTGGTTAATGTCATTCTTTGTGCACAGACCCCTGATCCATGACATAATTTACAAGAAAGCAATACCCAAAGGCTGTGCAAGATATCTAAATGCTATGATATGATTGGTGTGAGATACATTCACAGATGTGGCAATCTGATTGGTGCGAGATACTTACCCTAATTCAGCAATCTGATTGGTGCAAGATAAACACTCTAAAGCAGCAATCTGATTTGTGCAAACAACACACCACTCTATACACTAACATAGAGTTTTTTAATTTTATTTTTTAAAATAACATTTAAAAAATATGTCTTAAATTGAACCCAAGTAGCTACCCTTATCAAGATGTTTGAAAATACAATCACCATATCATGGAAAATAATATGTCTGCAAGACCTGTCACTCAAAAACCATACAAGGAACAATTCCATGTCAGGCAATCGTGAACAATTTAAATGTTGACGATGTATTAACTGAGTTTGGAAATCTTTAAAAACTGGAACAAACAATAATTGCACAGCGCAACGTATTTAGTCCAGTCGCAAATGTACATAATTTAAGTCCTGAGGGAATTTCGCGCAGAAAGCAAGCCACTGCACTAGATATGTTAATGGGACCCTAAATAACGGGAAAAATCTTGTTGCCACTTTTGCAACCTGCTCCAACGCTTTTTAGAGGATGTCTTATAAATGCCCCTACAGACCCTGCATGAAAATGAGGTTACTTCATAAAACAACTTATAACTTCGTTTATTATGGGCCATAAAGCACCAAGTAGCACCAAAGATATAAATCTACGTTGTCGTTATCATAACTGCATGTTTAGTGACTGAGTCACAAGATTAGTCGCGTGACTAAGAGAGCATGGAAGTGAGGTTGGTCTTCTAAAATTTCCCTCGACATTCCTACAACGTCTAATTAACAAATAGAGAAGCCTTGACTGGGCTCCATTCTGTTAAAAAGCACGCAGGAAGCGGTCAGAGCACAAAATAAGTGTAGGGAGAAACACACGTAGTCTCCCCACTTCTTGAACACTGAATTTTTTATACTATACGAGTGTTAGATGTGTTTGATTTTTATTACCGTACGCAAGCTTGCAATCTAACCGAGTGTGAAAATCTTTAAAACTCGGAATGTCTAATTTGTTTTCCTTTGAGGACTTTAGTATCTGCTCACGTTTAAATAACGTAAATTACGGCGCCTGGTATGTTTACAAACCTGTATTGGTTCTTCTGTTGCTACTTGCCGGCTCGCTCGTTCCGAAATTTCACTTTCAATCATCGGAAAAAAGCTAAAAAGAAGTCTCGGAAAAGGTCGAACATAGGACAATTTGGCAGATGGCGTGACAGCTTTAGCTCAGCTCTATGCTCTATTTAACAAATTGATTCCAAGTTGCCGTGCGTCTGTTCAGTAATAGATCACAGATGACGTCAAAATGTGGTAAGAACAAAAAGTAGCACACGAGGCGCAGCATTACTGAACAGACGCTCGGCAACTTGGAATCTATTTGTTTTATACAATAAAGAATTCAAATATACGGAAAAAAGTTTCAATGATGACGTCATCTATTTCGTCCTTCAATAGATCATAAGTGAGAACCAATCAGAATGCGTACATAACTGAGCTTATTATATAAACTCCTATAGAGCACGCTCTTTCAATCAATGACAGCGCGCGTTATATCCGAACTTTATTACAAAATGTTTTGTTATACTTCATAAACAGCGTATCTCTTTGAGTTCAAACTGTCCCTTTTCGACAAGATGTGTTGGTCACGTTAATTTCAAAAACACGAGAACGAGGCCAGATAGAAAGTTTTTATATCTGAGATACCAGTCATCACCTATTGCCTGTGTGGAGAGCTATTTCTGAAATTACAAGAAAACTAACGATAAAAAAATATTCTTACCGAAATTTACAGAATTAAATTAATTAGAGAATCTAGGAATTGGTGGTAAAGACTGTGCATTGGAAAAACACTCAAAATTGCACAACAATACGAACTTTCTGTGGTGCCAAGATCGATGTTTGCATTATAAATCAAATCTTTATCCGCAGTTCAAATATATGACTTTCATATATTCTTAACCGGAACATTGCTTTGTTGCTCATGTAAGAGTGTCCTTATCGGTATTTTAGAGAAACTGCCCTTGGATCCAAATGAAGATGACAACAACGCTGGTGACCACAGTACAGAAGTCCAAATGAGAGTCGCTGCGGTTGATGCAATGGCTGAGGTTAAGTGCCCAGAGACAAACCTGAATGGATCAAAAACCGTTCGCATTTTTGAAAAGTTCAGCGAAAATGGAGAAATCCCGTTGGTTTCTGACAGATACGATCTGCCATCTTCCCCAAAAGAAACTACTCGTACGAAGAAGCAAAAAAGCCGGAATCCGGTGTATTATCGTATCACATGGCCGGCGAAATGGAAGACGAGTAGTTGTAGCATGGAACTCAGAATGCATTGGAATAATTGAAGATTGTTCTTTTATCCTAAGCAATCAAGAGGAGGCAGACAAATTATTTTACATGCCGTAGATGCTACAGCCAGAGGTACCACTGGAGAACACTCTTCTTGTCACTGGTACAGGCAGGAACCATCGAAAAATTATTCTTTGACCAATTTTTCGCACCTTAGGCTCCGAAATAGCAGCCGCTCTCCCGGCGTTTCATGCTCAAAGTGGAGCAGACAATACTGGCTGTTTTTCGGGGAAGGGAAAGCTGCATGCTGGGAAGCTTTCAGCTTTTGAAGGTTCAGATTTGACTCCTGGAGTTGCGATTATGGTTTCAATCGAGAAGTTTGTGTGTCAGCCCTGTCTCCCCGAGACGGATATGTGATCTGTGGCAAAACTAAGATGGTGGTTTTTTAGAAAGAAACAAGCCTAGTGGGAGAGGCTACCTTCAACCCAGGCTACTCTTCAACAAGCAATTTTAGGAGCCCATTATTAACTCATAATATGGAATAACGATGTAGTAGCAAATCCCACCCTGCCATCACCAGAACATTTTGGTCGGACGCTGGATGGATACCAGTGGGTTCCAGTTATGACTATCATAGCACCTCAAGCTATTATTCATCATGTGAAGTGCAAGTGCGCTAAGGAGAGATGTTTCACAAACCGCTGCTAGTGTAGAAAGAATGGGCTGAACTGCACGGATCTTTGAAGATAGTGGAGAGCCATGTGAAAATGTGCGAAGTGATGAAGACGATGATTCTGGCGATAGTAACGAGTGATAAGGAAGAAAATGGTTATTGAATATGATTCTGACGTTTTGAGCGATTAGGTTTCGCAAAAGGACGCTGCCAGTCCCAAATCTCAAATCCAAATATCACAGCCGCGCTCTGGTGTTCTTGAAATTCTCGAAAAGGAACAGTTTGAGCTCAAAGAAATATTTACGCCGCTTATGAAGTACAATTAAGCATTTTAGACACTGAAGGAGAGTCAAAAGAAATTTTAGAAGACCAGCCTCACCTTCATGCTCTCTTAGTCACCTGACTAATCTTGTTACTCACAGTTACTAAACATGCATTCATGATGACGACAACGTAGATTTATAACTTTGGTACCATTTTGGTGCAATATGGCCCATAACAAAAGAAGTTATCAGTTGTTTTATGAAGTAGCCTCGTTTTCATGCAGGGTCTGTGGGCACATCTATGAAACAGGGTCTGTGGGCACATCTATGAAACAGGGTCTGTGGGCACATCTATGAAACAGGGTCTGTGGGCACATCTATGAAACATCCTCTAAAAGGCATTGGAGTAGGTCAGGGGACTTGTTTATTCTCAACCTGTTAGACCTGAGTCCATAATAGCAGTGCTTAATTGGTGGAAAGCTAATAACCCCTTATAAAAAGATATAAAAAATGGTTGCAGAAATATTGATGTACAGCTTTGAAACAAACTCTCTAAGTGCAAACCATTCAAGCAGTACAGTATAAACTATTTACATATTACTTTGACACTAAATTTGTTTCAAATGCATTACTGCTTTACACCCTCAAATCCGTATGCATATTCTCCATACTGCTCTTTATACATTTCTTAAGGTGCTGACAAGGAGAATTTGTTTACCAATCAAAAGCTTTATTTGTTGATGACCATTTCCTATATTCTCATGACTTTAATGTGATTCAGGTGTGATATTGTAGAGAGATTTAAAGGGTCAAGATACAGGATTTTGATAAGTTGTGTTTAGGAATTTCACATGTGTACAGATTTAATATCTACAGTGGCTGGTAAGAACAAAACAGAGTCACAAAACCTACAACACAAACACAAACTTAAAACAGAATCACAAAATCTGCAACACTAACACAAAACTCTACAACACAAACACAAACTTAAAACAGAATCACAAAATCCGCAGCACTACCACAAAACTCTACAACACAAACACAAACTTAAACAAAATCACAAAATCCACAACACTAACACTAAACACTACAACATAAACACAAACTTAAGTTTCCTGGATGTAAATAACTGAAAATGACATAGAAACATCTTCCATTCATTTTTATTCTTCTTGAGTAAAGGCATGAGGAAACAGAGTAATTTAAAAGCTACAATGAATTTTTGGAAAGAAAAAAATCTAAACTGAAATTATGCTACATTACCTCCTAAAACAGGTTTTAGGGGGTAACTACCCACCAGAATAATGAAGGAGAGTATATAAGGAGCAAATTGAATTAAAAACTCAACTAAATTTTAAATATGAAAAGAAGATGAAATGAAAGAGAATTAAGCATCCTTTAGTCTTCAGTGTCCCTCTACTACCTGAAAAGCAAGCACCTACACAGTAACCGGTTTGAACCTGTGGGTTACATGTAATCTTGTAGTTTGATTGTTTGGGTGAGTGTAGTCTGAGAAGGACTGTTGTTTGTGGTAACTGATTATTCAATGACCCAAGCCGAAGCCATCACCACAGACAAGATGAACTCAACTCTACTCTGATAATTACTTCTATTCAGGTCATCGAAACATCAGTCCCTACTATCAACAACAGTCCTTCTCCAGACTACACTCACCCCAACCATCACAGTACATAACCCACCTTTAAAGTGAAGAATTCACAGATTGGAAATATTCCATCCAAAAAAAGATCTTTACACTACCTCCACACCAATTCAAAATTCACTTAGTAACAATTAAAGAAGCTTATCCCTTCCACAAAGCACAGCACAAATTATGCCTTTAGTGTGTTTATCATAACTTCTCAATCCTCTTACCATCAAACTAACCACAGAGCCACCCCATCTTCCATACTTTACAATTCATTTTCCAAAACTTTAAAACGAAAAACAAGACATAACACAGATTCGCCAAACTAAGTATGATTTTATTCAGAATGAAAGTGTTCCTAACCCTAACAAGCTTATGTATCCACTTTATTGTTTCTGCTACTCAGGATACTGAGTCAAGTCCAAAGTAAACACCCGACTCACTGTACAGTCCTTATCAGGCTGCAGAGAAAATTGAATATGAAAGTCAAGGAGAGAGCAACACATGGAAAAAGTTTTCCATTTTTGATTGATGTTGAAATAAAAAAGCATCAGCTATACTTGATACTGTTTATCTGTGTCATTACATTTAGTAGTATATATACTTCTTTTTAATAGAGGACAAGAAGTAAGGAGCAAAGAAAGGGGGTAAGCAGTGTGCAATAAAGTGTAAGAAATGTAATGAATACAGAGGAGAGAATTAAGGGTAAGTGGCTGTGCTCCTTTGTATGGAGTTCATAAAAGCACTGCCAAGACATGTTGCTGAATCATGAAATTGACCCAATAAAAGAAATAACAAACAAACAAAGAGGTTCTTGGCATTAAACACTAACCTCCGCAGTGATTCCAATAAGAGCTTCAGCTCTTGTGTAGAACTCTTCTTTAAGTGAAATCACAATGCACTGAAAATGCTCTCTGGTTTCATTAATAATGTACCTTGCAACCTTAAAAAACAGCATTAATTACATAAGTAAAAATTTTTAATTGTGTGGGTAGGAAGAAAGAAGTGATATTTTCATCATAACACTTTACCTTAGCTAAACCGTTAAACAAATAAAAGTTTTCATTATTGCTAATTATGTAGAGAATTGACTTGACAAGGTACCAAAAATCTACTGATTTGGAAGTACAGACATTAATTCTTGTGCAACAATATTTAGCATTTTCCATACATCAAGCATAAGATATATCCCATCTTATATGAATTACGTGCTGTGAATGGTTACCACCTCATTCACCGATGTTCTTGTTAAACATATACCCTGGTTGCATTTTACACAGAAATTCCTATTGAAATGTAAAAGGTTAGCTTGACAACCAAAAAGGTGGCAGATAATAGAAAATTAGACTATCACAAAGCAATAGATCTTAATTCTTAGACTGAGAGGCTGAAGCATGACCTATACTGTAATGACAAACACAACGACTAACTCTGATTTTACTCACTTTCACAAAAGTCCATCAAATGGCTCAGTGAGAAAATGATGATTAATTCAAATGTTTCACCAAAGTTAACAATTGACAAAAAGACAAAGGGAAGAAATTTTTGGCATTTGCTGTAAAAGTTATGCTCAACCTCTCTAAGAACTTGCAGAGATGTGTAATGGGAAGTTTGGGTGTAAAATGAACAATAAGTGAACATTAGCATCGGACATATTCACCTTGTTGATGTTAGTGTTGTCCAGGGCTGCATCTATTTCATCCAAAACAAAGAATGGGGCAGGCTGGTAGCTTGAGAGATTCAAGAAATAAATCAAAATAAAAACATTGAAAAAACTATTCTTTAGCCCACTTTTATGAATCAATGATCTTCTGAAATTGTCTGGAAACTACAGTGGCCCATAGAGGACCTGCCACATTTTTTTTTATCGCGCAATAAAATCAAAATATCGCATGATAAATGGGAAACATGTTAGGTCACATAATCGGCTGTTACACATGTTGTTTCTGTGGATGGCTGCCACAGTTGAGGAGGTATGTTTTGAGGTCAATAGAAACAAAATGGCAACAGCGAAGCAAAAGAAATTGTTGGCTGCTCAGTTTACTGTAATTCGCAAAACGAGACAGATTAGATAATCCACTCTCGTTCTCAGACACTGACGGCCATCCCTAAAAGTGTCTCGTAAGATTTTGCAAAATCAAGGTTTACTGCACTGATTCACAGAGCTATGTGTCATAGAAGTATTGCAAAGTACTGCTAAATGATCTCTTTACGTAATTAAAATGAACTATTGACCTCAAAACCTACCTTCTCAACTGTGGAAACCATTGTCATCCATGGAAACAATGTGCATGACAGCCAATTAAGTGACCTAACATGTTTCCCATTTATCGCACAATAAATGATTAATTATCGCACAATAAATGATTAATTATTGTGCGATAATTTTTATTTATTGCACACTAATTTTTCATTTATCGTGCAATAATTTATCAGTTATCGCATGATATTGGATTTTATCATGCGATAAAAAAAAATGTGGCATGTCCTCTATGGGCCACCGTAGAAAACTGCTGAGAAAATACAAACTAAAAATGATAGATGACACTTATGACATGCTTGTGGTAGTGGTTGCTATTATCACAATGTAGCTTATTCAAGACTCTTGACTTGATTCATGGCTACAATTGTTGCACCAAATGAAACCAGTTTAAATTTATGCATCTCCATTACCTTGACAACATTCTGTGACAGCCACAAAGATTCTCAGTCACACAAAAGCAAATTGTTATAACCTGTCATTGCCAAGTGTATCATTACCTTTAGCTTAATTACCTGTGAATACTGAAGAGAAGAGCAAGTGCAGCAACAGTCTTCTCTCCACCTGATAAATTATCCATTGGTCGAAACCTAAGTAGTTAGAAAGATAATGTGTAACTGGTATGAATGCAAGGAAAGTAACGTATCACATACTTCTTTTTTCCCTCAGAGAAGGTTAAAATAACCTGCCTAAAGGTGTCTCACATATCTGTATGATAAGTAACAGTAAGAAGAAATAAGTAAGAGGTGACTGGGCAATAACACCTTTTCCCTGGTGCTACACAGTTATAATTGATTCCTCCAAGATAGGGTTCCTGCAAAAACATAAAAGAATTAATTTTTCAAAACACAAAGTAGCTAAATAACTACTAGTATTTACTTAATCACTCATATTCTCTTGCTCAAAGTTACTAAAATAAGACAAACAGGTTTTTCCTTAATGTAACAGTCACACCTCTGCATCCTCTGGTCCAAGGAATGCTTGGGCACTAGGATTATTGGCCAACTCCTGTGGACAGGATATATAAGTGAGTGACTTCTTCATCACACATAGTTGCTTTGATTCTTACTTCATTGCAAAATAAGCCACCCAAATAATAATTGATATACAGAATAACTGTAAAATGACTAATCAATGCCACAGAAAACAAAAGAAATAACCAGCTTAAAGAAACCTATTCAAAAAAAATTTAAGTTGTGTTGAGAGTTAAATGTTAGAGTGATTTCTTTTACAACTTAATGAAGTGACAATATCACATGATGAAGAACCATTCTACAAGAACTCTCTATCATGTCACAACTTAACTATAATCCTCAGTTACCTTGTATATGTCATCTATTCTTTGTGAAACATGTTCAAATGCATCCATAAACCGGTCATACCTGACCAATAATAACAAAGGTAACAAAGTATTAGCACTATTCAGTTGGCAATCAAAGTAATGGTGGATTTTTTCACCAAGGGGGGGGGGGGGGGGAAAATTTACCTCTACATTAAGCTGCCACCAGGGGCTCCTTTTTCCCAGGAGCATATTAGTTAGACAGCAAAAGAGATTGCATTTAGGGTACTGAGGGGTTTTAGTCCCAGCACTAACTATTGTGCTACTACACTATCCTACTTCCCACTCACCAAAAAAGAATGCCCTATAGCAAGTTACCTTTCCAAACTGAACAACAAAAAAGATGAGGCATTTGAGACAAAAGAATGCCTGCCCACTATCCAAAAAACCTTCTAAAACATAAGTGTTATTTCTATGTTGAGATACTTCCAGGTGTCTCATTTTATGAGCCTTATAAAAACCATGGCATAATACTGTCAATGCAACTCATGGCTGACCTATTTTTTTTGACAGTTTCAAACTCAATCTTGGCCTTTCTTGCTTTGTTTCGTGCTTGCTCAAACTCAGCACTTGTCTCTTGAAATCGACTACTTACTCCATCCAATCTAAATTGAAAAAAAATTAGCAATTAACATTTAGCTATCTTCTACATGATGTTAACCTTGCTTTATCTAGATAATCTGAAAAGAAAGAGGAAGGTTGATTGCTACCTTGATTAAGTTTTTCAAATTAGAGGGCAAATGCTACTGAATGTTAAAAAGTATATTAAATCCATTCAATATCGTATTTATATTTATTATCTTTCTCTGTTATCCTGTTCATACAACACCTTTTTCATTTGGTGGAAAATTGCTTACTTCTCAAGTGCCTTCATATTTGGAGCCTGTATCCTCTGTAAAGTTGCCTGCAGCTTGTTCACCTTGTTTGCCAGCTCATTCATTGTGTTACGGATTTCTGATGGGTCTTCAAGCTGATCAGTAACAAAAGCAGTTAGAACAATGGTCAAGAGAGACTAGCACCTAGTAACTGACATGTTGTACTGAACACACCTGCTTTAAGCTTCGACCAAGTGAAGAGTAGTCAATAATTAGATTGGCCTCCCTCTCATAAGTGATCTTGGCCCCCTGTGGGAAGAAAATCCACATCAATGGACTGAACATAAATAATCAAATGAGAACTGCAGTAAAGTATCATTCACATTAAAATCAACAACTCATCTCCCCTTATTGATCAATCCTATAATTGTTCTGAACCTAGTCACCCCCCAAAGTAAAAGAAGAAAAATTTGATGAATACAAAGACAGGCATCAAGTTTGTTTACAATGATGTTCTAGATGGCCACAACGAGAATTTTGGTTTTCATGTAACAATTTTCCAAGTGGTTCTGTGTACCCTGCAAGGGTCAGCAGTGGAGATTACCTGTGTGCTTGTGCTGTCAATTTCCATTGATGATGATTCTCCTCGGTCCTGACTTGACATTTCTGGCTGACTACTTGAAGGTTCTCCAAGATCAATATCATTCATTCCTCCCTTTTTGAAGGGAAGGAAGATGTCTTCCATCTGTCATTGTCATATAACCAAAGAGGAAAATTAGATTTAAAAAATGCAAATACAAGCACATAAAATGAGTCATTAAGTGGTTGAGTAAGTGAGGATCTTCACTAAGAAATTCATCCTAAGCCATCATCCAATGAAGTGCATCGAAACACAAAAACAACATAACTAAAATAAATGCTCCATTACCAGCACTCAGATAACTGTCATTATTACCTTGCATGACTTTAAGAGACTGTGACGATCTGCTCTCTTTTGCTCCAACTGAGTTTCCTATACATTAAAGTTATACAGAAAGATTACTGAAACAAGTCTGAACATTCATGCAAATTGTATATTACAAGAAAAGCACAATACATTCAATGCAGTCTTGATGAAAAACCTCTTTCTTACAATATTTTCTAAAAAAAAAATCAACCATTAAAAAATTCCAATGAAATTCACCATGGCAGTGATTTGTTTTTGATGAGTTGTAACATCCTTCATGTGATGCATAAAGCTTTTCTTGACTTCCTTTATTTCCAGATCCTGGAAGAGACATGTAAACAAGGTATAGATCCTGGTCGGCAACTATTGGTTTTATTTTAATATAAACATTCAAAACAGAGGATTGAACATAAAAACACCTGAACAAACACATAGTTATTATGTCTTGCACGAGTGTTGCTTATTCCCTGTTTACCTTCTCATCTATCTGAGACTTCTTTGCTGATTTTTCCAAACGCAGCTTTTCCAGCTCTGTTGTGTCTTTCTCAATTAACTGCAAATAAATCAACCAGTTTAATTAATTAATATGTCTAAAATGGTGAATTTTCCTCATAAATGAAAACATAAAAAGAGTAATTTCTGTTACATTCTTGAAGCAAGAGCATTGAAGGAAGTAGTTACCTTCAGTTTCTCCTTTTCCTCTCCTCTGAGTTTTTCAATCTCTAATTCATCAGCTGCCATGCTTTCCTCCAGTTTTTTTAGTTGACCTTAAAACAAATTGCCATTTGACCAAACCTTTTAAATCAAGACTTATTGACTAATGTGAGCACCAAAATCTTTGTAAATACATAGATGTGTTCAACAGCATTAGTCAAGGTTTAATAATAAAGGAGCACAGAGGCATTTGTCTGAACAACAGATGGGAAAAGGCTTCCTGGTTTCTAGAGGAAAAAAATTGTCAGGGAAGCATAATTGTTTTGTTTGGCTTCTCTTCTTTCTTTCCTTTTTTTCTGGTTCCCAGAAGGGAGGGTTTTAGGGCTGTGACTGCAATTTATAAAAGCTAATGTGTGTGGAGATTAGATTTGTCACATGCTATTTGACACATGCTATTTTCCAGCAATCCTCAAACTTAATAGTAAACTATCAAAAGGGGCATCACTAATCATACTTACTGGGCATTGAGGACATAATCATCAAACATGACATAATCATATACTAGATAGAATTTTTACTATAGATTTGTTTTATTATAGATTGCTTAGCCTCAATGATGCAGACTGGATAAATTGCTTCTCATCTTCTTGAAAATGCCACTATATGAAAAATTATTTTCAAAAATTTCATACCTTTGGTATCTCTTCCTTTCTCATACTCCAACTGTAAAATTAACCAATAAGAACTAGTGAGATTTGTAATGATTACTACAGTTAAAGTGGATGACAGAGTTTAAGATTTGATGACATACAAAGTAGTATGTTGCATAAATATCTTTTCTGAGAAAAAAAATACCATGACATTGGGAGTTTTAGGGATGCAGTGCACACATTCATACTGCTAACAAAATCGCTGCTCTCTTTTTGAATGAGCATTTTTATAGATTAGAAAAATCTCCTGGAAAGCTTTTATAAATGAATAAATAAAATGCAAAGATACCATGTGAAATGGTTGTTAATAGGTAATATTTACAGGTGTCTCATATAAACTTCCAGGAGAAAGAGTATGTGGATTTCTAAACCTGATTTATGAGGCGTGACTCCTGGTTGTTAAACTCTAGGCGGCGTTGATCCCTCTCTAGCCGTGCTTTAAGTTGTTTTTCTTCATATTGCCTTTGTATAATAAATTTTGAAAAACAGAGGATTATTGTCAAAAGAAAATAACACTAAAAGCACTAAATCAGACTTAAGAAAGCTCAAATGGACTGTAGGGTCTGATTTCATACATTACTTACACAAAAAAATGAAACAATTTGTTGATCTTGTGCTCATATGAATCAATTTCACCACCCTTGTCATTTACTGATCACAACCTTGCATGAATCAAATACTTTATGATCATCTTCCATACAGGTTATGCCAGCAACAGAACAACCAACTTAAACATCCTTATTTTGTGTTTGGTGTTAACAACTCAACAATGGGCTATATTTTTGCCATTCTCTACTGTTGAAGAAGGAAAAACATATCCAGAAGCCCTTTTCAACACAGATTAGAAATCTGTGTGGAGGACTTAAAGTGATTCCTCAGTGTTGCATTCTGTATCCTGTACTGCTCATAAAAATCATATAATCAGGCCAATAAGCATGTGTGCCTTCTGAGAACATGGTATTGTTTTTCATCAATGGACCAGGTGAAGAGGAAAACGGTCTTTAGCTTTTGAATGAGCACTGTGATCTACCTTTTTTAATTGCATAATCTAAATGTACAAATTATCCCCTTTATATTGGGAAATTCAAAAAAGGAAAAAAAGATATAGCTAAAAGCATGTACAAAGCCTGTTGCTTGATAATGCAAATTATGACCTTGAAAGCAAGGACTCGTTTAAAATTGCATGATTTTCCATAAATTATACATCAAATTGGTTCATATACTAGAAAATTTCTACCATTTCAAGTTTTTTTGAAGTGTTACTTTAAAAACCCCTGCTTCTGGTTACCACAAAATTTACTGTGAACTGATGAAATAATGTACATGACTAGTGCCAGTACATGCAAAAATGGGGGAAGATTTGCTGATTGTATCTCTTAAACAAGCACAATTATCTATTTTTTCCATTGAATTTTTCAAAATAAACATTGGTAGGAATCATTAAAGGAAAGTTTAAAAGAATTTTGTTTAATAACTTTTTTTTCTGAGGAATCACTTTAAAGCCAAATGACTCTTTAATTCAGACAAAGAAAACAGATTCAAAGTGAACTAAAGGTTACCTTACACAAAGTGAATTTACCATCAAACTGACAAAACACAAATAATATGACAAGAAATATCAATACTTCTTTTTCAAATTATGAAAGCCTCTTTCTTGTATACAGTGGAAACTTTTGCCTCTCATTAGCAATGATATATATTATATTCTGTAAGTGCTTAAACAAACAAGTTTTTGACAATTGCATGTATTAAAAAAATTATGGAGATTATTACAACCTAAATAATAGATAAATCTGTACATACACCCTCTCATAAATCTTAAACATAAATTCAGGCAAAAAAGTGCTCCTGATATTAAGGTTTTGAAAGTCAAAAAAGTTATCTTTAAAGAGCAACACACCTTATGTTCTCCACATTTATTTGCTCACAAAATCCTCTGAAAACCTGAGATTAAATACATGTTTAGATGGTACTAAGTCTGATAAACTTGATATCCTTTAGGAGGATACAACTTAACTGCAATGTGAATGCTATTTTCCTCATAGCACCATTTATACTCACCCCCTCCACCAAAAATAAAAAGATAAATATGTAGAATTAATCAACTAAACCAATCAATCAAGAAGTACATGTGACAAAATAATCATTCAGAAAGCTAGAAGAATCTGGGGAAGAGATTTAATTTTATCAAAACCGTATTTCCATACATTATAATAACTACTATGGCTTACCTGGTCCTCCACTCTGTTCATTCTTTTCTCAGTATTTGTGATTTCTTCACTCCTCTTGGCCATTGAAAGAAGCAACTTCTCTCTCTTCGGCTAAAAAGAATGCAAAGAACATTAATTTTGAAGTTTCATTCTCTTGTGTAAGTCAGGCAGGAGTTAACAACAAAGCCAACATGCCAAGAAAGGCAAGGTCACCACTGACAACATGTAGTAAAAGAACAGTCATTAAGGAGTGTGTGGGTATACCTCCAGGCTGTCTAGTTCTTTCTTTATGATCTTCAGCTCCTTAGAAATTTCTCCAAGAGTTTGTTTTTCCTTTTAATGACAAGAAAACCTATCAGTGACTGTGAATATGTGAAAATCATATATGTTACATTGTTACTACCATAACAGGTACAAAAGGAGTGGAGATCATCATGTACATAGACTAAAAAAGGTTTAAATCTTTGATACCTAAAAGTAACTAGCACCTGATATTGTCTTGCAATATCACCCCTGAATCACCCAATAAGGTCACAAGAATAAATGATATGATCATCAACTAAAGATGATCTTGAATGTTGAAAAAAAAATTGTCCTTTTCAGCACTTTAGTAAATGTATGGGGAACAGTATGGAAAACATGCCTACTGATTTAAGTGCAAGGAATGCATGAAGCTCACTTGTAACTACAATTTTGATGTAATGAATGTCTAAGCACATCTCACAACCAAAGTGCCTCTGTTTAGGCACTTAAAGTGGGATGAAAAAGAACCAAGCCCAACAAAGCATGATGGGATTTGTGTTTTTTTTCCTACTTTGATCAAAGTCCTACTTTTTAGTGTCAGGGTGGATTTGGAAATGAGTAAATGTAAGGTAAAAGGTTTATTCTGCTAAATAACTAAGTAACTGCCACAGCAAAGAAAGTTAGAAAGGGTGTTTAGAGGGGCTTGAAATAGCAATAAATAAGGACATAAGCAACTGTAACAATGTGCATGGCTGATGACTGTAAACTGAAACTGACTTACTGTAGTTTCTTTATCCTTAGTAGAGTATCTCAGTCTGTGTTCAAGCCCATCAATCTGAGATCTCAGGTTCTGCAGTTCTGGCTCTTTCCTACGGTGTTTGCTAAGATCTTTTAATTCTGCCAAATAGCTGTCACGTTTTTTCTTCATTCCCTCAACTTGCTTCTCATCCCACCGTCTAGCCTTTGCCTTTAGATCACTTTGTGCCAAAAAAGAATAAATAGAAAAAAGATACAAAGACAGCTGGATTCAAGTTATCTAACATTGATCAACATTGGCAACATTGACCTTATCTTTCATGAACTGAGTTTGTAAATGTGTCTACCGAGCCATTTATATCTAATTGAAGATGTCTTAGCCACATAAATACCATAAAAAAGCTGAATTTGTGGGCATTGTAATAACTCCAGACACTGCACACTGAAATGCAACTTGGCTTTATTTCTGAAACATTATATGAACAATTCAAAAACCATTATCATACCTTACTCCACCAGAAATTACACCAGACTTTTGGAAAAGTGTTCCATCTAAGGAGACTGTCTTCTTTCTCTCTGCACCACCAAATGCAAGCTTTCTTGCTTCCTCCATTCCATCACAGACAAGGGCATTTGCACAAGCAAACTGCAATGCTTTCTACAAAGCAAACAAAATATAGTTGCATAACAACAGTTTAGTCAGCAGCATATCTATTTGCCAACTTTTAGCTCTCATTAAGTAAAACTTTTTTCACTCAAACTCTATATTAGCCTCTTCCTTAATATTTAAAGCCCATAACACTGATGCAAAAGGATATTTTTTTACCACAGTAATTACAAAAAGTGAAGGTATAGTCTATCCTAGGGATAAAGGGGTCCCCATCAATTTAGGAGCATAGAGCATAACCAACCATTGTAGAGTTTTCGACCATTTTCATACTTAGGCAGTTTTTAATGATTGTAACTATTCAAAAACCTTTTGTAAGTACCTTGACAACTGGTGGGTTGTATCTAATTACATCAATGACTAGCTTAGCAGTACCACCAATCTGCCTCAACTTTTCATTGATAGGCTTTACTTGAATGCTGTCCAGAGGAAGGAACATCTCAGGATCAGCTCGCTATCAGCAAGAAAAAATCACCAATCAGTTTAGCACGCAACATACTAATCAGTTCAGTTTTACGTGGAAATTTGCTTGCCCTGTGCATTCAGTGGGTGGTTTTCTGCTTGTAACAATTAGTTTAAATATTAAAAAAAAAACCCTGTAAAATGTGTTTGATATTCTTGTCTTTCCAGTTTGTGTACCTGTTGAAAATTAAAATGATGACAAAAAATATTTTAAAACTGAGCACAGTAAATAAGAATGATTGCAACTTAAGGGAATCTTGACATCTAAAGTTTTTTTTAAGAAACCCAATACCATAAAATTGCCGGTTTAGGCTATTGGAGGAAGAAGAAAAGACACAACTCTTAATTCCCAGTCTAGAATGGAAAGCTGTCATTTCAAATTAAGAGCAAATAAAAACTTATTCCTCTCTGCCAAGCACCTTGGTAGCTACAGCTTCCTCTTTCACAAGTCAGGCAACATCCATTCCATAACTAAAGGACATACAAGGCGAGTAAGCCTTTACTAACCTGTTCTCTTAAATATTGAATGCAGTCTTTTCCAGTTTTTTCTGTATCCACAACAATGGCATCCATGTTTCTTCCAAGGACCCTTGTTATTGCAAGTGTATACCTAAGAAGCAAGAACATAAAAATAAATAAGTATATATTTAATAAAAATTGCTTTCTGTCTTGAATTAACTCAGGACTTTCTTTCCAAAGACCTATACACATAATATGTCCTCTAGGCTGGCAATAACTGCTGTAACTCCCCACACCTGATACAACTGAGCTCACTTGATCTGTGGACATTAGTGCACAGTTCTCAAGTTTTCAATAAGGCAAACAGTTGTGTAAAAAGACAGCCCTTGGACCTATGAAATTAAGATAAAAAAAAAAGACTGTATGTATACTAACTTTTTGTGGACTGGTTCACAGAGATCTATAAGTCGTCCATAAACCCCTGGGAAGAGTCTCTTCATGCTCTCCAAAAGTTCTTGCTTCTTTTGATGTCTAGCACTTTCATGTTTGTCCATTTTGGCTTCATTTAATTCTCCCTGTACACCTTCAAGAAGTTGACTTATTTCGCTATGACGAGAGTTGGCATCACTAGGAAAATAGCATAATGAAAGGGAGGTGAACATTTTCCTCCACAGTATACTATGAGTTAACATTTTGATCTAGTTTTATTTTTAATATCTCTTAAATTAGATAATAACAGACATTTTCCAAGAATGACTTCCTTGTATTTGACAAGGAAGGCATTCAAGACAAGTTTTAAAAAGATACTGAAAATTCTATAGGCTTGCAAACTTATAATAACTAAACAGATGCAAGAGAACACTCATTGCCACACATTTCAAAATGTTCTAATGTTTTTATTTTCATCTTTTATCCAATTTCTTCCCCATCTCTTTCACACTTTATGAATCCTTTTATGGACTTTGCTCTTATGTTTCCAGCTTTTGTCTACCCCATGAAAAGCATAATTTGGAAATTGAAAAAAAAAAGTGTTCTGGTTGATCTAACCACCTATGAAGAATGACTTAAACTAATATCTTGAAATACTGTGGATGTAGAAATTTAAAAGAACTTACTTGATGTCCTTTTCCATTTTGTCATGATCTTGCCTCAACTTATCCACTGTTTGTATGTTCGTGCTTCAGGACCAAAAACAAAGTGAACATTAACATGTGTATCTAACATATGTTTTAATCTTACATCATAATGGATCAGAGAATAATTATGAGTCTCCGTTCTCTGATGTTTGGTTGGTTGAGAAATTAAGTGCTAAATTGAAAGGTCTGAGTTTGAGTTTAAGTGAAATTCTTACCATTTTTTCAGACTTTCTCTCTACTTCCCATATTTTTCCCATCTATGAAAATGTGTTTGCAAATTTTCTAACTTTTTCAACATTTATTTAATCCCTATGAACCCCCATAAAACTTCATGCTTATCAGTGTGAACAAATTGTTAGGGAAAACTAGTATTAGGTGCTAGAAAATAGCCATGCCTGAGATATAATGACACTTCAAGAAAATATAAACATTAGTTTAATTTTGTAAACATGTAAGTCTACCCCAACAACCATTTCATTTACTTGTCAGAAAAAGAAATTGTTAAATGAGTGATTACAAACCTAATATATTCATCAAGTTTTTCAATTCTCTCTGTGAGTTGAGTCCTGTTGAGTCAGACACAGTTATTCATGTGGTTTATGATTGGATAATTTAAAAATAAGATGCCATATAAAACAAAAATACAACTATAGAGAGGACAACCAAGATTCTTCTCTACAGGCCTCATATATATTCATCACACTGAATAAACAGTGGAAAGAGCAAGGGAAGGGGTGGGGAAAACTAACTTGACAATGAGCTGGCACTCCTCACAATGCTGCAAGTTCACACTCAAAGCACACGCAGAGCCCATGGAATTCCAGTGCATGTACATATGCATATGCGAAAAAACCACTGACTACTAGAGAATGCTGATGCTCTTTGTTGTTAACTCCTTTATATTCTATTTAACTGCATTTAATCATAAGAAAAACCATAGTAAAATGCTTTGAATTTTCGGTCAAAAATGTTTGTTTCAATTTTTCCCCATTTCACAATTGCCCATATGTGCTGACAAGTTGACCACCTAAGTTGGGGGTGCTACCTGTCAAATGGAGTTCTATTAAATATTTGCTTGTACTGTACAAGTAATAATAACAATAACATTTGGTATCTGTAGTGAGGGTTGGGCCATATTGTCATTAATAGTCATGTGTATAGCCAACACAAGACTAAACAAGGCATAGATACTTGAAACAGCAGATATAGTTGAAAAAGCAAATGGTTAAAATTTTTGCCCCTTCTTGTTAACTCAACTCTTAGAATCCAGCACACACCTTTGATCTGTCTTGTGTTTCTGCTGAGCAAGAAGATCCACCTTTTTCTGTTTTAACTGGTCTAGGAATTCCTGTTCAGAGTTCTGCTCTCTCACAATCTTGTGATGTGACAAGGTAACAAAGAGATAATTTTTAGGAAAAATTAATGTATACATCATAAAAAAAGAACTTCAATTATTCACAATACAATATCTGGTACAAATAAAAGGGAACTGAGCTTACAATCTTTAACTGTAATAAGTTTGTACCTTGTCTAACTGTAACTTAAGGGCTGCAGTCTCCCTCCCAGCCTGTTCCTTTAATGCATGATATTGTTCAACCTATTAATAAAACATAAGAAATAGAATGTTTACTAACTCCACAGAGGGATTTGGAATATGTTTATGAGAATCAAATACTGAGATAACTGAACTTATGCTCTCTGCCTTTCAGTCTTGCAAAGGAATTTGTGAAAATATTGTGTTTATTTTGTCTTTTTTTTTGGAAATGTTTATTAGTTTCCTATCTGAATAATTATGCACAACAAGAAATGTAACAAAAAAACTGATTGGGTCTTAATAAAGGCAATGTCAAGTTCGCAACTTCTTTGTCTCAGTTGACTGCAATTTAAAGTTACAAACATTTGTAATATCCCAGTACTAATATAGGAAACAAATTACTTCATGGTCAGTTTGCATGTACAATTTTTATTTTTAGACTCTTTCATTCCTTGGCACCTCTTCACAACCCATGATTAAAAATCATACACCCTCACCAACCATGAAGAAGGCCATATTCATAACATATTAGAATTTGTGAAATGTGACTGGTTTTTATTGGTTGAGTGACCAAGCTTTCTGTAGTTGGAATGAAAAGTTTTGTACTTAAAACCAGTAAGAATATTGAAGCCTGACTTTCAATAAAGATTTGTTGTTTCATTGTCATCATCAAGTCAGTGACAAAAGGATGATGTGTATGCACTAAAATCTTGGAGTAGCTGAGCTGTTAAATGTCTGTTGTATTTCAGTGCTGTGAATACTTTAGTTTCAGAAAAACCTTGCAGAGGTGATCGGATTCTCCTATGAAAGTTGGCTTGATCAAGCATGGTAACAATCAATCTTGAAACCAACAATGAAGTACAGGTTGACTTCAACACTTGAATGTATTTTCCCTTAATCAAGAACATTTTAATTATAATTATCAATGGCACAAATAAGTTGTTCCCTAATTCTAGGAAGTGATGTATGACTTTTACACCTGTGAATCCATCAGTTCCACATTTTCATCTTGACTTGCTCCTGACACATCTTCCTCATACTTTGCTGCTGCATTGCGAACCTCATCCAAATCATGCTCAAGCTCCCTGATCTGTCAGAATTAAATGAAAAGGTTTTTAATGATGTTCTCCATGTGAAGTACCTTTACAGGGGTCTTCCAAAACATTCTTACACAGCTTTCACATATAATTTTACTTCCTGTAACAGCATGTTACATTACACTACTCCCTTCAGTTAATTTATTTTCAAATCTTTAAGCAATGTGTGGAGATTATGTATCTCATGCACATTATATTTTCCTCATTACTTCCTTGTTTATAATTTCTTTTTTGATTTGTTCAATAATTTTAATTCTTCAATGCACATGCTAAACTTTGAACTTGTTTCAAAAGAAAAGGTTTCAATTTTGATTGCCAACAGTGTAAATATAGGCATGTACAGTATGTACATATTTGACTGTATTGCCTATTAAAATCACTACAATATTTTCCTGAAAATACATTTAACTTACTTCAGCTTCATGCTTTTTATGAACATTCTTGGCTTTGTCAAAAGCTTTCCTTCAAAGGCAAAGAAAAGTTTCACCTAAGTGTCATAAAAACTATTGCAGCTATTGTTCAATTTATCCGTGTTAAACAAAAAGAGCAATTTTCAATTGAGTGTTGCAAGTAATCCTCAATGGCTTTTTTTTACCCTCTGTGATTGGTCCAGAAAACTTGCAACACTTTCTTAACCAATCAGATACAAAAGTAAAACCAATCATGACTTGGTCACTGGTGTTTTCCCATGATTTAGGAAGTTGGTAGGTTTTACTTTCAGTACTCATTCTCCTTTCTTCTGTCTGGCCATTGTGACTACTTTCAATTCGTTTTGGTTTTACTACACTCAATCAAAAAGCACTCCAGTAGGAGTATGCAATAAAATCCTTTCTTTATTTAGCTGGAAAGGTCCTTAGATTTATCTATCTGTGTTGAACTGATCTATATGTATACTCAAATTTTAAGGTGACAATACAGCACCCAAAAGAATGTTTCAAAGCAAAATTTTATGAAATTTTATAATGATATGATCAGAGGAAAATTTTCCCAGTATCAAAAGTATCTCAAACTAACCATAACTTATAAATGGGATAGTTCTGCTTTCATTTATAAAGCACCTTACTATTTCCTGAAATCCTTATCCAAAGTCAAATAATGATACAAATAAAATAGCTCAGTGAGTAGAGTGTGCTACCTGTACTAAAAGCCCCATTATACTTCACTATGCACAATAGGGTTAAAATTTATCTTGTGCCAGTAAAAAACTCTAATAGATCTGATACACTAAGGGTTAAAAAAATAAAATCTTAGGTCTTTACTTAGAAGATTCAAGCCGCTTCAAAACATGAGAAGTTTTCTCCTTGGCTTTAATATACTGTGGTCTGTTCTTGTTCAGTTCTGCTTCCTGTACAAAATAGAATAACGCTATTGAAATCATTGCATAAGTTCAGGTTCAAGTTATGACACTGTTGTAATTACCAACTATAATTATGACTTTGGTCTAAGATTATTCTGTGGTGAACTCAAACTAAGCCTAGAATTGGTGTAAAAAGTGCTATGCATACATGAGTGACACACTATATTCAATGTCTAAACTTTCCTGCATGGTTCAAAGTTAGCTACCGTAATTTCCGGTCGTTTACCCGCACAGCCGATTACCCGCACCGGCCGATTATTGCATACGGCGAAAGAAAAAGTCAACAGATTACCCGCACTGGTGGATAACCCGCAAGTTATGTTATTCAACTTTTTGGTGGCGAAAACGTGACATTAAGGTGATACATTTCAGTCTTTTAAAAGTTGTCTGATCCAACTTTCGAAAACTTGAAAGCGTCTTTGTCGAGTTTAAAGGTCAAAGAAATTCAGACGCGTGCACAATTCTGTGTCAATATTAGCATGTACTTTATTGATAAGATTATACAGTAAAAACACTAGCGGACCATGCCCAAATCTCAACGTTTCATAATTGACAGAATGTGAATTTGTGGTCACATTTTGTGCGAGTGATCGTTCGGCGACATATTGATTTGTTGAAAAAAAGCTGGGTGAGTATTAGAACTTGAATTATAAAGTACTGTCGGCGATTTCTGAAAAAAATCGATATCTCCGGTTCTATTGGGCTTAACAAGTCCCTTAAAACGGGAAAATTCTCTTTAGCTCAAGCTAGTGTTAAATGGAAATTTGTTACTGATGCGCCGGATATCTTTGGATTATTTTTGTCACCATCAAGGTTTTGTTTTCACGCGTGCCGATAGCAATTTGTTCGTCGCGCAACTAATTATGCGTGAAATAAACTCGAGTCGGCATTATGTTTTCGTGCCGCTTTGCGGCACTCTTAATACAATAAAATTCATTTGAGAGGTGGAAACGCATGTTGGTGACAATTTTTTTCAATTCAACTACCACTAGATTTTAAAATTGTCACATAACCCGCACCTCCCTATAACCCGCAGTGGCGCGCGTTTAATGCAAAATCAACAGATTACCCGCGGGTTAACGACCGGAAATTACAGTACTATTTTAATACTGTGCTTATTTCAACAAAATAGGTAACTTGCTTTTCTCTGCATCATTATTCCTCATACCTAATGGTATGCTGTACCAATGTCAGGGCAATTAGCAACATTTGTGGACTTGGATACACAATTAATGCATGAAAATATTCTGCATGTTTTAGCTACTTTGGTAGTAAACTATATAAAAGAGGTTTTCTCTAATTTTGGTACCTTGCTAGTTATTTTCTTCTCTACAAAAGCCATCTCCCTTGATAACTTAGCGCTGTCTTGTTTCTTACTCTTGAGCTGCTGGTCAATTTCATTTTTCCTTTGGTCAAGTTTGTCCAAGTCACGAGATTTAGCTTTCAGTTCACTAGTTAAGTGATTTATACTTTGTTCATTGTGATACAACTGGAACAACTTAACTTCAAGTTGACAACTTTCCTGATGAAATTAAAATGAACAAACAGAACCTATCAACATTAGCAAACAGTATCATTTTGGGAAATGATTTTCCATAATAATAAAATATTATAGCTTAATAGTCATTATCAATTTAGACAAAGCTGGTTGGATTGCTTTGATCTACAGAGCACAGTTAACTATGGTTAAACCTGCTTTAAATACACACTCATAGGACCCTTGCTAGTGTCCACCTAACACATGGCATCTTCTTGCAGGTTCTAGTAAATCATGCAATTTTTATAGTAATATATCATTAACTACTTCATCAATTCAAGTGTTAGGAGCCTTTTCTTGTGTATGTGCATTACATTTTGTATTGCACTACAATGTATCTACTCAATGACAAAACATCTTGGAAGGGCTTAGGTCACTAAAAGGCTTAATGTTAGTGCTGCATCCACTAAGTAGAGGTGTCTACTGAATATAGGATAGTTTTGGAGTAGATATGGGTGACAAAATCAGGAACTTAGTTGGCTTAATATTACTGATAGGTATCTGCTACATGAGGTATTCACTAAGTAGAGGCTTCACTCTGAATTGTTTTGACTTGCATATCCAGCTAGTGATGGTAATTGCCTTATTCAGCCAGTCTCCACCAATTTTTTTTCTAAAAAAGACTACATTTTTTATGTTGATTAAAATTTTTCCTGTACGTTAGCTTAGAACCTTACCAGTTCTTGATTCAGCTTGTGGTATTTGTCAGCTTCTTCCTTCTCAGCTTTGGCCTCTCTTTTCTCTGCTGCAATTCCCTAAGTTAGACAAAGCAATCACTCCAGTACATATTTTAATTCATTCTGAACAAATTTGCATTTCCCAGTCCCTAGACACACTGTTAATAGTCAATCAAAGCCAAAACCTTTCATCTGTTGGAAATAATGAGTTGTTCAAGATTAACTCACTGAAGAGAAAATGAAACTTGCTTTCTTTAACAGTGTTCAGATGTGTCAATGACTGAAAAGCAACTGCAAATTGTCTTAATTTGCATTTGGAAGTGCATCAATTATCTGATAGCATTCTATAAAACTAGGCCTTGTTTCCCAAGACAATCCACATCTCAGTGAGCATGGTAAGTTATAGGGTCTTAGTTTTCCTCTTTGATTTATGGCCCACACACTTTGTGGTTTTGAATGCCTTGAACATGCCCAACCACCCAAATGTTTTTGACACTAACCATATAGATTGATCTGAACATAACAGAGAGCTAGTTTGGGTTATTTTTCTTTTCCCTTGAAAGTGATCAAGATATTCCCCAATTTACAAGAGGAAAGTCTGATTATGTGCCAACTTTTAAATGACGTTGAAAACAAACAAAAGTCATCTTTTAAACTAGAAACATTTATTTCTGATTCCTATCAGATGGCATATCTCATAGAAATGCATTTCAGATAAAAATCAAATCAATTTGTTTAAAGGTCCCCATGAATCAGCAAGCAGTTTGTTCTTATTGGAAACAACATCTTCCACAATATTATTAACTGTGAGAGAAAGAACTTTCATACCTTCTTTTTATGGTAATTAAAACTTGTCTCCTCTTCAGCCTTCTGCATGTCTACTTTCTTTTTGTCATAATCGTCTGCAAGCTCACCTGATCTAAAGTTTAGCAAAGCATTTATGAGTAACATGGAATCAAGCTATATATGATGCCCTGGCTGTGTGAAAAATGTAACCCTGTACATAGTATCAAAATTTGAGATCATACTCTGAAAATGCCAAAGATGAATAGGGTGTCTGACAGCTTACAAAGAGAAATGTAATAAATAAAGTAACTTATTCCCACTATACCTGCTGATTTTTTCAAACATCTGAGTTCTCTCTTTTGGAGTTTTCATGGCAATCGATTCAACAGTCCCCTGTAGGAACAATGATTAGATACAGTCATCAATATTAGTCCAAGCAGTTGTCTCTCAAACCTCAATTGCCATTCTATGCTTAGGAGAGGAAATTATTGAAGATTTACCTGAAACACAAGAAAATTCTTGGCTTTTACCAATATTCCCAAACTTTCAAGTTTTGAAGTGTACTGCTGTGGGGTGACAACTTTGTTATCAATTCTGTACTCAGTGCCACTACCAACAATCCTTGTAAGAAGAATCACAATGAAATGATTTACAAGCTACACAGCTCTTGATAACAATAATAAAAAACCTTTTAAACTGAAATTCACAAGGAACCCAACAAAATTGTTCACATACAGCAGGAAAACTTCAGAGAAATTTAGGGCACAAACATCTCTAAGAGATAACCAAGAGCTGAAGCCACACAAGTCTTTTTGTTTTAGATATGTACTTTTGTCTCAGTGCAAGTAGTTTAAATTGAATTTTGTAAGGAACCCAAAATAGTAGTGACTGGCTCATGCTTGTTGGTGATCTTATCAAGATTTGGGAGTCAAATCCTTTTGGATTTCAAGTACCAACCACTTATAGTGCTGCAATACACTATGTGGTGCTGTAAAAGTCCAGTTTTGATGTTTAAAAATTCAGTGTAGAAAAACAGACCTTAAAAAGAGAGTATGCAATTAATTGTTAAGTTTGTAGGGTTTCAAAAGCATATATAACATACTTCCTTGTAAAGTTTATCTCAGTTCCATCTTCCTCTGCATAAACAGCAGTAACCATTGCTGTACTGGATACAGCTTTGCCAATAGGAGCTCCATGAATGAGATCCTGTGTTAGATAAACAAAAAAATTTTAATGATCTTCAATCAAGTCGACCCTGTTCCTTGATTCTTTCTTCTTTCTGCCCCTTGGGGCAAGAAAAAGAGAGACCAGATTGTGATCAAGTAATATGTATAACATAACATGTAGTCAATGCAGCTTATCCCTGAGGATTTTTTTCTGAGTATTGGATCAGTTAAGCATTCATTTAGGCTCACTGTGAAAAATAACTTTATCTTGACACTCATTCAAAACTTAGCTTAAAAAACCTTAATTCCAGCAATTTATTATGTATTTGACCTCACCATGACAACAGCCTTTTGGTAACACATGAATACAGAAGTTATAGTGAAAAAAATTAAATTGTATCTCTGGACTAGGAAATTCACTCACCTTAACAGTACGAACTCTAAGACTTTGTGTGCGTTCTCCAAATACAAAACTGATAGCATCCATTAAATTAGACTTGCCTAATAAAATAAGAATTTAAGTTACTTGTTTAATTTACAAGAGGTCATTCATAACACAATAAACTTTCCAAAAGAGTCAACCTTAGGTATTTAAACTGAATAAAGTCATTGTTCAACTCTGAAAAATAGGTTGAAGTAAAGAACATTTCCCTTCATCAACCAACGACAGGTTTAACCAATACCACAAGCTATATGACAGGCAACTTATTGTTGGTCATGCACCAGTGACACATGTATGTTAGTGAATCTGTAAGACCAACACTCATTTTCCAGTAATTGTGAGGAAGAGCTCCCTGAGTAACCCTGTTGGCTGACTATCAACTGACAGATAACCAAAAGATCAGCAATATTGGTAACATACCCAAGAATGAAAAGAAAAACAAAAGTTTGACTGTACTTCATGGATAATTTGAAAGTTAAAGTTACTCACTCAGAGTCTGAATACATTGAAACTCTTATAAAATGAGTTGTTATCACAATTTAACAACAACATTTCTGCTATGATCTCTCCCATGACCAAGCTTTCAAATCCCCCCTAATATGCTTTGCAAACCTCTTTTGGTACGTCATGTAGTTATACTTAATGTTTACCTTCAGTCTAATTTCTTATTTCTTTGAATTTATAAATTTAAAGTACAAGTGTCTTTGTCATTCTAATTATCTTGTCTATAAGGCAATAATATGATAATCTGTCCATGCTTGAGCTACACAAGTGAGTAGGCAACTGGGGTCTAGATAACCTTTCCAATATGGAATCCATCAACTGTGGTGTTTAGGTCTGCTGAATTTGGACAATAAAGACTGTATTACAATGATATTGTAACCAACAAGTTACCGACAGATCACCAACAGATTACCATCTGTCTACTTACAGGTCTACTTAACATTGTTGGCTGACAGTAAGTAGACTGTTGGCCGTCTGTCAGCCACCTGTAGGTCAACAGGTTTTTTCAGGGAGTTATTCCTCACAGTTACTCGTTTTTTCTTAGTAATGACTTGACAGTTCACTTAGAACACATACAAAATTACCAGAACATGATTTGGGTTCCACTTGTCATTCAGTTTGACAAAACAATATAGTCATATAGTCCCACTGAGAACACTACTGTCTACAAATTAGCAGCTAATGCACCAATCACATTTGAGGCAATTGTAATGGTTATGATTGGTATGTTAATCAAAACTATAACAAAATTTGTTGAACGTGATTGGTTATCACCAACTCAATTTAAGCACAAAGGACAGTGTAGATCACAAATGCCTTGTTCTTTTTTTTTGTTTATTGCTCTTGTACAAACATTAATTACAGTTCAAATTTTGCGTGCACTACGCTACCTTACATTATGTAACTTTGCATAACGTAGCATGTATTTCGACAATATTGTTCATCACAGTTTGTTCAGTTTACTCAGTAAGTCCACTTGCGAAGCAGAAATTATTTTCATTGTGCGACATGTCGTGCAGCTTCTTTGCCATTAGGCAGTAATTCTAAAGCATCACAACAAAGGTAAGTTTTGTATTACTTAGTTTTTATTGTTACTTTTGTTTTAGTTTTCCTTACCGTATGTAGTTTTAGGTGCATTTAGCTTAATTCACATTATAATAAGCTTTAACTTGCTATTTTGTTGGCAGTTTTAACTGATCCAATCAATACCACCTTACATCAGCAATTGTTGAGATTAAATGTATCGTAAAGTTGCGTTAAAAACTGTCTGATTGATCTGCTAAGATTTAGTTGCCCATAGCAGCTACAGACAGAGTATGCATCATGTTCATATAATGAACAGCATAGGCATCATGCCTAATATATTGTAACTGGAAAGTATGTGTCAAGTGCTGGGCAGCCCTGTTGATGAGCCTTCCACCAACTTAACTTTTGTTTTTTATATAAAAACATATAACCAATGGCTACATTACTTATCAAATTTTGTCATATTTTTGATTGACAGGTTACAGGACTTTAATGGTCAAACTCTGTCCATAATCATACTAATAAATAACAAATCAGACTCCTGTTTTGTGGTCATCCCATTTTGTTACTAACTCATATGATTACAGACCAAATTGGACTCCACTCAGTTCCATAACCATTGCTAATTTTTATTTAATAATAAAGTTTATTACAGACAAAATTGGACTCCACTCAGTTCCATAACCAATGCTAATTTTTATTTAATGATAAAGTTTCGGATTTAACGTGTGCTGCTCATTGGTTGAAAGAGCATGCTCTATGAGAGTATAGAGCATGGGGCTGAGCTAAAGCTGTCACACCATCTACCAAATTGAATTATGTCTGACCTTTTCCAGGACTTCTCTCTAGCTTTTTTCATTAATTGAAAGTGAAATTTTGGGAACAAGTGAGCAAGCAAGTAACAACAGAAGAACCAAACAAACACTTGTAAACAGGCCAGGCGCTGTAATCTACATTATTATAACATGAGCAGAGATGAAAATACTCAAAGAGAAAACAAAATGGACAGTCTAAGTTTTAAAGGTTTTCATGCTCAGTTACATTGTAAGCTTACATAGGGTAATAAAAATCAAACATAGCTACAACTCATATAGTATATAAAATTTTGTGTTCAAAAACAAAACAGGAATGACGAAAAATGTAATTGAACTGGCATAACTGTTAAAATTCATACTTATCATGATGGTGTCAGAGCGACTGTGATCATGCTGAGGTCTATCACAGCTAGCTCATCATGATCTCCAGTCATCACAGTGAAGCAAGCCTCAGAAACTAAATCACCTGCCCTTCGAGTTACAAAATAAGAGCATGCTCTAATATCCTTTCCAATGCACTGAGTGGAAGGCCACATCAGTCACTGTAGAGAAGCCTTGACTCTGTTCTGTTGTAAACTTTACTAGAGCACAAAAGCTATAGCACGAAAGAAGTGTAGGGAGAAACACAAGATTTAGTTGAGTGTTTCTCCCCACTTCTTGAGTGTTTTAGCCGCTTCCCAAGTGCTCAACACTTAGGAAGCAGCTACACTTGACTACGTCTTGTCTTTCTCCCTACACTTCTTTAGTGCTCTAGCCAGTTCCTGCATGCTTTACAACAGAACAGAGCACAGTCAAGGCTTCTCTATTTGTTAATTAACGCTTTGCTCTTAACAAAGTCAACTGTTGATTTGTCCATTTAAAGATATCTCCGTGCTTTCATTCTCAGAGAACCTGAAACTTACACACTACACAACTTAAGCAAATGAATATAGCTATAGTTACCGCATCCATTAGGTCCAATAACAGCTGTGAAACGCTTGAAAGGTCCAATAGTATGTTTTCCTTTATAGGACTTAAAATTTTCTAACTCCAGCCGTTGTAAATAACCCATCTTATGAACCTAAGGGAACACAATGTATGAGAGCTCAGCCAAACACAAAACGACGAATACAATTTTTGCGAATATATCTTTTACATTTGAAATACAAACACGAGTGACTCTTTAAACGTACTTTTATGACTGAAGGAATGCTCCCAAACCCTGCCGACTCAAGTTAGCTTCCAATTTAGCACAAATTTGGCGGGAATAATCATAACAGATAGACAGCGATCGAGACTGCCAGATATCCATTCGCGCATGATCAGTTGATAAGCTGCTGACTGGATTGCTGACTCGATCTCCCGTTCACTCATTGCCCTTGTTCGGTACGACAGACGATCCCCTACCCTACTTAGAGCAGGTTTCAGCAACTCACGAAGCGTGGGCCAGTAATATAAATTCTGCCTTAAAACAGTCTTTACACAGAAAAATTGAGTATCGAATTGCTTTGCATTCTTTATCCGGTTTTTATCATTGTTAAACAGAATATAAGTCACATTAGAAACTGTGAGGACAGGCTGGGGCTGAGTTTCAGGTTTACAAAGCAAAGAATCACCTCTTATGGAAAGGTTCATAGCCGATGAATTAGCTGCTCGAAACGTAGGTTATTTTCATCTATCTTAAGTTTAGACCATTTCCTCTGAACAAGCGCTCTTTGGATTTCTGTGTATTTTTGTACTCGAAGATTTTAACGCGAAGTGCAGTGAAGTACTCGTTCGAACGTTCATAGTTCTTCTTTTTAACTTATCAACTAAATGACTGGGTATCTTTCATTCTCAGGAGGGATATGATAATTTAATAAACTACTCTTGAAATGTAAGTATAGCTTTACTTGCCGATCAGACAGTAGCAACGGATTAAGGAAGAGGGGGGGGGGGGGGTAGGAGTGTAGTGTGATTCCAGATTTCACATGAGGTTAAATTTTTATATTTTTTTTATAATTTTTATATTTTTAATGGTTATTGTAGCATTTACATACTAAACTCAGATCATATTAATGCAGATATAAAAAGTTAAGGTTTAGAAGAGCAATGCTCTTCATATCCTTTTTTGTTAAAGAAAGTGGATTTCTGGGTGATTGTGAAGAACAGCTCCCTGCAAACACACATCCACAGACTGTAGGTCAACAGATGACCAACAGGCTACTGACAGGTGACTGACAGGTTACCAATTGGTAATATACCCAAGAAGTAACATCCAAAACAAAACTTTTATTGCACTTTATGTAAGCTTTAAATGTTGAACTTACTCTGATAAGTTAAATCACTTGTGATGAGTTGATATCACAATAAAGTGACATCATTTCTGCTGTGATCTCTCAAACAAAGGGGCATTTCAAATCAAGTTCTGTATACATTGTAGAACCTTTATCTGTTGTTGAATGGCTGGCTGTTGCCAAGAGGTTATTTTTGTCAGTGAGGGATGGACAATGTAAAGAGGTGGTCGTTAAAAGGGTACTATTTTATTTACTTTTTAAAGTAAACCTGCAGATCAGGGCACACCCACATTAAGACCATAAATACAATGTTTTTTATCACAGTTGAGCTATCTTACATCTCAGGGCAGTTAAAATATTTCTAGCAATCATGGTTGAATGAGTTAAACTGAGTAAATTGTCCAATAATGTCCCTGATGTAGATGTATAACTTAATTTATGATCAATTTCTCATTTATTTTCAGTATAAAGAATTCTTACAGCTGTACAACAAGCTTACTCAGAACTGTTTTATTGCTTGTGTGACAAATATGAATTATCGTAAAGTTACTGCAGAAGAGGTGAGAATGAATCTTAAATCCCTTTCTGTGACAAGAGCAGTAAGTCTGTGTTGGTCTAATGGGGTGCAATGCATGGTATTTAAATACCAAGAAAAGGAGCATTTTATTTTACATTCATTCTTGTGCATTTGTTAACTTGAGATGTAATCAGATACGGTCCAAAAATCTTTTGTTGACCCCACTCATCACCTACTGCATTCAAGACAACTGATTTCATGCATCTAGCTTTTACACGCCTTTCATTTGTGGCTTGTTTCATAGAATAGTGCCAAGTTCTCCAATGGAAACATAACCATCCAAAAATGCCTATCTTGCTCACTTAAACTTTTGAAAAATGTTTCAGAAAAATACAACTTGACTTCATGTTTTCTGAATGATGGCCACAGACCAAAATTCACCAAGATTTGATCACTTCCAATATACTCTGCTCAGGACTTTTTAAAATTATAATTTGTTTTTATCAGGAATCATGTATTGACACGTGCAGCACAAAATGGATGAATCTCAATCAACGCCAGATGGCAGTATTCATGGAGGTCGGGCCCCTGGCAGATAAGAAGATGGGTCAGTCTGTAGGCCAGGGGATGTGACATTTCATTTAAGATGGAACAAATCTCATTGTAAATAAGAGTAAAGGTCAACCTGTGTATTCCTCTGCCTGATTTGCTATCTTTTTGCTAAGAGTATGTTGCACTGAAGCCATGTTTTTTTAGAAACAAGCTTAGTGAACAAGATTTCTGGATTCTGGAAGCTTTGGTTGAATTATCAGTATTATTTTATATGAAAGCATAAAAAAAGAAAGAAATGCACAAAACAGGGTCATACCAAGAAGAGACATGGCTAGAGCTAAAAATAACATATCTTTAAGAGTTATTGTTTGAGAGAAATGAATGCAGTAAGTGAAGAAAAAGCTGGAAAGGCAAGACAAACAAAAACAAGAGTTAAAATTTAATTTGGGTATAAATTGAATTTAACAAGAGTTTAGAAATAATGTTCCATTCACCTCTTACCTGAGGCAAAGAGTAAAGAAACAGAATCAGCTTCCAATTCTTCATTTTAAGTACAAACTTAAAACAAAAACCAGAAGAATGAGAATAAAGTTCTCTTTTTTTCAGTTTGTGTACAAACAAACAAAGGAAAAACTTTTGTTTTATGTCTCATGTGCAAAGATAATAAGTAATTATACACAATAAAAATAACATATCAGTCTCTTACTTGATATAAAATCCTTTATTCTACATCCCATACTAAAATATTTACATACATTTAACAAAATGCCTAAAGTACAATAAAAGTTTTCTATTCCTCTCCACCATAAAAACAAATCTTACGCACCAACCAGTCATAAAACTTGCATTACACAACAAAAACAAATGGAGAGCAAAACTCTTCAAATGCCTTAGGAGGACACAAAACACATACATTAAGGTCAAGACTTTTCTTGACACGTGTGTAAATTAAGATGAAAATGACTTATTAAACACAGCTATGAGTGCATTTTTTTAAAGAAACACTAACGACTTTTCATACTCTATAGCTTAAACCACACCACCAGTTAGATACTGTGATCACCTCGATTAGTATTAGTTCCCTATCAAAGCAGGGAATGAGGGATCTTGTCTATCACTTAATGTCAGTGTCTTCATTTTGATTGAGTGACTTTTTGAAATAGACTTGAAGTGGTCATTAAGTAGTTTACAACACTGCCAAAGTTCAGCATCAGGAATCTGCCATGTTAAAGAAACAAGAGAAAAGCAAAATAATCAGCAATTAATTGAACATGAAAAACTACCTTTCATAAGCTGATAAATGCTATTCAAACTTGTGCTATGGGATAGCGAACAGGACGGTACAATTTTTTCTTTGTGTTCAAAGCAATATGTTCAATTTTTAAGACCTGTACTCTTAAAACATCAAAATGGTGGGTATGGGTGCCTCTAGCCAACATATACATTTTTAAGTAATCAGTTCTGTTAGCCATCCAAAGATCTTTAACTCCAGTATATATAGTTGAACACTATTACCTTTGCCTGTTCTTGTAGAAAATGCGTTGCCAGGAGCCAGTTGCTGCTGACATACATCAATTCACAACTCAACAAGGCCAGTGCTAATGTTGATGGCTAAAAAATAGAGAGATTTTGAATTTTAAATCAGAATTTAATGACCTGCTTAAAATGTTGTTTGGGTACATCAGAATTTCCCTACATCAACCTTCATTTGTCAAAGTAGTATTTTCCTACTAGTCAAAAGCTCTATCAAAGTGTTAAATGTTATTTTTTATCCAAACTTTCAATCTTAATGAATTCATATGACTCTAGTTTAAGGTGCTCCTGTATCATCTTTACATTAAAGTTGTGGTGAGGGTATTAATTTCCATTATTATATAATTACCTTGAAAAACATAAACTTATGACAGCAAAGGAGATCTTCTAAGAGTGAGGTGATATGCTGTAAATGATGGTTCACTGGACAGTGGTCTAGAAATCCTTTTGAAACACACAAGGCATGAAACTGAAAGAAGACATGAGACATTTAAGCTTGCATATTGTCTGTAGGTTATCAATTGTATATTATTATTTAGGTATGCACCCATAAACATTTCAAACAAATGTTACTTTACTTACCACCTGCAGGAAATATAAAGGAGTTGAAGCATTCAGATTCCAGTTAAGTTTATCAAGAATGATTCGTTCCATTCGTAGCAGATCTGATGAAGAAAAGTTAAGTCCACTAACTTTGACCAAATCAGCAGCTGTAGGAACATCCTAGCAGAGAAAATTAAACAAAAAATGGAATATCATCAAGCAGTTTTACCATATGTGTTTACATACATGCATTTGTGTGCAAGTATCCTCAGTTTAGGGTTCACCTGCACAGTTAAAGCATACAGTGCTCCTCGTCAAATCAATTTAACTCCCATTAGTGACCAAGACAGAATTTCTCCTTATGATATCAATACAATGTCAATCAGACAGGTGATAAGAATTATCAAAATGTAAATTTGAGGATTTTCTAGTTGACCCATTACCAAATTCTGAGTACTAGCATCACAGGAATTGCATAGCAGACAGTAAGGAGAATTACTAATGAGATCTCAGGCATTAAAGGGTTAACAAGATTCATTCCCTGTTAACATAAAAGAAGGAGCTGAAACAAATGTTAGTGTTATTAAACATTTGTCTTAAAGAAGTTCAACACAGCAATTTGCTTGTTAACTACATGTACTCCTACAAAAGCACACACATTGTACATTGTATAACTATGGGCAAAAAACTTGAACAGAGAATGACTGATTTCTTGTTGGTGACTATGGTTTATTAATTCAAAATTGTTTTTAACTCTTGGTACAGTTACATACTCTTCCTTAATACATATAATCATCAACACAACATTTACAGCTAATTAAACACCTTAGCTAAAAAGATAATGACAAAAGCTTAGTACCTCATCCTCTTCACACATCTTAACAGCAAGGAACAGACAGCAAATACTGATACATGGAAGATACTTAGGGTTGGCCTTCATGTAAAGATAAAGATAAGTATGATCATGAAAACCTCTATTAAAAGAACCCTTCATATCTTGAAAATACAACTTAGCACATCTTAAACAAATTAGACATTAAATTTTTGAAAAAGTAATTGATAGATTTCAAACTCATCTCTTACTTGATAGCATATTCATAAATTGCATTGCTGTAATTTTTTAAATAAAAATTGGACATTTCAATTCCATTAAATTGTACACCATTTCTTTTGTAATTTTGAAAATGATAAGAAAAGACATTACATGACTGTATATTCAAATATAGACACATACTGTTAATTCAAGGTATCCCTGAATTTATCATATTTAATTGCTTAAACTTCTACATCTTAAGCATTCTATAGGAGAGATATCTACATGAACACAGTACACAGCAACAAATAACTCACCTTTACAACTGATAAGAAACGGTCAAGCAAATTTACAGAAAGGGAGAATGTCTCTGAGTGAAATCCACAATGCCTGCTCAAATTGAGTATAAAAACTGTGCTGTTGTCTCGGTTGGAAAGACTGATTCCATCTGAATCCTAGCAGGAAAAAAGACAACAAATGTAATGAGTACCTTGATGAATTGTTCATCCTGAAACAATCCTTCTGCACACATTCATTTTGTACCAGTTTAACTATAAAATTCAGATGAGACCAATTATGAACCCTCTGACTTACAAACAATTTCTGCCATTCTGTTTAAAGGTCTGCAATTACACATGAAAATTTGCCAAAAGTTCTAGTCACAGTATTTAGTTACATTTTCTCCTAAAAGGAAAATTACAAAAATAATAATTTACACATGACATACTACAATATTTGGTTGATAAATGTGCATTTACAAACCTCATTTCCAGCCAAGCACATGAGGGGAGCAAGGTGTGTCTCTTCTTTCAGAAGCCCCTCATTTAGCACTTTGAGCAGTTTGCTGACATTCAACCCACAGGAAACTATCATCTGAAAATTGGTAAAAATTATTAAAAAAAAAAACCAAAAAACCTTTCAATATGTCATCAATATTTTAAAGACCAAAGCACCTCACTTTATAAAGTGATAACAGATATGTATGCCAGAAATTAGAAAAAAGTTGTCTCTGATAATTTCTATAATGACTATGTAAAGCTGTAGTCCCCTTTGCGGTGGTTGTTAAGTGATGTTAGGAAATGCATACTCTCTACTTAAAAGAAAGGGCCTATTGTGTATGAGATAAAAGGACAGCTGTGAATGAGACCTATTCAGTAGTATTTATAACAGTATTTTGGTGTCTATACAGTGTAAAATGTCGAGTTTTGTTTGAAATTTACAATTTACCAAATCACTTTTACTGAACAACAAACAAAACAGACATTGCTTAGGGTCAAAGATAACAAAGAAGAACTTGTGTCCTTTTTTTTTTTTTTTTTTTTGCTTACCTTAAATTTATTAGTTCACTAATTTTGCAAGTTCAGTCAGCCACACACAATTCCTGTTTATAGGAAAGATATAACTGCATATAAATGTTGAACTTGGAAAAATACATGTGGGATGAAGAAATTCTGAAAACTATTCTACCACATTGAGGCATGATTGGAAATACTGTTGCTTCTAAACACTTAAACAGCTTTCCTAAGGTACCAAGAGTTGAAAGCAATGTGGCAAACTTTGACAAAAAATCTGGTCGATGCTTTTCCCTTTTTTAAATCAATGGGTAAATAATCAACCAATCATGTAATACAAAGTTTTATACATATTTCATAATTAGTCAGGAGTGGATTTGGGCATTTGTAGAAAACTAAGCATCCCTTTCATGACATTACTTACCAACTGAAGGGCTGTCCTGTACAAATATGTTATCATTAAATATTTGTTTACACAATATCCATACTGAACAATTTATTCTCAGGATCTTTCCTTGAGCACTCTAGAGCAGAACTTGTCCTGGAAGCTACAACATGGCTTGCTTAAGTTAGGCCTGAGATGTTTTTTGTTTTCGTGGCTTAAGAGCTATAATCCTCCATTCTTGAAAGTTTCAATGTCAAAAATTACATTTCACAGATTTTTGCACAAAAGTTGGATTTGAGACTACATTGTGATTTTAAAACAAGAAGATTGAGGTTCAATTCCTCACAGGCACTCGGAATTTTTTTTCTTTGTCTCATGCTTGTAACAATGCATTGAATAACATCTTTCTCTACTTCATTACCACCCTAAAAATTTATTCTTTTACATACATGACAACTTCAACACTGCTCTTCCTAGTAGTCATCATCTTTAGTGAAGAAGTGCTTTTCTTAGCATATATCTTTGTTCACTATAACAGTGAATCATTCTTGTAGACAAACCTTAAACTTAGTCTGCAAGAGATGAAAGTTACTATCACTGCACCAAATTTCTTCTTCTATCATTCTTTTTAATTATCTTTTAAATTTGGAATTGAGTACTTCATATCTATATATTGATTTAAAACAAACTTTTCAAATATCTAATCTGCAATTTTGTAGGTATGGTTTTCACATATGCTCAGTAACTTAGCTAGCTCGGTTCCTTTCAAATTCAATCTTTTGGGGAATATTTTCATTATTTTCTAAAATAAATACTATGTCAAATAATGTCTTTTGTCTCTAAATATCAGTAAAACTAGCCTAAACGTTATATTATGAATATCCCCATGCTCCACCCAGGAGGTCCCAGCCTTCAACTGATCCCAATTTAACTGTTCATTTCAAACTGCTAATGGTAATTAGAAGAATTAGAGAAGTAGCCTAGATGCACACATAATAAACTCAGTAGAGATGGGGACCGATCATTTTTTTCCCTAATTTTCCTCACTGGCATGCTTTACAAATTATTTCATGTCGTAAATGCTACTTCTTGAAACTAATTACAAATACGTGTAAATACATGTAAGCTCTTAAAAGTGAAACAGCCACAAGGCACTTGAAAAGTTGACTAACAAACACATCCATATAAGTCAAACATACATTTCCTGTGACCTTTTAGCCTTAATATCATTTGAACCTTGATATTGAACAAGAATCTCGTATTTCAAAAATTTTCCTTGACCTACGTACGCACTGAGGGTTTTTAAAATGAAAATTGAAGTGAAGATCTCATCATTCATTTTAGAGAATCAAAGTTTCTGATCACCCCGGCATAAATAAATGTTACCAGAGGAGCAATGACCACAGGAACATCAACTACGTAACGGTTTTATAATTAAGCATTTCAGAATTTACAGATACATGTTTTGGAGAATCTTGTCAGTTCGATCGTAGACGTTTCTCCATGACTAAAAAATGAACGTTTTTTAAAGACTCACCACTCCAATACTATTATTTAACGCTTAAACCATGAGCAACAGAAATCAGAATAAAATGCTTAAGTCGACAACACAAGCTAGGATAGCTGAATACGCCAGAGCAACAAAGACATAAATAGATCGGCGTCCCCGGCTCTGCAAATTGAGCTCCATCATTTCTTCATACGAGTATGAACGTATGGTGAACAAGTCTGTGCTGACTTATAGCAAAAATCGACGCCAGTTTTCGTATTTCAAAGGGTGAAACTTGAATCGATTGTTACCAAGGTATGACAAAAAAAACATAAACACAATGGAGATTTGATCTTCGAGACGTTTCGAAATCGGCGAAAAAAAATGCCAATTCAGCCGTGTATTAAATTCTCTTACCGGCGAAATGAACTTTAATGCAACAAATAAATTCATGAAAAGCTTGCGTCTGATTGCTTCTCTATTTCATCGACTACGGTAAAACTACTGCGTTCGGGAAGAGAACGAAATTCAGCTGTCAAGTATTGGGAAATTTAGTCGCCATATTAGTATGATGAAAATGCGCTTAGGTCAGTGCAAGCATTCTACGTACCTCATTTGTGCGTTTCCAGGACTTCTATAACAGTACAACTGAGCGACGAGAAGAAGATAAGCAGTTTCTAAAGGTTCATAGGTATGATTATCACTACTGTGCTTACACACCCAACTTCATAGTTCCATGATAATAACAGTCGAGTCGATGTAAACAAAAAGATTGATTTTTGGGCGCCAAGTTTCAGTTCATATTGTTTTGAGGGTCTCGATTGGTTAGTTCGACCCAGATCCCATTTTATCATTGGTCAATAAGATTAGCCAATTATGTAAGCGGTACACGTAAGCAGATTCTTTTGTTTTGTTTTCAGTTTCGCTTTCGTCCTTCATCGTAATTAATGTTGAATTTATTCACTTTGCTTCAAGTAGGAAGGAAAGTTAATATTAATCTTATATCAAAAAAAGGATAAGAAAGAGGGACAAAAAAAGGAAAACGCTTTCAAACAGAAAACGAAAAAAAACTATATTAGATTGTAGGCATGCAAAGCGTGAATGCAGCAGAAGTGATCGACCGTGGGAAGATTGGTTCGATTAAAGCCATTATGGAGGAAGTGTCAGGTCGATATTGTCAAGTAGTAATTTTAGTTTTATTTTTGTTTGTGGAAGGACAAATTTTTAAATATGGTGAAACTTCGACCCTCAAGAGTCTCCCAGTTGTGATAAATACATGGCCTTTTACAAATGCAACAGCTGAAGGTAGGATATGAAAGAGGCTCAAGCATACAATCGACAAGCTTAATTATTCGAGCACTATAAGCTTACTGTATAACTGAAGCAGTGATCCACTTAGAAGGTTGGCGGAACTAAAAAGTAAATCGAAGATCAAAAATCAAATTTGAGTAATTCAAAGAATTTTAGCTATTCTCAAAACATTTCAAGTGTTTATAGTCATTATTTGCCACCACCAAACTCGCCCCCACCTGACTCCCCACCACTGACAGTCAAATCGCCACCGGTGGCGATTTGACTCAGGCGTTATGTTTATCCTTCCCATGAAACTTACATCAAATGAGAGCAAACTTTTATTGGTATATTTCAAAATTAGAAGAATGAACAAATATGGCAAAAGGAACTCAAACTTTTTGAGTATTGTCCCAAATATGGAACATTAACCATCAAATGGAAAAAAAAAACATGTTGATATCATGATATTGATCAGTCTACACATGGGAAAACCAGGGTGATTTTCACCAAATTGCAGATGTTTATGAAACTGCATGAAACTTCCATCAAATTAAAGCAAAGATCGATATAGTAGTCTATTGCAACATAAAAAAGTGTGTATATAGCCAGGGGGGTGCTCCTTAATCAAAACGTGTAAAAAGTTTTTAGAAATCCAGAGAATGAGACTTCAACAATAGTGCTTTGTTTTGCAATGATATTGATCAAATAGTTTAACAAATGTAGTAGTTGGCAGAATATCCCTGACATGCTACTTATTATTTTAATAAATTCAAGGGTTGATCCATTTGCCCTTCAGTGACTCCTGACAAAAGCCAAGTTGCTTTCTGCAAAATTTTGCATCATCAAAACCCATAAATGAATATACTCCAAGATCTAGGCTTTCATTAGATTTGATAGCAAATTCATCATGTTCAGAAGGAGAAACTTGTGTTAAAGGTCATATGTCAACATTATTTGAGCTTAAAACAAAGAGAGGACGCCAAGTCTGTTTCTGAAAACTTCAGTGTATTTGTAGGGGCTTTTATTGTCACGATATACTGCCACTTCCTAGCCTTTATTTGATGCAAGTTTCATGCTATTTCATAAGCACTGGTGAAAATGACATGGTGAAAATAATTGACACACTATACATAAGTATGGAGTCCCTTTCCCTTTTTGCAATATACTACTACATCTTAGCTTTCATTCGACAGACTATACATAACACTTGAGTCAAATTGCCACTGGTGGTGATTTGACTCATGGTGATGGCAAGTTTTTTGTGGTGGTGAACTGACCAGATACCCATTTCCAATAATGCATTTGTTCACACCACTGACTTGCTTTGGGAACTCATCAGGCATACCTAGCAAGATTTATTTGGAGGGGGGGGGGGGGGGCCAGAAGCTATCAGTTGTGCAAAATTTCAAGGATCTTTTGCCCTTCTACACCAGGAAAAAACTTTTCATTACAGTCAAACATCCATTAGAATTCATATTTATGGTTGGAAAAGAAAAATATATTTTTTTTATACAGGCATGGTTATATCTCTGATAAATTTTTGACCTGAGAAGAATGCTCAGTTACCATAGCTCCTTAAATAAGCACTTGGGAGGGAGAGGGGGGTGCTAATTGGAAGGAGGAAGCTCAATTGTGCAGCAATAGGACAAAAATTAAAAGAACAGATAACACATATATAGAACTCAATGAGCACATGGAGATAGAAATAACTGCAATAGAGAAGAACATATTGCCTTGTACTGATGTGGCTACAGTTGAAGCTTAAGTAGTTATACATAAAGTGGCAAATTAGAGACATGTTTTTCTTGTATCCCTACTATTTAAGTAAGTGAGGGAAGAGGCCAAGGGGAGGCGGTTTTTAATGGGGGCACTTGTTTGAAACTATGGCCCAAGGGGTGGGCTGCTCATTTGTGGGAGGTTTCTTATTAGAGTGCTGGTGCTTATTTGTGAAAATATGGTATGTCAGTCAAGTCTCAACTTTTGGTGTCAAAGTACCAACCTTTCAAGGGAATTAACAAATTATTGTCACATTTCGATGTTTGATTGACAAAAAAGACAGATATAACAAAGAAACAAAGGGGTGTGAACAGAACTCAACAAGTGAGCAAATAAATTACCATTGCTGGTGGACTGCAGTTTAAGTGATTGCAGAAGATAAGCCTGAAAAAAATCAGGCTTTGAAGAGATTTGAACCAGTGCCTCCAAGATACTAGTTGGGAGCTACTACCAACTGAGCTTGGAAGCCTCATGCTGAGAGCAAGAAAATTGACAAGTTTCAATCCATCCTTCAAAATACTCTCCTTTCAAACATCATGGTATAATGGTTGGCTTTAATCTAAACCACCAAATGATGTTTTGTGGCTCTCAATATGTTTGCATTTCTCTCCCCTTGTGTGAAAATAATTAGTGAGTTGTAACTTCCCTAATTAATCCTTGGACCCTATACTAAGTGACTAGCCAGGCCCATAGACAAGTTTTTTCACATGTAAGGGGGGAGGGCAAAGGCAGGAATTTTCTACACCAGAGACAAAAGATTCTTTGGGGTCCAGGAGCATGAGACTACCTGAGACTGCATTCTGAAGTCGCTTTTGAATTAACAGTATGTGGTAAACAAACTTTCCTAGCCCAGGGGGGTGTGAATGCACCATTCCTCCCTACAGCCCTGCTACTGTCTAATTTCTCCTTACAATATCACCCCTGAATCACACACTAAGGTCACAAGAATAAAGGAAATGATCACCAACCAAAGAAGCTCTTGATTGTTAAACAAATTCTCCTTGTTAGTGCCACAGGAAATGTGGAGAAAACAGCATAGAAGATATGCATACAAATGTTAGGGTGTAAAGGGTTAATTCCTTTCATGGTGCTCCTTCACTAGATGATGTCAGTGTTCTATGCACTCCAATTTCTGTCAGATGAATCAAGAGTTTGCATATTTTACAGCTTTGTTTGAAGCAAGATACAAGGGGAGAAACTGCGAAACAAACTTGCTTTTCAAGATTTAGATCTTACTCACACAATCAAACTTGACTGAAATGAACTGAAGTTTCATTGCCAACAAAGATTGTTGTTTTTGTGATTCTTCTAGTTGATGCAACTGTGCCATTCTTTGACATGTTTTTGATATTTCAACCTCTGGCAATCTGAAATCAGGAGGCATTTGATCTAAGATGTCTTCCTTCCTAGTATTCATGAAGTATTCCACCAGTCACTTGCATTCTTCTCTGTCTACACACAAGCCTCTGGGAGAGTGTTTATTCTACACGAAATGCATGTAGAAATTGGGATACTCCATAATAGGCCACAAGAAAGTGTTGCAGACCCATCTTCCTGTCTTTGATAGAGAATGCAGTAGCCAGTGCAATCAATATGAAATACACACAGACTACTAGAAGAATACTTTTGGAACAATTTTTTTCAAAAACTGTTAAAAAACATTTACTGATTAACACTCATGTATTCACAGAATATATTAAAAATGCATGTCAAAGAAACATATTTTGGTCATGCAAACACAAGAAAGGAATCAACCAAAGAAATAACATGTAATAGTGTCATTTAATGAATATTTTCTATATTGTAATATGTTGTATTTTTATGACTGGGTATAATCATATGTACACATTAATTTACTCATTTAACTGCTTTTTGTTATCTGTTCATCATTTTTTACATGTTTATAATAAATTAGGTCTTTGAAAAAATGCAGCACATTTTTTATTTTAGTAATTGGTCATCAGAAATTATCCCACATAATATGCATTGAGTTATCTATAAACTGGATAGCAATTTGAATGCAAAACTTGCCTTTGTATTTATTCAAATTTTGAATAGCTTGGCATGTTATTTCAAGTGACAAAGGAAGTGCGCTGGATGCGGTTGAATCTGGATGCACAGTGTGTGAAATGGAGCAATGTGATGGCACTGTAGGGTTTGGTGGAAGGTTAGTTCATAAAAATATAGGCTGATGTTAGTAATGGACACTGCTAGGTGAGTCTGAAGTTCTGCAAATGTTTATGTTTACTCTGACGATATGATTACTCTTAACAAGCCTGATTTTGACATTTTGAGAAGATATGAAATTTAAAGTGAATAACTATATTCAACTTCCAATTTAAATTCCATTAGTCTTGCAAAATTATCAAGGGTGATTAAGACTTAAACTGTTAACATCTCTTTGTAGGCATTAAAGGTAACAATGAAGAGATGGAAAGATTGATGTAGGAATATGGCCAAAACCACATTTGTTAACTGAAGAAGAGATCATCAGCAACATACCTTTAGTCTTTTTTTCTGTGTTCTTTCATAAACATTTTTTGCACGACCATGACTAATCAATCACAGTGAGGTCCATGAAACCCAAGCTACATTGAGTTTCATTTGTGAGCCACACCTCAGATTTTTTGTCCACCCAGTGTGCCAAAATTATGTGTGGCTTTTACTCTACGTTTTTCATGGTTTACCACAAGAAAAATGTCTATAACTGATATTTATTATGTTCATGTTGACAGCCCCAATGAAGATGGAGAGACAACATTAGATGCCATGATTATGAATGGGTAAGTTTGCCTTGAAACTTTGATGGTGTTGAAATAAAGATGGGTCCATGGCCAGAGGAACTCATAAATGGGTGGGGTTAATAACATTAGTAGTCAATCTTTGGTTACATGCATGTAACTGTAATTGTGACCCGAGGGAGAGGAGGAACCCTTAAATTTTTTTGTTATGCACAAGTGAAAAAAGAAAGGTATAAGCGTGTCAACTCACACACCAAATGGGGCCATATTCATAGACAGGGCTTTTTAGGACTCTCTTGGTGATAGAAGAAAGCAAACAGAATTAGTCGTGGCAAAGTTCAATTTGCCAAAAAACTGATCAAAGCTGTGAAAAATTTACCACTAACCATTATTTTCCCCACTTTTTGCCAAAGTGGGGCCATGACAGTAAAATAGTGTGTGAGTCATAGATTCCCCTCAGTCATTACCATTTTGTAAACCTAATCCAATGCACTGAAATTAATAATCAATGTAATTAGTTATGGTACATTTTCTCAACTTATATGTATGTTGATTACAAGGGTTTATGTAACTCATGGTTAAGATATCTCATATTTTAATGCAGTTTCTTAATGAGGTAAAAATTATTTTCCATAGTAAGTAATTAAGGCCAGTAAGTCTGATATATAGTCAGCTTACAGCTCAGACACCATATAGGGCTGTAATGTTATGTTGTGTTACACCTTGAAGGGTCAAATGGTTCACTTTTTTCCTTTTTAGTGTTACACATGATGTTGGAGCTGTTGGCTGTCTAAAGAGAGTGAAAAGAGCCATTTCAGTTGCACGCAGTGTCATGGAACACACCTCAGAGACATTTTTGGTAGGAGATGATGGTAAGATAACATTGTGAGCAGCCTTTTCTTCTTATATGCTTTTCACCAACTTTTGCTGGTGATGTGCTAGTTATAGTCCTGTATCAATAGCAACTTTAGGCAGACTACAGATACAGATATTAAATAATCCCATAAGGTACTACTCTCTGACTGCTCATATAAGTGGGATGAGGTGAAATTGGTGACTCTTGCAAGAGCTAGCAAAGAGGCTGCTTTGGTGGGTACTCCCCAATTGTCAAAATGTTTGGAATATTCTGGGAGACAAAGTAGAATTCAGACCATTCCTAGAGGTGGAATGGTGGAGTAAGGAAATTATGGCACTGTGAAATAATGAGAGGATATCTTGAAGTGATGACAACGACGATGTACTGCATCAAACAAGACAATCATTCATTTAACATAGATATGTTGTGTTTTTTCTAAAAGCTACCCAGTTTGCAGTGCAGATGGGATTCACAAATGAAGACTTGCACACTAACCACTCATGGTATGCAAGCTAGAGAGTAATAACATGTGAACAATGCTTCTAACACTCAGTTCTGTTGGCAAAAACAATGAAAAATTGTAATGAAATGAATAAACAGTAATGAAATGTATTTAACGCAATTAAAAAAATTGTAATCGTTATTGGTAAAAGTATAATGAGAAAATATAATTAAGATGAAGTATTTTCACAAATGCCCATGGTATTTTTACATGCAACAGATTTTTGGAGAGTTAAGCATTAATCCTGTGTTTTTTGTGTCGGTCAGTAGTTCAAGCTGCATTCAATGGTTTGCATTTTCTTGATTAAACTTATAATCTTGGGTCCTGTATTGTTTTGACAACCTAACACCATGTTTTCACACCTAACAAAGAATCCTGAAAACATGCTGCTGCCAAAACTTTTTTTTTTTTTTTCGCATACCACCTGAACTAATTTTGATTTTTACATATGCTGGGCAAATTAGCTCAGGAAATGCTTCATATTGAGATGTACTCTCTTTTACTTTGGCTGCTCTTTGATGAGCTGTGGAATTGGTCAGCTAAAACAACACTGAACTAGATGAGTGCTACATCAGCCAATTTTATTGTCTACAACCCTATTTTATGACTTTCAGGCAGATGTGGAGAGACTGGGAAAAGAATAATTGCCAACCCAACTTTTGGAAGGTAAAGTTGACATGGTAAAATATTTTTCTTTGTTTTATTTATTTATTTCTTTAATGCATTTGCATGTCACTTTGAACCATGCTGCAGGGGCAACTGGAGATTTGAAATAGTGTTGAAATAGTATCTTGTATTCATATTATATAGGTGGTATATTTCTAGAAGAGCTCTATGTGGCTTCAGTTAAGATGTGATTATAGTTTCTTTTGGATGTCAGGACTGTATTGCTTACTGAGATGCCTAGTAACTAAATGCTTATTGTTCAGAACTGATTATCATTCCTTTGCTATAGGACGTGGTTCCTGATCCTCATCAGTCATGTGGTCCTTACAAACCTGTGACAGGGTAAGTTTATTCTTACCCACCAACAGTGCTTACAGTTTATCAATTCAACACACTCAAACTGAAAGATTCATTGCTTAACCAGCTTTACTTAACCTTAGCAGGGACCGAACTACTGTTGTTCAAACAGTATATGTTGAACTGGATGACAGTCATTCAGAACAGTGCTATGTTCTACGATATCCAGACCCTTCATATATAGCTTAGAATGTTGCTGTAAAGGTGTGAAAATTCATGTTCTGTCTGTAAACCACAGTCTCAGAGAGCAAGAATAGGCTTTATTGTCTAAGTATTAATTGATAATTGGTTTCCACAGGGAACGGAAAAGTTCAAGGCCGACTTCCCATTCAGACATTGGGCGGCAAAATCATGATACAATTGGTGAGGAGAAGATCCCTATATTGAGCCTTTTTTGCACCTGACTTGGGCTGGTATTGATGGACTGATCCTTTTGCTTATAAATGACCAATAATATGCAAGTCTGGAAGATAGTAACTGAAAACTTTTGTGTTTTTCCACTCAATATAGATAACATATTTAATTTTTCAGGTATGATTGTAGTGGACAGAGTTGGGAACATTGCTGCAGGAACGAGTACAAATGGAGCAAACCACAAGATTCCTGGGTAAGAGAACAGCCGAGTCAAAGTACTGGTAGTTAGAAGCATTTTAATGTGGCAGTGTGTAGTTTCACGTGTTTGTTTCTAATGTCTTTCTGAAAAATGTATTGTCCCTTTCCTTTTTCTTTCTTTTGATATTTTTTCTTTGCTATCGACTCATTAAACAGACCAACACTAAGAAGTGAAGATGGTTGTCCAAGAAAACTGTGGCTGTTTAGTCTGTTCCTGCCTTACTTTACCAGTAAACTCCTTTTTTATTTTTTTTATTTATCTATTTGTTGCACAGGCGTGTGGGAGACTCACCCATTGCTGGAGCTGGAGCATACGTTGATAATGAGGTAGGAGGTGCTGCTGCGACAGGCGATGGAGATATCATGATGCGATTTCTTCCGAGGTAAAAGGCCACTTTTGCCAGGTTGCAAATAGAGGTATTTCAGGTTTAATGGTTAAATCCTGGTCATTAATGAACCTTTTGTGGAGAGAGGGACTCGTTGACAGTATGAAAATATTGGCACCCAGCTATTTATATTATTGCTGATATTTAAAATCTAACCAAATAAAAAATGAAAGAACTGATGCAGCCACTGGCCGCTATTCCTTATGTTACCAGAACATACTAAGCATTGTCCACTAGCTCTTACCAGCCAACAGTTTATTCCCAACGAAGGAAATTACGCTTTTTGTCTAAGCTTTAATAATTAACAATTACACAACTCAACTGAGAGGATTTTTTTCTTCTTTTATTTTTGGTGCAGTTTTCAGGCAGTTGAGTTCATGCGTCAGGGTAAAAGTCCAACGGAAGCAGCAACACTAGCTCTTACACGAATAGCAAAATATTACCCAAAGTATAGTGGGGGCTTGGTAGTAGTCAACAAGGATGGCGAGTTTGGTAAGTTCTGCTGTTTTTTATTGTTAAATTTGATTAGCAAATTTTGAACCATGAAACCCATTACCTTTCCTGAGAATACATTTCTGATTGTTTTCCCTGTGTTTTAGGAGCCGCTGCACATGGTTGGACATTCTTTAAGTATTCTGTTTGCAATCCACAGTTAGGAAAAGTAACTGTTTATTCAGTTCAGCCTATCAATAGTACACTTGTTTGATTTATATTTTTTCCTCCTTTAATTTGAATAATTTTTACACGGAACTTGTCTGAAAAACGTTTTTAAACCAGCTGAGAGCAACAGAGATTTAGATTTGGACAATAGGAATGAGTACATTGCATGTTTTAATTGCAAGTTTGGTGAAATGGAGAAACGAATCCTGGTTTGCGCCGAAAACGTTTTAAACTTCTGCAATATACACAAAGGTTTTTTATAAAATAATCCAAATAGTACGCGCGCTCTGATTGGCCATTAAACCATTTTACATGAGCGTATGTAAACACGGTTTTCGTTCCTCTTTCATTAGTTATTTTATAAAAGAAATGCAAAATGGTTTCCGTGTTTACATAGCCTGATGTAAACACTTGGGAGGTTGGGAGAACAATCGATAAGCTGGAAACCACTCCGCTTCGCGTCGTGGTTTCCTACGCTTATCTCGTGTTCTCCCAACCTCCCGCGTGTTTACATCAGGCTATGTAAACACGGAAACCATTTTACATTTCTTCAATAGTGTGGTACATTTTGAAGCCGCAGTTTTGGTTGAATTTTAAGACTCGATAATAACACAAATAGGAAGATAGTATCTTTTGATTAAAAAAAAGTGTAATGTAAATCGACGAATAGGTCATAAAAAAGATGTTGGGGTAAAGATGCAGGGTAAATTATCCCGGTTTGAACAACCTAGTCCTCATAGTCGTGTCGGGTAATTTCTTACGAGGTTAGCAAGGTTTTGTGGGTAAATTTCGCAACTACGATATCTCCTCTCTTCGTTTCCCCCTCAAAGAATTTTCGGAGATAAATTTCATTTGTTCTATTATTATCTCTTTGAATGAAAAGTCATTCAACAGAACCGAAGATATTTGTCCGATATAGACCTTTATTTGTCAGACAAATCAGAACGAGGTCGACAGACTCGACCCAGTGATTGGCTAGGCGCAATCAGAAGTCAACTTAAAAAAAATAATAATGATAATGATTATTATAATAATAACCAGTTAAAAGGTTAAACGTCTTATCAACAAACTTCCTTGTGCAGTATCTAATAAACCAAGATCCTTTATTTTACTTAAAACTTGAGTTCTTAAGTAGCATACTCAATTGAGTATTTAAGATCAAAAGAGTGAAATAATCGACGTTGTCTGGATAATTTTGATTGCCTTGCGTAAACACGCATCCTGTGTGTAACTACAGGAATTACGGGGAAAAAATGCGGCTAATCTATAATCTAACATACTAGTGTATAAAGGTTGAAAAAAGTCGATGGTTCCTTTCGACTGGAGAAATATTACTAGTTAAGTCATTACATGAAAACAAACCATGTTTAATACATGCATGCATTGTGAGATTCTCGTTTAGATGCAACTGTAGTTACAATTTTGTCGTTGCGATGCTTGGCTGTGTTAGAACCTCGCACTTTCCTTTAGGGAGCTACTTATTCTTTGAAGTGTTTCCCGGATATGTGTGGCGTCTTGTGTGTCGTCCTCGTTGCCCTTGCACAGTGCAAGAATCTCCTTGATCTACAATTCCCCAATGAAAAGTGAGAACATTTTTCCATCAACAATGAGATACTTTCGATTCTTTGTTTAGTAATTGCTATACTTACCTCATTTGTTTTCCGTGCAAAATTTCTGTAACCAACAACTGTTTCCATCAATTTGCGAAATTGTCGAAGATCTTCTTGGCGCAAAAAGGAAGAGTTGTCATTTTGTTTAAGCAAAAAGGCTCGTCCAAAGTTTCCAAGTACTCCTTTCACTGGTCGAACCTAAAAGTCAGAGGAAGTTTGCGTTAAGACAACGTGAGAAGTGTCTAGTGCTTGTAAAGGGACCGAGGCTTAATATTTACCAATTCCATTTTCATCATCATTGCGCAAAAGCATTACATTTAACATTTCCATCCTAGCAGTGGGCAGTAAGTTTGTCACCATGGACCTAGCTAAATGGCTTAGCCTGCCATGAGTCTCCTATAGCTCAGTGGTAGAGCATCTGAAGAACCAACCGGATGGTCCTTGCTTCGACTCCTATTGGGAGCACTCGAAGGTTTCTTCCTCCGATTATATCTGTGTCATTCACTGAATACATCATCTCTTAGATATGAAAGTGCATGACGAATAAGTTTATTGATCAAATGTGCTCACTAATGCAATCAGAGGTAGAGGCCGCCCGCCAACGCGTCAAATCATGTAGAGCCGTGACATGAACAGTGTCAAATGAGTATGGGTTACTATTAAGTAGGTTTCTAAGAAATGAGCAGATTGGCATGCTGATACCGCTTCATTACGGTGTAAACAAAACGGAAGTCTCGTGAAAAATCCAATTACTCCGTTACTAAATTGTATTGAAATGACTGTAGTTGTATCCAAAGGACTTTCTAGGTGTATCGAATCAACTTCGGCTTGTATCTTATCGACTTGCGTAGCTAAGGTAAGCTTACCCCTTCGTTGAAGGAAACGAGTACGTTGGACGGAGAAATATTATTATGACAGATTCCTGTTTTGTGAAGGTGTTCAACAGCCTTGACAACATCTAAAAGTACAATTAGCAGTTGGGTAATACTTGGTTCACATCTTCCAACACCTTCCTCAAGGAAATCGCTCAACGAGGTGCTTGACACAAAGGCAAAGCAAATTAACCTACAACGGAAAACCTGCTGTTAATTTTGAAATAGCTAAAGCCAGCTCCTTTTGGCTCAGTGATAGCTTCTAGCATATAAACTTCTTAATTTCAAAAAGGACCAATTTTTTTTTCTTTTGATTTTCTTTTTTCGACCTTTGGTTTGCTTCGAGGAATTATAGTTTCAAACAATTTAGAAAAGTTTTGGGCAGTTTAATTTACTACTTACAAGTTAGCGTTCTTTATGGATGGTAGCTTGGTCGTTTGAAAACCAATGTTGACATCACACACTGAAATGAAAAAATAGCACAACAATTGCATCGCCTTATTTGATTTCCAACGAGCTAATGATGATATCAAAATGGACCTACCTTCGGAATGCCAGCGGAATGCAATCAGGTTGTCATGTGCACCATTTTTAGCTATTTCTCTTAAAATTTCAATTTCGTTTTTCCAGTCTTTCTCTTTAGATCTTGTAAAGTACTTCAAAAGGCACATTTCCAAACTGTCTTTTTCCACCCAGCAAGTAGCATATCCCTGTGCACAAAGGTTATATAACTGGTTAGTTCTAATGGCGTACATATGAGTCATATGAAAGTGCAGTCGGCTAAGACACTAAGGTAGCCGGAAAACTTGGAACCTGAGGGTTTGTAACTAAATGTAACTTACAGGATTTTAAAACCCCATTTACACCAGCAGAACATGTCTAGTTAAACCAGGTTTAGATGAATGAAAATCAAAAAGAGAGAACTGAAAAACTGAATTTTTCAGAGGTTTCAAGTAGACACTAACTTGAATTTGAAGTCAACAAACTTGGTTTAGGCAGCTTTTGTAAAAAAAAAATTTAAGCCGAGTTCAAGAAACAGATTTAAAACATTTCCAAACTTTGGTGCTTTTAGTTTAACTTTTGGCTTATTGGAGCGTAGGCCATTGATGATTTACGTCCTCCATCTACTTCTGTCAGAGGCTGCCTTTTCCAGCTGGTGCCATATGTAGTTCCATCTTTTCATGTCTGACTCTATGTCTCTTGTAAATGTGATCTTGGGGCGACCTATTTTCCTAGTGGTTCCATTTTATTGCTTGCCTCGTGATGTTGTTTACAGACTCCCTTAGGGTATACCCTTTCCATTGCCATTTTTTCTTGAAAATCTGATTTTCAATTGGCTATTTTCCTGTTTTTCCCCCAGCACTTAATTGGATATCCTATCTGACCATCTGACTTTTAAGATGCGTCTGAGACAATGATTGACGAATTTCTGTCATTTTTGGTGGCTTTCTTCGCCGCTCTCCAGGTTTCGAACCCGTAGGGCAGAACAGACTCCAAATTTGAATTAAATATTCTCAGTTTGGGTTTTCTTCTCATTGTGTGGGCTGAACATACTTTCTTCAGAATGTTAAAAACTATCCTTGCCTTATTTACCCAGCATTTGTTGTCCTGTCTGTCCCACCATATCTGCTCACAGTAATCTCAATTTAGACAAGAGATGAAGAATCCTCTTAGATGTTGTCCCTGATAGTGATAGATGTCTTGTTGTTGCAGTTGCTCTTCATTATCTGGGTTTTCATTACATTTGGTCGTAGTCCTAGCTTGCTGGCATTTTTTTTAAAGAGTCGTCTTGTCTCGCATCTGTTATTTGGTAGTGGAGAGAAGAGCAATATCGTCGGCAAAGTCGACTTTGTCTGTTTGTTGCCACAGTGTCCATTGGATACCGTTACTCTTTCCATGAGTTGATTCCCTCATAATGTTTCGTTAGTCGCCAAATAGATTTTCTGTCGAGGCCATCGAAAGCATTTTCAAAGTCATTGTAGTTAATTTATAGCGGTGTATTCTATCCGATTGACAGCTCGATGATAATACGTAATGTACCTTTCATGTAGAGCTTCACGATGTAGCTTCCATACCATTCCTGAGGCAGATGTTCTTCCTCCCACACTTCCACATTTGCGATTTGGTTCTCTGCGGTGTTGTTAGGTGAGACCTAAGTGAGTTGGTGCGCTTTTGAGGGGAAAAATTCTCCCCCTATTACCCTCCCGAAATCAGCACAGAAATCTGCTAATCATTCTCCATTCTTGTTCATATCCCACATTGCCCATCGCCTGTTCACCTTTCCTCTGCTGCTACTTCCATAACTGGCGTCGAGATCAACCATGATGATGACTACATCCTTCTCTTCTGACTTGCTGATCACCTGCCTCAGTAAGTTGTACAAGTTGTCCTTATCGTCATCCTCGGCACCATTTGTTAGTGCATAGCATTGTATTATCCATGATCTTATCTTCTTGTGTGTGGTCCTGAAGTAGGCTGTAATACGTCTTGAGATGATTGGTTCCGAAGAGATCATGGCTTTACGCATATAGTGTTATCATGAAGGCAACGCCTTTCGTGTCAGGAGCTCCGTCGTCTTGGTTCCTTGAGTATAGGATGGTAGTGCCATCTGCCATTTTCACTTCCCTACATGATGTTCATCTTGTTTTACGAAGTCCAAGAATTGACAGACCGTATCTCTTCATTTCATTTACAACAATAATTGTCCTTTCTCGTTAGAACATAGTTCTTACATTCCAAGTTCCGAATGTGAACGTGGACTTAGGAGAGAGAAAAGGTGTCGACTGCATAGGGTCCAGTCTGCTCTGTCTGTGCTGCGTCATCCCTTGACTAATAGGCAACCTTTTCCTCTCAAGTCGCTTGTTCTGGAATTAATCAATCCTACTGTAATCCACTAGACTTCGGCGTTCCTCAAGTTTTCTTACTGGAATCATTGCCATTTGTGATATACATAAACGACCTCCTTCAATGTTTGCTACACTCGGCGATAAGTATGTATGCCGATGACGAAGTGATCTATTATACTGGGTTCGATATCAACATCATCAGAGAAAATCTACAAGACCTCAAACGAGTCGAGCAGTGGTTGATGAGAAGCAGACTAATACTAAGACTAATTTGATCAAAGCGAAAGGCCTACTCTTTGGAACAAAGCAACTATTGCAAAACTCATCAGACTTTATTCTGCAGATCCAAGGCAAGGACATAGAGAACATGACAAAGATCGATTATCTTGAGGTCTCGATGAACAGCTTCACTGAAAAGAGCATACCGACTCTATTTGTAACAAAGTCAACAAGCGTTTGGGACTTTTAGCATGGATATGACCTTGCCTTACTCTTAAGGCAGCGAAGTGCGCCTATAATACCCTTATCGAGCTAATCCTGTGTTATACCAACACTACATGGGGTGAACTGTCATCCACCCCCAGCAAAACCCTTGAACGGTTACAAAATCGTGCTGCTTGCATAGTTTTTAGGTGTGACTCCACTAAAGACACTTTTAATGTTTTAGGGTGGCTGAGTTAGAAATGAAACGGAAAAGACACAAATGTGTTTTAGTTTATAAATGCTTAAATAAGCTAGTACCTCAGTATTTATGTAACTATTTTGTTAGAGGCTACAATGTACATAGCTATGACACTCGCAGAAGATGCCCAAACCAAACCTAAGCCTTGGGAAACGAACTTTTAAATATTTGGGCACAGCCCTTTTTAATTTGTTGCTTCGTTATACTCAGAACGCGGAGTCACTTTCTTCCTTTAAATTTTTGATGAATACTCACAATTTTTAACATTTTGTATTTTTAAATTATTACATCCTCTATTTTTAAATTACTATTCCTTTTACTCAAGGGGCGCTCTGGATATCAGCCTTACGGCTGATTGGGCCACCATGGTAAAATAAAGTTTACCTTACCTTACCTTACCACTGTATCCACTACACAGGGGATCGGCTGCGCCCCAGTCTCTCAAGACGGGGACGTAGGGTTGGACTTTGAGAGACCAAGCTTTGGTGTGAATGGGGTATAAATCTGTTGTTAGGAGAACAAGCTGGCAAGGCTCTCACAAATACAAATATGCGTTCACTTGGCTGTGGATATGTCAGGTTAAATACTCACCATAGACTGATTGGAGCTGCAGTCATTAAATATGTTACAAAATTCAATAATCTTCACGTCAGTCTTTCCAATGGCTGTTTTTCTGTCAGGCAAGTTAGGAGTCACGGTTGACAATGTTATATCAAGGTGCGTATCTAATCTCCCTTGTCCTCCTGTAGAAAGGATTATTATGAAGTTTAAATTTTTAATCATAACTCGACTGTATATGTATTTTGATGCTATTTGATTCCAACAGCACCGTGTTAAAATCGATTAGATTTGTTTCCGGAAACCAGACCAAGACTTTGTGTAAGAAGTCTGGACATATAAAAAGTAAAGTAATGCAATGTAACTCATTTTTACATAACTCTATTTCTCGAAAATAGGAGACGTGTTTTTCGTGTCAAACGAAAGTAAATTTCGCGAAAATCTCCAAATTCCGATCTACATTAACCCATTCAATCGTTTATAGTCCAATCAAACTTAGCATTAACACTGAAAAAAACCCTTTCATCGTGCATATCTGTGACTGAAGTGAACCACTGTCATGCTGTAGTCTACACAATTCAGGATGATTTTCTCAACAAAAGGCGTTTTTCTTTTCTTCATATGGGTGCTTGATAGGGATATTTGAGTTAACCCTAAAGTTCATAGCTGAGTTTTCCGATAAACTTTCTTTTATCGAAAAGAAAGTTCGTCCCTTAACTTCACGATTTCGTCACCAGGGAGGACGCTATTAACCAAAAACACGAAACAATGAAATAATCTTTATTTCGACCTAAGTTCACTAAATCCCCAAACGTTTCCATTTGATCACAAAACATTGAGATGAAGAAAACAATAACAGAAAACAGTCGTTTGAATTCATGAAATCGCCTCACCTGAAGAATGAGTTCTTCTTACAAATGAGCTCATCGTTCCCGTCAGAGTTTTCAACTTTTTCCTGGAGGCGGTTGTAGAAAATGTGTAAAGAAGAGGATTGATGGAGGAATTCACAGGAAGAACAAAAACCGCTATCCAAACATATACAAGCTGCTTTGGATCATACAGTCTTCCTGTTAAAGATAATATTCCGATTATGATGACTGGTATCCAGCAGAAAAAGTCTGTGAGGATTATGAACATCATTTTTGTCGCCATAGCAGTCTCGTTTCTAACGTTGGTCGATCTGACGGCTCCGCCAATTTTCTTTGCCTTAACGAACATAGCAATGTAAGAAACAAGCATAAACATGAAAGCCACGAAATTAAAGGCGATGAAGAAAGACACAGAATACTCCCAACCTGCTGGTCGGTCAGATGACAACTGGAGAGGAAGGCACACGGCTGAACGACCATAAAAACCTACACCTTTTTTCGTGTCATTAAAATAATCAATTCCCATCAGTGGCACTGTGGATATCATGATTCCTAAGAGCCACACAACTGTGCACAAAAAACATGCACGCTTGAAAGAAAGCCTCCTGAATCTGAATGAAAATACTATGCATATGAGTCGGTCGGCTGTGATAATTGTCAACATTGCCACAGACACCTCACTTGAAACCATGGATAACACGCCGGCGAACTGACACAGTTTACCTGTCCTCCAGGATAAGTCATGTTTGAAATACACTCCCTGCCACTGAGTGTCTTTAATGGCGATTATTAATAAGTATATCCCCATAAGAAAATCAGATATCGCTAAATTTGTTAGCAGGAATGAGTGAACGCGATTATCTTCTTTCAAGAAACATCTCCAAAGAACCACAATCAAATTCCCTGCGAATGCTAAGATTCCAAGAATCCATATGAATATCTGGAGAGTTTTATTTTTCATGAGGTCATCACAGCTTGAGAAACCATCGGCAGGAGCATCACACTGTAATTGAGGAATTGTTCTAACAGCATAACAGCAGTGGGTGAAATGATCCATGGTGCTGAAAGAAAGCAGTATTTGTCTTCATTGCAAGTCTGCAGGCTTCCCCCATAATAATAACACCTACCCCCATAATAATATCACCTAGCCGCATAATGATATCAGCTATTAATAAAAACTAGTCGTTCTGACGTTGGGGGGGTTATCATTGGCAGTAGAAGCATATTTTTGTCATTCAATCAGCACAAAACTGTTATATTTATCGTTGTAAGCTGTTTGGTCTCGATTTTTAGTTATCATATAACTTAACTAGAAATGTGACAGAGTAAAGTTCATTTGATTAGCCAGAAAATTTGTTTATGATTCTGAAGACTGCATTATCGTTCGTTATATTTTTCTATTCAAAGGCTGAATGGAAGTAAATTGAGTCAAGAGAGAGTCACTGGGGCCTTTTACGAGAGGAAAATAAAGTGGAAATGTATCTGTCAGACGGAAGGCGGTTTGCATCTAATGTGAGCCACAGATATTTTTCTCGTATGAACGGCCCTGATGCGATCATGTGATTCTCTTCTGGAGCTGTCTTATGAGAAAAAATCGATACATGGTCTCATCATAAAACTACCAACAAAAATAAAACGGACTCCTTCTGTTATTTACTCCTTGGGAAATAATGAACCCTTCGAGGGGTGGGTGAAATAGACGCAAGCCGTGGAATCGGTGAGGATGCGCCAAGGTCATCAAAGTTTTGTTGAGTTTTCTGATTACGTAACTGAGGGATAAATGTGTTTTTTAAACATCACTTACAGTTTTCGTAAACTGCCCAAAGCATGAAAAGTTTCAGCAGGGAGGTCCACTATCCTGTTATTGTCTAGATACCTGAATCATATGACAAGAGAAGAATACCGTCAATCGCGCAAACATTCTGTTCTCAGATATGTTGAGATAATGCAAAATCGAATGGCTCACGTGTTCAAAACAGGTTAATGAGCCATGATGACAAAAATGTTTTTTCCCCCTGATATTTACGCAGACTGCGGATTAGGGTAAAAAATAAAAACGTTGTTGATTGTGGCAAAGCCTTAAAAGTCACGATGAGGGTAGTTCTATTTAAATCCCACCAATTCTCATTTCTACGCTTTCATGAGTAACCTTACAGTATTAATAAGCTTGCTAAAGCGTGAAAGAGACAAGGTACACACACATATACTCACAGAGTGTGTAATGATATTAATCCCTCAAAGGTGTGCATTGATATCCTTTTTATCTTGTTGTTGTTCAGGTAGCTAAGACAAAGAATGGAAATAGTTTCAAGATTTGACTACACTTGCATATAACTGCACAATCAGGTCATTTGCTACTCCCTTTTAAAAACGAAAGTATGTGGAAGAACAAAGAAATGGAGAAAGAGAGGATAGTTACCCTACAATTTGCTTCATCATAAGAAAAGACAATTTCCTCGATTGTGAATGGTTTGAAAAACTCCTATTTTTCACTAATTTAACTATCAAGTTGTAATCAGACAGTTTGTTATCGGACAGTAAAATAAGCCAATCACAAAGCTGTAGTTTAAATAAATCAATCACTTTCAAAGTTGCGGGTTAAATTAACCAATTACATTCAAAGTTGTGTTTTAAATCAACCAATCAAACAAGTAGACAATCCACCTCCTTTTTCAGTCTTTCAATGCAAATTGTCCCTTTCTTTCATAACTTTGCTATATTTCTTTTCTCGGAAATTGTAATTTTTATGATTAATTGGTAATAAGAGTTCATGTCGTCCAATTCGGTTTGTAATGATACGGGTGATAAACAAATCGGACTCCTGCTGCGCGGTCGACCGATTTTGTTAGCACTCGTATGATTACAGACCGAATTGGACTCCACTCAGTCCTATTACCATTACTTAACAACATCACTAGTGAGAATCCTCATAAGATGAGAGATGAGAAGTATGTCAATGTTAAAAGATACTTACAGAACCTTTAGGTTTCCAAGATTGTTAAATAATTTGTCCGGAATTACTTCAATCAAGTTATCCTGAAGATATCTGATGAGAAAAAATATCTAATGGTTGAACTGCTTATATGTTTGAACTTTAAAATGTTGGTGGTCAAATTGCTAAGAATCTTAAACGTTACTTTGCCAAAAGTTAAAAATACGGACGTATTGTACACGTAGAGACAAGAGAAATTGTCCTAAGAGGGAATTAAGCCATCTGAGCTACACAAATAAATGCTTCCCCAGAGGTACGGTTTTTCTGGAGAATTTTCCCCTAAGAAGTTTGTTAAACGTTTTACCACAAAAGTGGTGCAGTCGCCCCAGAAATTTGAGCTATGGCACTAAAGAAAATGCTTGAAACAGTATTTGACCGAGAAACGAGTGGTTGTCTACAGAGTGGTCGCTTAACTGAGTGGTCATCAAATTGATATGAGGAAATGTGCACACCAAAGTCACCGAGTTTGATTTGATTAAACAGCGCACTCTCACAGATAGTTCGATCAATCATACATTTTTGATCGCACTTTTTGAACGAATCGAAGCGAATAATGACGATGATATGAAATAGGACAATGAGCTATGCAACCTAATAATGACTTCGCAAAAGGCTTCTGGAGAGCGATCAGGAGAAACTTACAGATATGTTAAATTACACCGCTGGCTAAACATTCCCATCTCCAGAGACCTTATTTCATTAGACCTCAAACTTCTGTTGAGAAATTAAAAACACGTGTTTGCCTGGCAAAATATAGCAACTGAATTCAGGTAGATCTATAGGACCAAGTAAAAAATTTTAAACTGGGGATATTCAGCGACAAATCGTTACTCTCATCTCATAAGGAAACAACTTATATCTAAAACTGTCCAATATCCTCGAACAAATGGAGGGAAGATGGTAATGAAGACTAAAAACTACGTTGATACACTTTTCATGTTTTCAATATTCAGATGCTCTGATCTAGCCGTTTAATGACAATATGAACTGACAATCAGTATTCTCATGCTCTAAAACAATATTTTACGATTAGTAATTGTACTCACACCACGCGAAGATTGAGCAAGTGAGAAAATGTTCCCTCTGGGATCACAGTTAAGAGGTTCTCTCCCAGATCTCTGTGATTCATTATAAATTTTAAAAAATATGTTGACAATTATTGCTTGGTTTTTCCGCAAGAAATTTTTACGAGGTAAACATTAAAAGCATTCTATCATAGAAAAAACAGATAAGGAGAGTTGGAAAAAAGTGTCGTACGTACGTACGTACGTACGTACTAGCAAACAGTAAAATGCAAATAAGTAGCAGCTGTGCATGTTATACTTGAAGAAATACAATATAATAGATATCACTGAGAGGAAATCTTGCATTTAAGGTATATAAGGTATAGTTGTTGTAATAAAGGTTTCTTCCCTTTTTCTTGTATATATTTATAAAAAATATACTCACAGGACTTCTAGATTGTGAAGGTGAGAAAAGACATTCAAAGACAATTTCCTGACAAAATTTCCAGTCAGTCTTCTGAGGAGTTATAACAAGGAAGTAAGAACAAGGAATTAGAGAAAATTTCCATAACTTGACGATTTCAAGGTAATCTCAAACATCCAGGATTTAACAGGAATGTACGATGCATATGAAAGAGTTCGGGTCTGGCATGGCAATACCAGGCTTGCGGTAAAAACAACGGACACTTGATTTACTGATTTAAACGCCAAGTACACTAACATTGCAAACACATAACAATTTCTCCTGAGGAAGAACATGCGAGCTTCACGTGCTGAAACAAAGAAATCTCTGTGTAACGCGGGGATGTTTATTAGTTACATAGGGCGTAAGTGTAACGCAAATCAAAGCCGCTTAACTTACATGGTTTTTAAATTCTGACATCCTTGAAACGAAGAATCAGCTAACATCAGAATTACATTTCTACTGAGATCTCTAAGATAAAAAAGAAGATACTTGTGACTTATTCTAGACTAATCACGATCTTTACGATTTTCCATGATAACTGTTAACATTGGTATGATGTCAAACTTAATAAAAGTGACAGTGGTCCTGTCAGGAAATTCGTCCCTACAATGTCTGACAAGAACCTCTTTAACAAATCTATGTAATCGTGTTTTGATAAGATTTGTCGAAATATATCGCCATAAAGAGTCAAAAGTCCACAAAAAACTTTTTGACTTGCGAAAACGATGCTAAAATTTTAAAAAGATGATCTAGAGACTTACATATACTCCAACAGCGGCAAATTTGAAAAAGCTTTCTCCTGAATCAGGTTAATTCTGTTGTTTGCAAAGAGCCTGAAATGTTATTAAACACGAATTTATGTACAATTCTTGTGGCAGAGGAAATTTGAAATGTTTCCATGAAAACAACCAGCTTTATTTGCAGCAGTTTCAATCTACTAGTGCAATAACTTGTGACATTTCTCACGCATGCGTCAAAAAAGTATGACAGACTTACAAGGCTTTTGTGTAGGATGGCATGTTTCCCGGAACAGTTCTTAGATCAAAACCTTGGACAAAAAAATTTCCGAGAGTTGTCTGGAAGCACGAACAGCCTGATGGGCAATCTGAAGTGAATAAAATAGGATTAGAAGCAATTATTACTTGAGATAGGAGAAATCTGCAATTAAAGAGTCTTCACATAAACATTCTGTAATGCAGAGATACTGAACTCTACAGATAGTTGAGAAATAGGCATCTTCCTTAGCCGATGAAACCAAAGAAACCAAAGTTTTTACTCAGCTTAAAAAGTTATGCCGATGACATTAGATATTACCTCGTTTGCTGCTACATGCACTATCCTCAGCTTGTACTGTGAAGAAGGAAAAAAAGAGGGATGGGCGGTGGTTATACGATCAATCTGTGTTTACGAACAACAAAATAAAATCTCAACGTATGAGATACTGAAATAATTGACAGGATTTCACTTATGGGACCCTAGCAACTAACTGATCATCTTTAAACATATTTGTGAAGAGTTTTAATAATATGCATAATGTGCGAGGAAAGGTCGAAATTGGAAAAGACACTGTGTCAGTAATAACCATAAAATAATAAACTGTTGTGACAAACCTTTAAATGAATAGTGTATTTTAAAGCCTGTTCGTTGGACGCTCATGTCCGACCTGAACGCGATGTGCAGTGTATTTCTTGTGGACTGCATTAGTTTCGGAATTTCATCTCCGCAGTATCTTCCCAAGTTTTTTTCACCTACTGTGTTCCCATCAGTCACCTCAAGGTGGTCAGTAGCACATCGCGGGTCATGCTCCAGTTGAAAATCCAGTACCTCAAGACGTATCACATGACCAACTGGCGCGGTTATTAGCCAATTACAACTGGAATTAGGTGCATAGAACCCAGGATAGTAAGGTGATAAGATAAAACCAGAAGACGCCACCAGTGTTTTTCTACATGCTGCAGAGATATAATGCTATCATTAAGAAAATAAGCATAATAAAAATAATAATCATAAAGGCAAAACCACTTTTAACTTTGAAAACATGTTTTGACATCACTAAGCTTACGTTGTAATTCCATGACATATTTGTAAAGTGTAAATTCGAATTATATAACGACCATTTGCAATTAAGGATGACTTGAATAATGTCCAAACATGTTTTGCAAACTTAAAAATGTTGCTTCTTTTGTAATAACATCATCATAATACACCAATGCCTATTCACAGTAAAAAGAGTAGAACTTGAGTGTTACCTTGATTGGCTGCTCCAACAGGCTGAGATTCACAATACCCATCGACCCAAGACAGTCCTCCGACAGCTATGTAACCAGGCACTCTTTCCATGTCTCCTTTAATGATAACCTTGCATACAGATGCAAAGAATTCGGTGAATTTCGTCATTCGAGATAAGATTTGTTTTTTTTTATTATCTACCCATACACCCTTACTCTCGCAGCTGCTACATGCTTCGTCCAAGGTAATGTCATAAAATAGACATTTACTCCGATGACGATGCAGTGTGCAATGTATGCTGCAATTTGCCTAGTACCGCCGGGATACACATGTAACCTACCCTCATTAAAATTTGAATACGGGCATGTCTTGGATAAAAAGGTATGGTCGTCCGTCCCAGATTATTCTAAGTACTACTGCATAGATTTTCGGCACAATACTTGGTCGCAAATTGTTGTTTACAAGTTGATCGCAGTGGTTGGTATCGGTTTGGCGAGCGACCTTTTAAGAAGAATCTAAGAAGAATCCTGGGTTGCTTATTGACCAAACATAACCAACGTTGAATTTTTCCTTGGTTTGACAAAGCAACCTAACCATGCAATAGACATTGAACCACTTAGTAAATCTATAAAATTTTTCAAAGAGAAAGGAAATCGAGGTGCTGGTTTTTTGGTATTACCTTGCTCCTCGCAAGAGAACTCAGAGAAACTTGTCCATGTCGCCAGTACGGCACCATGTTATCAGAATCTTTCCAAATCGGCCACTGACTTTCTTCAAGTTGTTGATGAATCTCCAATCCTTTAGCACCAGGTCCAAACATTAGAAACCTGAACTTGAGACAACTTCCATATTTGTCTGCTGATCTATTGTTCCACGGACTCACCAAGGTAACCCTTTCTGCAATACCATGGCTTACTATTGCCATAACACCTGATAGAAACATTTGCTTTTACTAAATACTTTGCATCATCTACGAAACATAACTGCACATTAACAATTTCTTACCATTTATAGCAGTAGGTATTTGATAAGGCAAAAAAGATGAAATGCTGTGCGAAAGCAAGAAGACGCAGGGGCATCAGTATTAAATCAGAAAATTCCGGTTGCAGAAACTCTAGTTTTCCGCTTGGTCTATTTCTGTTTGACACTTGGTTTACACAATCATACCAACTTTATGTAAAAAAACGTCGAAGACTTAATTTTGAATTGCAAATAATCTTATTTGACATTTGGTATTTGAATGTTTGACGCGTCTTGGTTTTTAACACAATAAAATACACAGCCGCATTGAGCTAGTTCTCTCTTCATTCCAAAAGAGTACATAAAACTTCTGCTAAGAAATATTTTGAAAATTTTGTGGCGGATTGTGAGCTTTGACAAGTGAGACTGAACAATTACACTTCATGAAAGTTGAACCATTGCTAACTCAAAAACTGAAACAAAAACTAAGTACACATTTATTTTAATGAAAATTGGGGTAGCAACCGTCGCCTTTGAGGAAGGAAAACTTGACCTGTACCATCACGATACGAGCAAGCCGGCTCCTTTATCTCCTTTTCGTCCTCCGTCATATCCACTTTATTCCTCAGATCAAACCACCGCAAAATATTTCCTGATTCTTGTCCACATCCAAGAGAAAGACGATATACTTCCTCCACTCCTAGATTATGGTCCCACATATTGACACCTGTCAATCTTGATGAGAACGTTTGATTGCCTTGTTGGAATTCTATAGTTGTAACTCCTGACCCTGGAATTACAAATTAAAGAGCCATATTATTGAGAATTTGAAGTTGAAGTATGTGTTCACCTCCAACGATCATCAGCTTCACACATGCATCTTCAGCTACAAATTTTTATGCGATTTTGATTGGCAAATCTCTCATCACTAATCATGCTCTTTTTTCCAGTTCAAATTCTATTTTTGGCTTCATTGGTTTCTGTGTTTAACGAGGCAGAATTTCGTGATCTGACGACTCAAAAATAACCATCTAAACAGAAAAAAAAATTCCTCTGGGTTAAGTATCATCCAGGCCAAGTTTGGGATTCAGCTGTGGCACTCAGCTGTGGCACTCAGCTGTGGCACTCAGCTGTGGCACAATGTCAGAACAATTTCTTCTGGTAACATCTCACCAGATATTACTTGTTCGGAGCTAAGCCATCTATCAAAATCGAAGAGCTTTCCATCTTTGTAAATTTTCCAGAATCCTAATTGAGAACTCCATGAGGCACAGACATGATGCCAGACATTTCTCTCCACGGACAAATGTGATAAACTACGGAAATAGACAGTTGTGTTTGAAATGTCATCAGTTTAAATAAGTTGGGTGGTTTTGCAGGAACAAATAATAAATGTACTCAGTGAACGGGACGTACTCAGAGAGCCCCTGCGCAGGGGTGTAAATTAATTTCCTTCCGGCAGTATACATTTGGTATCAATAATGACAGAAACAAAGTGGATGTCTTATAAGTAAAAACACAATAGCCTTCATTTTGCACTTGCACCACTACTATTCGAGAGGTAAACGGTTTATAGGCTTTTTGAGTGTTCCTTCAATAAGAAGATTTAGTTTATCAGAAAACCCGGGAAAATGCCTTCTATTTGTTGAAGAGTTGTGGAAGGTCAAAGTTTCTATCAACGTGCGCCCACTTTATAGCTAAGCAGTGGATAGAGATACTTACATAACACTTTCCTTGACATTCATTTTAACTCCAACTAAACTCTGATGTAAACTGAAGGGTGGTGTCTCCTCAGCGTCGTTGCCGGATGCATATTTCAGGGAGAAAATAGCAAAGTTATCCTGTAACCAATAACATACTGTCATTGCATTAATGCTTGTCCCTATTGAGACCGGAGCGGTGATTCGCTGTGGCCTGTTCTTGCTTGTTTCCAATACATACTGTCTGTCATTTAGATTTTCTGCCAAAACAGAAAAGTTGATGTCAATAGCAAGTAGAAACAAAAAATCACTAGATAGCAAATTTTCAAATAGGAATATTTGTCTTACCCTTGTTTACAAAGTTATATGCAAATTCTGCAATGGCTTTGCTAGCTTTGACTAAGTCAGCCGCTTCCGCCAGACTCCATCTTGTTTTTGTATCATTTTGGCTCATCCAATCACACCATTCATCTGACAAATTACACTTTCCTAGTCAAATAAACGAGTAAAATCTCAGACTTCTTGATTAAATAAGTGACATGAAAAACAAAAACAACAAACATAAAACAACAACAACAGTAGAACATTTAAAAATCATAAAAAATCAAAATGGAGTGGATTTTAGTTTTAATTTCTTGGAGATTGACGATTGGCTGCTGTTAAAAGGTACCTTTCTGAGACTCAATAAACTTAATTTTGCCAATTTGAATAGGTTTGTCCCAACAGTTTCAAAGTGTGATCTTTAAAGGACACAAGGACAAGGAGATTACATGTCAAATCAGTTGCACTATTACTTTTCTCAGAAAAAAGTGACAAATAGGAATCTTTTATTACTATCAGCCATTCATATGAAAAGATTGTCCCATAATTCTCTTATTCCACTTCTTACTTTTGATCTCATAGACTTGATTAGCCCATGGTCCACCGCGGCCGTTCTCTTGACACTGGGTAGACTTTCCGTATCTGTTATAGTTTAAACGAGTTCCGATTCCTCCCATACACTGCCCTCCGTTTTGAACCGCAAAAACGTTCAGTTGCAAATCGTAAGCAGCCTTTGCACATCGTCTTATAGCAGCAGCCCTTTGCATATAACTGCCATCTAATAACGGACTCGTTGTCTCCAATGACGCAAGGGTTCTGTCGGTATAATCCTTATAGCATCCTTTGTCTATAATCTTCTCGATATACATGTTTACTATTAAAGAAACAAAAACATGTGAATTGAAGAATAACGTTAACGTTATCTACTCACATACCTACTTATGCACGCTGTTAACCAATTGATTGTAAGTTTACCGACAAGATCACTCTCTTACTTATGTTCGCTTTGACTTACTACATTCGCCTTGAGTGCATGCACTAGATCCAGCAGATACTTAAATATCCGCCACAAAATATAAGAAGTGCACAGAGATTAAACTGACTGAAGAGGAGGTATTACACTGCAGCTAGCCGGCATCTAAGACTCTTGCAGGGTCCAACATTATTAACGGGATCACTCTAACCAATCAGTGCATTATGGGAAAGTAAAAATGATTAACTGAATTAATTTTGCCAAAAAGTACCGAGTACCAAAGCGAGCGAAGATGGCAAAGAATTGTGATAAAACTTATCGTTCGTTTCTAGTTATAGGATTGGTCTGGCTTATATTAGTGGCTCCTATAGGAAGAGAATTTGTACAAAATTCGTAGTGCACTTCAGTTTTTATGAAAAATAACAAAAACAAATAAATAAAAGTAGATCACCTGCAAAGCAGCCATAGATTTCAATTCTCAAAGCCACCCCATTAACCCAGGTGCGAGGATGAATACGTAGAAACCTGGCCAATATGGACGGGATGATTGTGTTTACTGCTATTGTGTTTTGATTTCTGTTAGCTTTAAAAATCTAACAACAACAGAAATAAAGCACTATAAGCGACCCTTTATTTCAAGACTATTTTTGCAAGTTAAGAAGTAGCAACAACCTCGTCAAACTCATCTGTTGATAATGACACCGCGGTAGCGAACGGAGTATCAATGGATTTGTTGCCAGATGAGTCCCTCCACTCCCGCGCAATAAAACGCTTAGCCTCCTCTGTGACTATTATTGAAATTTTAAATATATAATATCTGAATAATGAGATTATAAATGTAGATCTAAGATTTTGGGAAAGTTGCGACCTTTTTTGTTTGTTTTACCTCGTTAATTTCCCTCTTTCGTTTCGTTATAGAAATTTAATCAAGATATTTAAATATACAGTTTCTTAAATAAAAAAGGTATCATTGATGTACTGAAGAACCCTTGGGCGCTCTGTTGGAATCCTTAGTTTAAAACCCAGATTTGTTCGTCTTGAGTCACAGATCGCCGTCCAGGTTCTACAGTAAATGCATCGTGTGAAAGTGCATTTTTTACACGCGGGCAAAAAGAACTATCTTAAAGGCATGTGAAAACACGGTGAGGAAGGGGGTTGCAGAACTGGCATTGTACACTTAGTGATTGTATTGCAGTGTTACCATTTTAAGCTGTAAAATGATTGGGCAAATGCAGAAATGAAGGGGAAAAATTTCACAGATTAAAGAAACTCGAGAAATAAGATGAATTGTTCTCCACGTATACCTGAGCATAAAATTTGAAGTTGCTTTCCACTGAACTGTAGGATAGGGTAAAACTGCTGACCCATTCGGCAACCCCGTGTCGTCCTTGAGTATCCAGACGTTTTATCATGGCAAGAGTTCCGAGGTCAATCTGTAAACAAAAATAAAATTTTGGCGTTTATGATATACTTTTTCAAAGTAAAAGACTGACTCATAAAAAAATTGCCAATATCTTGAAAGGTGTCTTATATTATGTATACGACAAAGAGTCCGATGGCTTCAGTTATTAAGAGTCGCGGCGTTCTTAAATGATGATCTGCCCAATAAAAGACAGAAAATATCACACATTAGTTCTCACAGTCTCTCAGATGTTATCTCTACTCGCAAACCCAAGCCTTTACTTTATACGTGCTACGTAGGCGCACTAAAATAATGAGACTATGTTGGTAAATAAATTTGTTGTTGTCTTTCAACTACTATGATCTCACATAACGTACTAGAGTAAAATCAATGCGATACGGAATAACTCTCAACTATCACTTCAAAATTCTCCTAACAGGATGAGTCGCTGTGTTTCGTAAATGCTTACGGTAGAACAATGCATGGTTTCACCTGAAGCCACTGGTTCGTGTCTGATACGGCGGCCACCCAGGCTCCAGGTTTACCACCCTCTGCTACGGTGTACAGCCGCGCGCGGTGAGCGGAGCCGAAGTTTGACGATGCTGTTACAGATGCGTTGGGTATCTGTCCATTTTGCATTCCCAGGGGAGCATAACAGTGCGGAATTCCACGAGTGATATTAACTTTATCAGCTTCATCTGTTAAACAGATAAAAGGAAACAACAACGGAAAAATAATATGGTTAATTGAATATTCCAATCAACTTTGTTCTAGAGGAATTGAAATATAACGCACCAGCCGGACATCCATAGTATTCAACTCGAAGACAGCCAAACTGATTGAATTTGTATGGGTAAATTCTGACAAACTGGGCGGTGATACGAGGGACAAGATGGTGGCTTACCACTGTATGTCGGTCAAAATTACCATCAAATATCTACAGAATTACAAGAAAAAAATAGATTCAGAAGGTGAACTTTGTTTGGTTTACATGGGAATAGAGCAAATTAAGGTAAAAGATTATCACATGAAGAAGATAGGTTTTTAGAAGACTTCCCGTTCAGGGCTTTTCTGTAAAAAACTGAATAATATACCATAAACATGATTAACAGCTCCTTAAATCCAACAGGGCTATGCGAACAAATGATTAGAGAATAGACCTGATGTTTGTAATCATTTATTACAGAGATACTCGTGTCTTGACTCGGCGCACGGGCGCGATAATGGTTCTAGAAGGAAAGTACGGCTACCAAAATACAGTTATGAAAAACAGCATCTTTAAATTTGCAGACAACGCAACAGCATGAAAAGTTTTGTCCAACTGAACCTTTTGTCTTAAAGATCGTTAGGAATTTAAATGGTAAAAATTTTAATACTGATGTGAGGTTGAAGTCGCTGTGATACCTGCAGGAGAGCAGTGACGGTTTACATTCGTTTTGTATAGAATACATCGCTAATTATGATGCATACGTTAAAATTGGATTTTCACTCGGTTATTAAATCGAATGCGCTATTGCCACGCAGGCTTTGATGGGACCAGAAAGATTGTGACATTTTGCAGCTAATTAAACTGCACAAGCGTAAGTCATTTCGTCTGCCAAATACAACCACACATCTCAATCGTCCTACCTTTACGTTTCCATGTTGTCGATATAGCAACCGCTTTCTCTTACTGTCTCGTTTATAAGCTAGGAAATATTTTGTAACCCAGAAATCAAATTCCTGTTTTCCTTGAGTAGCAACCTTGCCTACTCTTGCTATGAAACCAAAGTCAACTTGAAGCCACTGGTACTTTGAACTAGGATACTGACACCAGCCCCCTGTGAAACCACCTGAGATATATTTATCAGGTAAAGCCATGTGAAGCCTCGCTCTGTTAGGAGCCGACCTTCTTCTGTAGTAAGATGAAGCTGTTATTGCAGAGTTTAATATTCGGCCGTCTTGCATTCCAAGAGGGCTCAGACAGCCAGGAAGTAAAGGAGGAAGAAATTCTAAACAAGAAATAGTAAAAATATGAACAATGGAACCAGCACAATCTATTAAGTGACGTCGTTCGTTACATTTTTCTGTACTAGAAGGTTAATCCGTAACCTGCTATTTGAAATATAACTCGAACTTCCTGATATTTTACTCGTGTTACCGGGTTACACTCACACATTTCACATTATCTTGAACAAGAGCAGCAAAACAGTTAAATTTGGCTCTTTTCCCTTCTCTCGCTGTAAGAAAACTTCCTGATGATAATCTATAATATCACGTCAGCCGAAATAATTCACGCTCATTAGGATCTGTTGAGTGTCGTAAAACCAGGCAAAAGTTATCTCGGGTGTCCAATACATACCCTGATAGGGAGCCCATGGTATTTCATTACAGCGCTGTTTACTGAAGGATACATCATCGATATCAATAGACGTTTCTCGACATGTACCGGCTATTGCGATCTGACAATAAAAGGAGGTCTTTGTGAGATAAGCCGTGACTCAGAGTACGAACAATTAATAAGAGAGTAATGACTGATTCTAGAGAAAAACTGTTCAGCATCCGGTTCTGGAATTTTCAATAGAGGAAGGAAACAGCTGGAAAAAGTGCATGTAATAGTCTGGACACAAATATTCACGAGGAAATTAATTTACAGTGAATGGTTTGAACCCGGGGGTAACATATAATAATGTCGTTTGATCGTCCAGATGAGTGTAGTCCTGAGAAGGACTGTTGTCGGTAGTGGCGACTGACGTTCGACAACCTAAGCGGAAGTCATCATCAGAGTCAAGTAAATAGTTTTTGTCAGTCGAATGTTCTTAGTCTGGTTTGTATAAACTGATTGGTCAGTTTGCCGTAATGTTAATGGTTGTAAGGCTCAAGTGGCGTAGGTCGGTCGTGATTGGTCGGTCTCTATCCGTTAGAGAAGTTAGGTCGTTCTGTTCGGTTTGTTTTTAATGTTAATGTCGTGAATGAGTCGTTTGTATGATGCAGGTAGTGGTTGGCCTCTGTTGAAGGGAATCTGTTTCAAGTTAGTAAACCAGCTTTCCAGGGTCATTCGTTGAAAGTAGTTGGTGCTGCATGTTAGACATTGCGCAGAGTCCCAGTCAATGGTGTGGTGCGTAAGTCAGTGATGCTCAGCAATGTGATTGTTGACATCGCCCTTTCCTCGTCGCTCGTTTGCGCTCAGTCAGTCTAGTTGTTAGGTTTCTGCCAGTCTCACCGATGTAGGAGGCGTGGCAGTCGGAGCAATTGATCTTATACACTGTTCCCTGTCTGTTCCTTGGTTCGTCTTTATCTTTGACGTTAGTCAGCAACTGACGTAGTGTGGTAATAGGTTTCGAGCGACGCGGATGTTGAATGGTTGTGGGATGTGTGAGATGTTCTCAGATATGCCCTTTACGTACGGTATAGTTTCTGTAGTCGTAGGAGTTACGTTGTCGTTAGTTTCGGTAGTAGTAGTAGGTCGCTGAGTGTTACGTTGGATGAAGTCTTCGTTGTAGTTGTTCTTTGAAAAAACACGGTCAAGGTACTTGTTCTCGTCGGATAAGCTGTTACCCAGTATCTGGTAGGGCAAATAAACACTGTGTTTTCGAAACTGCCATAAACCTCTGAGTAGTAAGAATGAGGTTTATGTACATAATATTCACCTGGGTTGTTCCCTCGGCGTTGATTGGCAGCTGAACAAAGTTCCAACCAGTTTTTCTATGAGATGTTGTCCAAAGCTGTTGTAATACATCTGATACATTTAGGAATACTCTTAATTGGACGTCACGTCCCGATTCGATTCTGTACCAGAAGCGCATACACTTCCATTCGTTGCCGCTAAACACGGGGGAAGTTATTGTTCCCTTTACTGTCTTGCCCTCTGGCCTTAAACTAAGGAAGCCGCCTACAGAATAACAACTATTGTTGAAACATTTTTTGTCTATGTAAATATTGCACATTTATATGAGTAGACCCTTGCCTGTAATACTAATCATCGTTAGTATTCACTAAAAAAGTGAATAATGTTGAAGATGCGCTCTGATTGGCCACTCAAACTCTGAATATCCTCTGCTATTCACCTTTAAACTACTCGTGCGGGATTTGCGCCTGAATATATTGTAATCGTTGAAGGAATAAATGAGTTAAAATCACTTTTTGCGCTATTTTTTCCAACTGTTTTAGTATATACTAAAAGAAATATTCCCTAGTGTTTTCAATACTAGCCACCGACACTGAGTTGAATAGTTGTTAATTATCCCAGCCCTTTTAATGGCGATGTATTGTGAGGAACTTCAATGCAATTGAAAATGACAATTTGAACCTGCATGATAGAACTACTCAATAAATCATCCTCAATTTTCCAGTTTATTTGCAATAAAAATTCAGGTTATTATTCTGCATGAAAACAAACCAAAGATAAAAGGACATCTAACACTCAAATGATAATCATAGCGGAGAAAGTGACATGGCATTTTCTTCCTACGTTTGGAACGAGCTACTTGTCGAATCGCTGATTAGTCATTGGACGTAGATGTGGGTGACCCATATCTACATTATATGACAGAGGAAAGTTTTAGTTCCACTGACATCTCCTGCATAGCTTTGACAAAAAGGATAAATTTAAAAAACCTTTTCGGCTTCCGCTGAGTTCTTTCAGAAACCAGGATCCATCCATGTCCCAGTTGCATATTTTGTCGTCAAAATAGCAGTGTGGATTCTCTGTAGTAATGCAAACTAAACATTTTAGATGTAAGAATAGAGACATCATCATCAGCCACCCAGAATCTTAGTAGCGAGAATCGAAAGTTTTTATTTCTTCAAGTATTTTATCATGTTGTTTATCATGTTTTCGTTTTTGCCGGCGTTTCCTAATATGGTTCAGATTATAAAAGAAGTGGCTATCTGATTTTCATTAAGTTATTTTGTATTTGACCCCGATTTTGTCGCCGGTGAAAACCAGCTTTGAAAGAGCATAGATGTAGTGTGATGGAGAGATCTTTTGCACTGTATATCTACATAGGGTAAAACTGGACTTAAATTAATTCCATTACCCCATTTGTTGTTTGTGTGACAGCTTTCATCCAGGACTGTGATGTCATCTATGGCTATATCTCCCTCATTTCCCTCTACAGAAACTCCTTCTAGGATAAACTAAATAAAATATTAAAGTTCACTGAGTTGAAAATTAAAGAGAAATTGTTAAATTTAAAAAAAATTTAATTAATTCAGCATTCTTCGATATCACTACATTGACAGGCGTAAGATGAGATTTGGTCATCAAACTGTGTCATCAACTAAACCTTATAACGGCTGTCAGCTTGTAATGTCGTCTGTGCCAGCAACCAAGAGTTTCCTTGGTTTCCTGAGACATGCCAAACAATCGTTTCCGAACTGTGAGTAGCCATGTAAACAATCAGCTCTCCTATGTGTTTGCCAAACATGTGATACCAGAACTGAAGACAAATAATCTTATTCGGCTTTAACCAATCGCTTGTCAGACGCGCTCGATCACCATGGAGACGGTTTGAGGCTTCTATGTAGATGTAGGCACCTTAAAAAACAATGAATACATTTTCATAAAGAAGCTTCCCCTCTGTGACGAAAGAGACTAGACCAGGATAACCTACCTTTTTCAGAAAATGTGGTGTGATCATAACTTGGACCAGTATGCGCCGAAGAGGTCTTTCCAGAATTCAATAGCCACTGAGATTCAGTATTTTTGTCATGTTTCAGTCCACAAAAGCCGTTTTCAAAACTGCAGTGACCTAAAGGAAGAGTACAAAAAATGCTGATAGCAATTCATTTGCATTTATGTCACGTCTTTATTTGCAAAAAATCATAGCAGTTTCCCCGAGTTGTGTACTGTTTCTATGATTTGAATTATGGAAATCAGCCAGTTGTATACACGATGATAAAGTTTGTTTACCTCTAAAGTACTTATCACAATTCCTTGAGGAGCTGTTGTCTTTACATTTGAGGTTGTTTAGCGGACAATCATTGGCTGCTGTGGAATTAATAGTACATTATTGAGCAAATTCGCTTACATCTTTTAACAAATTCTGTCATTTTAACCATTCCGCTCAGTTGTATGGACGTTCCGTGAACCAAAGTAGGGTAAAGTTTAAAGGTCTTCATGCGCATGTCTTAAAACACTCACTGCAAATTGATGGTTGGTGTGTGTCATCTTGACAAACCGGGTAGTTGTCACGGCGACAAGTGGACGACCATGGGATACACGTCCCGTCTACGCATTGAAACATGTTACTAGGGCATGTAGCTCCTGCAAGAAAAATAAAATTTATCTCCGAAACATTTTCGGCTCTTTCTCTTCAAACTCTTAAACAGATTGCCATTTGACAAATTTAAAGGTGTTTTAAAGAGAATGATAATCACTCCTAGTTCTTATAAAAAAATAAAAATAAAGCACTAAAAAGGCTCGAGGAGGTGACTCCCGAAACTAAAAAGGGCAAACCGCACATGTTTAAATTTCGTGGATTCAGCAAGAAAGTACCTTTTTAAAAGTATAATGATATATGTAGAGAGAGCTTACCACAGACTTTTTCATCTTTTCCATCTGAGCAGTCATCGAATCCATTGCACAGTTTATTAGATGGAACACAGCTACCAGTCGAACATGATAACTCAACAGTTAGGCAAGTGCAGCCCTTTTCATCTGAACCGTCCATACAGTTGACGTCGTTATCACAGCGCTGTGAGGAGCTTGTACATTCACCATTATCGCATTGATAATCATTTGGACTGCAAGCAAAATCTATCAAAAACATTATTCATTACCAAACGACGTAAGGAATTTCTTATCATTTTCTGATTATGTAGGGGAAAATTGCTCGTATCCCTATATATCTCTGTTTTATATATTTTTATATTTTGTAACTTCCAAAAAGTTATTGTTTAAGCGCGGTTCACCACTCTCCTGAGGAAGGACTCTTAATATTAATGAAGCGGTCAGCCTGCGCTATAAGTCAGAGTATTTCTAACACTGAACAAGTTCCTTATAATGTAAAGAAAACAAGGTTTGCAATCTTTTACCTGGAGAAGCATGAGATGGTGTCAGTGCGCATGTTTCAGTCGTTATTGTAATATTGTCGACAACTATGTTAGGTGTACCATTTCCAGACCCAAGGACCTCGAAAATAATCTGGAAAGCAACGGAGTACTGCAGTGAATGAAGGATTTTTATACAAAGATCAGTCACGTGATATTTCAATACCAGCCGAATAAAAAGTTTTGTATACTTGAATTTTCTCTAGCGGCTTCCACGAGACTGTTGCGATGTTGGGTTCGTTCCCTTGGTGGCCTCGCAATTTCCAAATCAAAACTGTTTGTTGTGGAGTTTTAATAAACACATTCAATGAAGGGTGAAAATGAGTAGAAAGTGTGAATTTAAAGCGGAGGCATAACCCAACGTCCATGTAAAATGGTTTCCATGGCAGCAATGGGCTTTCTATTTTGCCATTAGGGAGTTCATTGACCAAACCAACACCTCCTAGAAGTAAAGGAAATAAGAGTTTACTAAAAGGTTACAAGGAACTTGCTCATCAAAAGCAGAAACTTGCAATAAATTGTTTTATGTTTTTACCAGATACCATCCATCCGTTGAGTGTCCAATCTTGGATGTTATCTGATGCTAATTTGGAAATGGTTGCAACTGAAATGTATGAAAATTGAGAATAGTCTTTCAGTACTACATCGTCCAGAAGAAGGCATGAATCTAAGTATAAAAACAATTACCTAGATACAGTTTTTAATTACGAAAAATAGAACGCTTTTTAGTTCATAAATTGGACGACTGCTAACCTTTAACCATAACATCAGCAACTTTTTGTTTTCCCCTCCACTCTGTTGAGTCATTTGTGAATGAGTAATAAATCTATGAATACAGTTAAAGTTGATATTTTTAACAATTTCGTAACTTATCGCGCAACATAGAAATGTGCAATAATTTTAAAGCCCTGGTAATTGGGAATTTATTTTCAAGTCAGTTTAATGAGGCTTTTGTGGGAAGGCACCAAGCTTAGCTTCCAACTTAGGCGCAAAATTAAACACCACATGGTGCATTAATTTAGCTCAGACTGCCTTGGGCCTCTTGAACTGAAAGTACAACACAACATGGAGAGAAATGTTGGAAATGAAAATTGCACAAAGTGTATATACCTCTACGACGGCGACTGCTTTTATCCCCGGTTTTATTATCACCAAAGTACAATTTGTATTCTGGCTTCATTTGCAGCTGAAATTTGTTTAAGTTCTAATTTTTCCCAATGGAGGTTTCTCCATCATTTCCGGTTCTCCTTTTCCATAAAAGTCACGGACTAATTACCTTTTGATGCATGTACAATTTCTTGCGATGGGATGGGATAACTGTTTCTTTTATCGCAAACGATTTTGGCTCAGTCTCATTAAATTATGCACAATATGTCTACAACTGTCCATACCTTCAAGGAATGGACTCCAGGCTGAGCAATTACATCTATTTCTTTCTCGAACATGTTTTCTGAGCATGTTAAGTTGACATGTGGATTAACAAGGTATTTATTACCAAAGGCATGGAACTCCAGTAATAATGGACAATCTGGGCAGTACATGCCTTGACAACAGTACTTGTACGATGCTAAAAACAAAATAATTTTAATAAGTCCAGACTGGTCTTAGTTCGGTCTGTCTTTAGGATAATTTTTTAAGTTAGCCCTAAATCAGTCAGTCAAACAGTCAAAAGGTCGATGAATCGGTTGGCTTGTCCGCCCATTAGTACGTTATCACCGATAAAAGGATGACCGTTGTAACGTTTTATGTTATACAAAAATATGAATTCATTAACAAAACTCTAAACCTATGGACATGAGCTTCTTGCTTTCATGCTCTCTATAAGAAAAATACAAGAAGAATAAGTAACTTGCCCCTAATGCGTAAAACGGATCCAAGAGCTAATACTTTCGCATTGATATAATCTGGTTGCAGAATGGTAAAACTTAAGGTTCTTTTTCCTGTTGAAAGGACAAAAACAAACGGTACAATTGAGTAAATGTCACCTGCATAGGTAGATTATCCGTCAAATTATAGTTTTACAAATTTGAGCCCAAGATGAAGGCTGCTGTTCTTTAACGTTTCAGAAAGTTATTTCCACACGTCAAGCGCTCAAGACCACGGCATAAAACGCAGTAAATTCTGGAATTCCACTTTAAATAAAACTCACCAGGTGGAAATGCATACAGATGATTGCCTTGAATAGGTTCTTCCTTTATAAATGTCTGGTCACTAATTCCAACAGATAAACATTTAAATTGCATTTCTTCCTTCATATACACTTGCAGTGCATATAACCGACATTTATTTAGGTACACCCCTGACTTGGCTTCCTTCCTCAGGCATCTAGAATACCAAAAGTACACAATTACGTCAAATATGACGTTGCATACATAAAATTCAAATGGCTCGGTAAAGCCCCACCTGTCTGGCTCGTCGTAAATTGTCCATCTGCGTAACTGTATCAACATGGTCTCAACTAGTCCCGAATTGGAAGGTAACTTTTCCTCAAATGATAGTTCTTCTTCGTGATATTCTGTGTACCACAATTCGCATTCATCTCCACAAGACAACGACAAAGTATAGTTCCCACTCTTCGGTACCTTAAGTGTAAAGACGAGTGGGTTTCAGAAAATGTTTGTGTGGTTAATGCTTGATGTCTAACTTAAACGCCCAGGCAAAAGGAAACTGTTGTCGATTTAGCTTATTTACACCTAAATGTGTCGTTTTACTTGTCATTAGCACGTAAAGTCTAGCAAATAGAAAGTGTGCCCATCGTCAATATTTGGTAAAATGACCTTCAATGTGAAGAATTAGCTGAGGTTAGACACTCTTCCATGATTGTTGGTAAAGGTTTGAAATGGTTCATAAGGCTAATGAGATCAGTTAGGATAACAACTTCCGAACTTTATTTAAATGTTGTAATGACACCTCTTGACAAATTGTCCTACATGAAGAGTACCTTCAGGTAAGCCGTCAATCGTTCGCCATAGTTGTCGCTGACTTCAAATGCGGCAGACATGTTAAATGTCGTTGTGTATCCATCTGGTGGCTGTTCAAAAATTGGATTCTCGCGAAGTGTGGCAAATCCTTCAGTGTTAACGTACCTATACCATAATTCTCTACTAGTTCCATGAGCTTTGCCAATAGAGTCTGCCAAGGAAAGGTTTGCATGAGGAGTCTAACTTAGCAACATGAACAAAACTTTTACTGATGACAACTGATTGAAAGCGTTATTTGTCAATCAAAACATACTTGTCTGAAACTAATTTTCTCTCCAGTATTAATTTGTGAATAAACAAAGTGTTCCAACAGTGTGGTCACCTTTGATGTAAACCACCACGTGATTATTCCATACATTTTGTTTTAAAAAGTTGATGTTCATGCATTGTGCAGTCGAAACATCACAATTTAAATTACAAATAATATAATCGAGGGACAAACCCTGATATGTCAGTAATAGTACGAATTAGTGAACCCTGGTAAAAAAAATTCTTTGTGAAGAGTTATTAGACCAGTAAAGTTTTGAGATTTCGCTTTGCTAAACTTATTCTTTAGCCCTTCTTCCATGATGGCTCTACCTTCGATAGAGCAAGGGTATCACAACAGGAAAGTCTATTAATCTATTACCGTGTTTTCTTACTCAGTACTTTAAGTCATGACCGTTTGTGTACTAGAAATTTTCCATAGAAATTTTTTTAAGTAATCGGATGTCCGGTGGTATTAATCTTCCCCAGGAATCCTGAAATATATTTGTCCTCACACTCTCATGGCGATTTGACTTAAAACTGATGTACTCGTGATCTTCATCTTGCGCGACACACCAGGACGCTTTGACATTACTAATCCTAGCAATACATGAGAAAAAGTCTGATACGTACATGTCTGACCAATGCGGGTATGTGACCTATCTTAGTGCGTGATCTCAGAAGGAGCAACTGATGGTGAATTGAAAGGACAGCGATCCAATCTTCAAAGGAGTCTTCTCCAACTAGTGACGTACAAACTACACTTCCCTGTATGTGTCTAACTTACCGAAGCCAGACACCGCAACACTATTGATGGGGGGATTCCACTGATGGTCAAGGAGCTCTAATAGGACCTGTGAACCGCTCCTTGGTGGTGTACATCGAAACGCAAAAGTGGTAGGCGGATGATTGACGATAGCAGTTTCTTCACACTCTATGTAAAACATATTGCCATCAGATACTAACAACTTTGTCGTTTTTGTATGTTGATCACAGCAGCTGATAAACATGTCTACTGTAGCTGAGAATACCCAGATCCGCCTGGTAAGTGTAATTATCCATTTCCGGGCACTTCCCTATGCAAGCAAACAAGCAAAAAATTCTTAAAACTCACTTCAAATCTCAGTTACATGTAAGAAAAATTAATTGAAATAAGAAATGGAGGTTACCTCTCTCTGGAATAAAGGACCAAACAACTGAGACTGGTCCGCCGCTGTCACTGAGACGTTTCCCTCAAAAACGTCATTGCCATCAGTTTTATACTTGATCACATTCACTGTTTCGAGCAGGGAAACAAATCAATGTAAGCCGTGAAATTTTCAAAAGGTGAAAATACAACGAGACTAAATGTTTGAAGTCATTACCCTCATCAGATTCATGAATTAAAGAAGATGAATAGAAGATTAGTTTCATAACATTTTTTATTTACTGATCTTCAGGTCATACACATGAAAGGTCGGTGGCAAAAACTTTGCTTGCCTGGGAATCTTATAGCAATTTATTGTACATTATGCTTTAGAACTCTATTTTCATATGGTTTAAATGACGTTGGAAGTTGTTCAACGCACCTTGGTAGCTTTCACATATGAATCCATTCATATTGCTACAGTCAGTATTCAAAAGCTTCATGTCATCCTTACTCAACGCGCCGCATGATTTCTTTAAACCGTTCATCGGATAACCGCGCTTAAACTGCTGCCCGTCCACTGTCTTTCCGTCGTTCCAAACCCACTTGTCAGCTCCAACCCTGAGCCTCGATCGAAGAAATCCAACATAAAGGTCGGTCTCTGCGTTGGTCAAGAGCATAAGTAGTTCCGTCAAAGTTGTACTGAAAGGCTCAGACATCTTTGGTAATGCTAGGTCTCCTCCTAGGCGCCGACAAAATGCACGAGCGCCGTCCCAGGTCCTTCTCGTGTTGACAAAGAAACGAAGACAAGTCGATCCGACAGCTTTCCAGCCAGGATAACAGCTTCTGTTACTCTCTTCGACAAAATGCATTATTGGAATAGACAAATCAAAAGTGTTAAGTGAGGAAGAAATGATTAAAGGAACTTTGCAATCATACCAAACGAGAAATTAATAGGAGATCGAAGGAGCTATCTTGTTTTTTTTCTTGGGATGTTTAATGGGAAATTGTGCTTTCCCGGTCACCTCAGATATTCTCAATCAGAACGAAGAAAAAGCACCGTTCACTTTTTTGGTTTCTACAAATGAACAATTTCCATCTTTCCAAACAGAACCAAATGTGTGGAAAAGAACCTCGAAGTCACATTTACATCAACGAACTTTGCTATAACGTAAACATTCTATCAAGTGCTTAAAATATTTTGCTATGATCTGCATTTTACTTTACGACTCTAACAGCGGGAATGTCGCACAGAAAGAATTCCTAGACAAATGCCAGACACGCTGCAGCTAGTGCTAACTTACCCGGGAGAAGTATAACTGGAATTCTGCTCGTCCGAGCTGAATAGCAACAGTCGGTTGATTGGTTTGAGACGGTTATCTTATTGGAAATGTTAGAATTTATGGTTAACTCAAAAATATCATTGGTGTGTTCATTTCTTCCAGCGATGAAGAAATCATTTGGAAAACGGTCAGAGTCATTGAGATGAAGGGTTGAGGATATGATTGACTTTCCGGATCTGGACGGAGGATAAATGAAATACATGGTATCGTTTTCTTTGCACCGGCTTTGACCAGTTGTAAATGAGAACATGTGTAGCCATTGGTCGTGGGCTGGTACTGCATGCACGCGATAAATGTTGTTGTTGTCTTCCCTCGTTGACATGACGCGAAACACAGGGCGGGCTGAAAAAGGCATCATTCATCTCAAATTGTGGTGATTCTTACTCTTAGTGATGACTTTCAGTTGAAACCGTGTTCATTTTAATATGGACTACGTATGAGTTAAGTGCAAAGTTTTTAATGTCAGTGAGTAAGGAACAATTAAGTGCAGTCGGTTTTTCAGTGCGGACGATAATATCTTGAGAAGCATACAGAAAACGTATGTTCAGCCGTCCGCTTGCGAAACAAACTTTTTTTCTCTATTTTCTGGTACTCTTTGTCGTCTAATTCTTGCACGCTTTAGATTTCGAGGTATGTTCACTGGACTCAGTAATTTTTGCCAATGGGAATGTCTGACTGATTATAATTTTGTGTTCCTTTCTTGTCGTTTGATTTAGAAAATACCAAAGCGGTCATCTACAAACCTTGCTGGCATGATCCATTTATGAAATGAAACTGGTCCAAGGCTGCGTCGCCAAGGTGCGAACTTCCTCTAACTCCCTCCACAATGATCTAATTTATGAAAAGAAAAACCGCCCTGGAAATTTTGCATTTCCTCTAAGTCATCATTTGTAGAAAAAAGCATTTCTTTATTGAAAGCCAGGTTCACCTATTATCGTCTCACTGCTTTTGCGTATGACCATAAGGCCATTCATTATCTTGTAAACGGAAAAGATAATATCACCTTTAAGTGCTTTTCTCACTTTCAATGGACGAGTTTGATAGGAAGATGGTCTTTCGCTCTCAAACGAGCGCGGTAACTTGCATTTTTCTGCAGAATTTTGATGGAAAAATGAATCTCCTTTGAAGAGACTAACTAAGTGGGATGCAACTTTTGAAGCTGAGAACAACGACTCGACGAACGGTTTTTGTCAATTTCGTTTGAAAATTGTGAAATATTTTCACATATTAGATGGTTTCATATGGTCAACTGCTTTGTTTAATCATAACTTTTAAAAATCTTTCTTAAAGACGCCGCAAATGTACCATAAACCAATGGAATATCGCTCTTGATTAGTGCTATGACAGGCATGAGTGGAGTAACATTGGCCCATCATATCTCTTTTGTTAGCATGGTGACCTACATTCTTTTAATCGAAGCAGTGATTGGTGCGGAACATCCATAGAAAGTTTCACAAAAATCGTTGAATAACTTTTATTTTTGAGAAATCTCCCTCAACGAGTATGACCATGGCATACGACAGTCAGAATCCTGCTCTAAACCTGCAACTTATTGATCATTTTCCACTTATTCTACTCTATGTGTGATTTTGAAACTGTATATCGAATTCTCAGTACTGCCCTAATACCCTTCAACCAGCCTAGCCTACTGTGGGAAATTTACAGTTTCCTAAGTATCGTTCATATCACCTACTTAGTGTGGGGTGAGTAATCAGCTATACTCTGGTCATGGTACTTCTAGTCCTTTCGGATTTAAACAGAAATTTAGGAGAAGGGAATTGATAACTAACCCGATAGCTGGCCTTCTCTTCACTGATCTCAATCTGTGTTTTGATCCAGCGGTCTCCCCAGTGGCCCGACTTGATCCACACAACTTTCTCAGTACCGTCGGTAGTTTTGATGTAAACAATAACGCAACTCATTGTTTGGCCGTAGAAATTGTAGTAGAACGTCATACACTGCGTACCAGTCATCAAGGGACTCTTAAGTCTTGCTTTATCTCTTGGACTGCCATTCCCCGAATGTATATAAATGTAATGGCCGTTTCCTATGATAATGAAATGATAGCTCAAACTTTCTCTGGGCTGAAAGCACTCCATCTTATCATAGCCGTCGCCTTACCAAAAATAAACATTTATCAGACGAAGATCCGAAAGCAAAATATCGTGATTTGTCGGTGGCGTGCTGACTTAGTTTTGTTCGAAATCTGATTTAGAGACAAACCTCATAACATTAAGCTCCATATTAAACGATTAATAATCTCCGATAATCAACCTACACGTCCAGGCATCATTGGTGAATAGAACTGCATAAGTAACAATCTGATGGATTGCCGTAGAACCGTTATTCCTGTTCAAATTTCCTCACTCTTTGTGACGAAATTGGTCAGTATTGTGAACCAAATTCTCCAGGAGAAACAAATAATATAGAAAAGTAATTCTATGTTTGGACATAGGAACGAACTGACATAATAATAAAGTCACTCATTAACAATATATATACTCTGTCTGACTTGTTATCAAAGAAATCACAGCTGGGAAAAATTGTTCCTTTGATACCAAGTCATGGTTCATCGTTCTTTACAGTATAAGGAAAACTATATTGCATCTGGATTCTTGCTCTTTTGTTTTTTTAATGTTTGTGTTAAAAGAAGTTGAGCCAGTTTTCCTCCCACCATACAATTGGCTTGACAGTATCTTTGAGGATATACCACTCGTAAATCAAAAATTGTCCTCAAAGAGTCACTAGATTGCTCCTCTGTTAACTTGGAAGCACTCGCTAAAAATATAAGAATTTAGCCTATACAAGACAATTTGCAGAAGATTCAGTTGGTATCATAATGGCTGCAAATGCAAGAAATAAACATGGCTTACAGAGAGCTAATAAAGCAATATCTTAGTGTCCTCATAAACTAGACAAGAACGTGACTCTATGAGAAATCTATAATCCCTCAGCAAATGTGTTGTGAAAGAGTTCCACCATCATTACGTCATCTTTAAGGTAAATAACCATGCTTAACATCTACCATCTTCATTTACATCATCATTGTGCAAAAGCATCACATTCATCATTTTTGTCGAAGCAGTATGCTGGACGTTTGTCGCCATGGACGTGGTTAGACGGATAACCTCACACCAGTCCCTCGTATCACACTGGTAGAGCATCCAATACGCTAATCGGAAGGTCGTAGGTTCGAGTCTTATGCCAAATATTCGGATTTCTTTAATTTCCTCCGGGCATGCATATCTCATTTCCTCATTACATCATCTTTCAATGCAAAAATGACACGCTTAACATTTACCATTTTCATTAATAACATCATTGCGCAAAAACATCATATTCCACATTCTTATCCTTGCAGTATGCAGTACGTTTGTCACAATGGATTTACTTGAACGACCTGGCCTGCCACAAGTCTTCTATCACTCAGTTTTAAAGCATCCGAAGTAAAAAATTGGAAGATCCTAGGTTTGACAAATTGGAAGATCCTAGGTTTGAATACTATTCGGAGAACTCGAAGTTCTTTATAGCTCCAAGCATGCTTCTGCTATTTACTCAATACATCATATTTCACGTAAATTACTAGGCTTAACATTCACAATCTCCATTAACATCATCATCGCTGGTATGGATAACAACTGTAAGATAAGTATCTTACAATTAAATTTCGAGAATGTTTGGTCATGCATATATGTATGGCATGGAACTTTCTAAAACGTCCTAATAGTTCACGTAGGTATGATATAATACTACCAAAATAATTGCGTCGTAAGCTTCCGGAATTTTTTAGAATGCTTTATAAATGTGTATAAGGTCTCAGTCGTAGTAGTTAGTTAATTGCTGTTGTCGGAAGTGACCAACTGTTTTGAAAGCTATACCTAGAGAGAACTTCTGTCCATCTTGAGGTACTCTGGAGAAAACTGAGTTTGTGTCGGTGGTGAGCTAAGATATAGACTGTACTAAGCCTAAGTAAGTTCATTGAGGATAACTATTGTATTGTCTATTGGAGTCGCTCCTTTTTCCGGCTTGCTCTTCCACAACAACTACGAGTACTACACGACTGAGTCCTTACATACATTTACAAAGTATTCTCGGACATTCCGGAAGCTTACAACACGACTATTTTGGTAGTATTACATCATAATTACGTGACCTAATAAAATGTTTTAGAAGGTTCCATGGTATGCATGTCAGCATGACTATATTTACAGTAGTTGTTCATAACAATTCATTTACACCCCTAAAATTTGGTGCTTGTGGAGGATTGGAGTTACATGTGTCTCCTCTGTTCGCGGTGCTTTGTCTTGTTTTACTTTGATCCACCTTCTCAAACGATTCTCGCAAATATTTTCTAGCAGCAACAAAATTCGTCCATTATCAGATGACATCTCCCCAGGTATTCCTCTCCGATTTACCGCCCTATAGAAACATTAAAAAAAAAACAGCGTCCTGCCTGACGCCATCTTCAAATGAACCGCCGCTGTCGCTAATCTCTTCTTGGCCGGCTATCATCTACAATCGATTCGACAAGGATTCTAGCGTGTGATTTGTTTCACTCACAAGGTGTAACCACTTGTTCCCATACTTTATCCAATCGATTACCTCTAAGTTTCCTATGAGTCTTTTCTGTGGTGAAGGCGTTAGTAGTTTTTCTCACGCTACGATCCAAACTTTTCATCTCAACTTCGACAGACATGGTTTTAAACGTTTCAGGTTGGCCGTTTAAAATGTTCACGGTTACTCGTCGGAGTTCCTTGAAGCTCGTGTTCGCCTACTACGTTGAAGCTTCATCGAGTAAAGCGGTCGCTTTGATTTTGCGGTCCTCATTTCTCAAAACCACAAGAACTGTTCGAAAGGCAAGAAAACTGTTTACCTACACTCTGCTGTGGCAGTCACAAGTGATCTCCCTACTTGTTTGTAACTTGTTCACCAGGCTCCCTAGTTTCCAAGTTTCGGGTCCTTTTCTGCGCTTGGAAAGCTTTGAGCTGCTTTGTCCTGGTCTAATGTTATTTGAGTCTTCTTTTCTGACTTGATTAGTCTTCTGCTTGTACTATACGTAGTAATTTGTTGTAAGGGGGGAATTTCCTTTTCATCATCATTGAGCAAAAGTATCGCATTCGTCTTTCTTATTATAAGGGTATGAGGGAAGTATGTCTTAATGGACTTAAATCACCAAGCGTAACATTAACCATCTTCATAAACATTATAATTGCACAAAAGCATCACGTTCGACATTCTAGCAGTATGAAGAACGTTTGTCACGTGGTTAAACGGCTTAGCCTACAAAGAGTCTCCTGAGGCTCTGTGTATCCGGGCGGCTAATCGGAAGATCGAATGTTTAAGTCCTATTGGGAACGCCCACAGTTCTCTTTTTTCTCCGAGTATTCCTGTGTCAATCATTTAACACATCACCTTTTATTTAAATCACCTGGCTCAACATATACCATCCTTTTTTAAATCAAGATTGTGCAAAGGCATCAGATTCGACATTCCTTTCCTAGCACCCTCGGCCAAAAAAATGGCTATGGACCTTGTTAAACCAAGAGATTATGAAGTGTATATTCTCACGCTCAAAGAGAGTGGCCGTAGCATCTGGAGGGCTAATTGGAAGGTCGAAGGTTCGATTGCTATTGTGAGCACTCGGAGGTCTACTTTTTCTGCGAGTATGAGCGTGTCATTCGCTCAATACATAATCTTTTACATAACTCAACAGGTTTAACATTTACCAATTTCATTTACTCGAGTACAGTTATCTATTACATTCACTCGAGTACAGTTATCTATTACAGTAACAAAATAGGAGTAATGAACATAATCTGACCTGAAAAATCTCGAGAAGGTCCTGTTAACCTTGTGGGTGAGGATCCTCGATAACGGATCCAGTCTAAATCATCACTTTGCTTCTCGTTAGTCCATCCACAGAGGTCCCTTTCAAATGTACAGTTTGCTATGTCATGAGAGGGACCAAAGAAAACTCAATAAGTGAACAATAAAAGATGAGACTATTTGTCAAAAAAAGGCCAGAGAGTTATAACATAGCAAGCAAATTCAGGTACCCAAATTCAATAGCGTGTGCGTGTTTCATAATCCAACTGTGTACCCCAATAACGTCACAAACAAATGCCTCGAGATTGGAAATTTTCCTCCGCGATTGCCTGCGAACTTCTTGACCAGTCTGACCGCGAGTTTTGAGATTTTCAAGAAGTTTTTTCCTGTTCCATCCGGATTAAAATAGACTTTTAGGAGCTCTATGAAAAAAGAACATGTAGGAAAGATACTCGATTTGGAAAGTGACTCAGCTACACGATCCGAATTATGGATGGAAAATGGATACTGAATTTGCTGGCAAAAGTGGAACTTCGCCAATTTCGGACCATCCTTTTTCCCGGTAAATAGTATTGATATTATTATTGATATGTCCTTGAAGTACTGTGCAATAAAAGAATTTGTTTTAAATATGGCAACTTTTCGAATTTTAAACACAACGTTTCGAAATTTTCTGGCTGTGAAGTCGAGCAAATAACGAATCTTCAACGCCGGTCGCATGTACGCAAGGAAAAAATCCGAGTTTTTCGCCTCTTAACGGTATAATTGTTATATAATTGATTAAAGCTTTATCTCAAAATATTTTTACGCTATTTTTTTGCCTTACCTTTGGTAGGTGGTAGGCGGTTATTTGGTTCTGAGATTTTTATCAAAAATTTGGATTTCTGAATACATTATGTCAAAAACCATCATTTTTTTAGTTTAGGAATAAGTTATTGACCGCGTTTTTTTTCATTAGTGCTTCTTTTGGTTAAAAGACAGTATAGTTTAGATTTATTGCGCGCTGTCTTTCACAAAAGTTTCCGGATTGTGAGAAAACAATATCCAAAATACTGCGTTGACATTATTATAAACCATTGGTTCATACGAAAGCTGTGCATTCATGGGATATGAAGCACTTGGTAGCTTTTTTGAGCACTCAAGAAGCTAGAGTTGCTCCTGGCTGCGCCTCGAGCAACTCTTACGCTTCTCTTGTGTTCTCCAAACTTTCCTCGTGCTTCATATCCCCTTGAACGCACGCTAATGTATGAATGTATCGTTAATTATCACATGATTCAACGGATAATCAAGTAGTAATTACAAAACGTTCTAAATTTTAAATACAACTTTTCAGCGACATGGACCTTTTCCCGGCCAACCTCGTTATCGCAGTACCGAAACAGAGACTTGTCCACAAGTATTCCAAACAAAAATGGTGAAACAGAGAATTAACTCTGAAGTGTAAATTAAAGTGCAACTTAAACCCATGAATAACCCACAGGGCGTTAGCCCTAATAAAGGGAAACAGGGAACCACACGAGGCAAAGAAAAAATCTTTTGACCTCGGTGGGAATCGAACCCACGACCTCCGGATTAGATCTACCGTTACTCTGCCGACTGAGCTACGAGGTCGCACAGAGAAAGTCGGAAACGATTTAGGATGGTGAATCGCGGCGAAGAGAAAGTAAGGGTACATATGAGCAGATACATCTATTATTAAAAAAATTAAGCCGAATTGCCGTCGCTCAAAACTCAACGAATTATAGTTGACAATCAAAAGCAATTAATAGGTGTCAGAAAGGATATTTGCTTACGCGTTTTCCGCGTTGTGTTATATTTATATAGGTCCCCTTCTCTTCCAGATATCGAAATTTGGTTTGAACTGTTGGGGCTAACTACTGTCAGCCCGGTTCATCGACGAAAATAAATTACCTTGATCGCCATTTACGAAGACCTTAGTCAATTCCAGCAACAAACGCACCAAAATCAAAGTGTGTTCCAACAACATCACGAATGACTTCTTAAACAATTCACAATCTTATCAGTGACCGTCCTGAAAAGAAAATTTTTGTTAGTACCAAGTCTTTTACAACTAACCACAATGTTTTAATATAACCACGATGTATCCCCTAAACAAGGATCGACAGCGCTAAGCTGGAATGAGCTTATCACCCATCACTTAGGTAAGGGATCTCCTACTGCACTAAGTACTATTGACGGCCGAACACGAATACGATGCGCATGAATTCGATGAAGAATCCTTTGAATCAATGACAAGGTTCCTGATTTGACAGTTTTCCACGATTAATACTGTTCGTGTAATCAAAATGTTTTTGCCGGTGTTTTCCTTAACGAACATGCTCTCTACATTACTTAATTAACAAATATCTACAGTGCAGAGACCGTACACACCTCGGCCATTCAATTTTTGAGCTACTCTTTTTCATTTTTTCAGGCCTTATTTTCACTACTGCCTAAGTAGTGCACATTACTGCGAGGATCACTTTCATTCACGTCTTTTTCATTTCATTAGCAACAACAAGAAGCTAACCTAAATTCATCATCAGTACAATTTTAAAAAAGGTCTCTGATCTGCAGCGGCAAATTAATTGATCTAACGCAAAGAAATTAAATAGGATTAAGGCTTTTCGTGGCTTTCTATGTGAGAACGAAATATAATTTAGTCTCGGCGGGCTATATGTTCTTCTTGAAGGGAGCTGTTAATTTTTCTGCTCATAATTAACAATAGTTCCACTTCCACTGATGAAATTGTGAAGCTTTGCTTCGGTCATTTTCCTGATCTGTTAAAATTTTGTTGAGAGGTTTTTGCCTGAGTTGTTTGCCACTGAACACCCCGCCTTGGTAGCCACTTACATTGCAAGAATACCTATTTGTTATAGGATAGGTAGTACAGCGCATAATCAAAGGTAATCACCCGATTTCCAGTGCGATGTGGACGAAATAGGTTAAAATTTTCAATGCCAAAAAAACTGCACAAACCGTCAGAGGAGTGTGATTTGTGGTCCTACTAATTTCATGACCTTGCCTGAGGCATCTGATTTCTTGTTGATGATACACATTTAGCCCCAACTGCCCACAGCTCTTCACACACTCAATTTCAACTTGAATTTGTTAACAAATTGCATAACATAAATCCGAAGGGAAAGCATGCATGCATCTATTTTCTGTTAAAAAAAGCAAAAAGAACTGCAAAAAGAAAAAGTTGGTCCCATTGAAAATCTACCTGAAATTTAGGGTTCAAGGCCTTCGTAACACGAGGGAAAGACATTCTTTTTTCAACGCTAACATAAAATGGTGGCTGTCTTATGCTAACACACTCGTTTTATCTCAATAAAAATCGAAACTCCAACCAGCTCGACGTCCTTTCTTCTCTCATTGGATTCTGGCAGGTATGGTTGGTTTAGGTTAATGAGGGTTGCCGTGCCAGTTGTGGCCTGTTTTGACTTTTCCTAATTGTTTCAGCCACCCTTTCATGCTTTGCCATATATATCGAGCGAATCACAATATTAGTTTTCTGTGTGATTTATAAATGAACAATAGTCTCCATTTGGCCCGAAAATATGAACGGATATTTTACCACGGACACTAATCTGTTCCAAGATGCAAACAGTTTTCCGAGCTCTGTGTTCATTATGTCCAACTTTGCATCTGAGAGAATGAAGATGTGGCATTTTACATCCCCTGAACCTTCTGCATTCCTGTAAATTGCGACTTGCACTTTCCCTTTTTCCTCATCCAATATAATTCCTGAACCATGAAGCTTTTATAAGAGATCTATAAAGAGATAAAATCTCTCACTTGAATAGAAGACAGTTCATTCATTGAATTCTTCTCCTTCTCGAATCTTCGCCTGACTTCTTGCCACATATCCCTTTCCTTCATACCTTGGCTGTACACTTTATTAGGGGTTCCACCTATGGATATTTTTACGTAGGTGATGTTAGGAATGAATTTCTTCTCACTGTCTTTCGCTCCAGCTGCCTAAGGTTCATAGAAGAGGAGAAGAATTCATTTCATTGGCCTTCTCTAAAAATTAATGCCCCGGTAAATGATTGAATCAGCTCCTTTTGAAATTGATAAAGGAGGTAAGTTTCTAAAGAAACTGTGGTGCTGCGTTGGTGGGAGAGTATAACAGCGATTGACGAAGGGCTAACGCTCAAAACGTCAGCTTTTCTATCCTTTGCGGTGGCTAATTTGCGTTATCAACTCAGTTGTTAACACTAAATTACCTTTTGAAATTGAGATTGTATCCACACGAGTCACATGCTCACACACGAAATCTATTTCATCAGCGTAGTTAGATCCCGTTTCGTCGGCAAGTTTTTTATTGTGAATCATTTCACAGTCAAGTTGGAAGGTGTTCACTTCATATTTGCAACATTACTTGTAGGTACGAGCGTGACTTTGAAAGTACGATAATTTGAAAGACCTTTCGGATGGAAGTCTCCATGATCAAAATCGCATGATCTAAGCGAATTCTGTTCTTTTTCCCATGCACTTGAGTGAGTTTGATCTCTTTCGTAACACTTGACCTTTTCTTACATCCAGCATTGCATCTGATCTTTGAAAGATCTTTAGACTGACTACCTTCTCTCAGAGAAGAGGTCTTCGCAGAGCCTGAAGAGATCATAGCCAACCGTATCTCAGGGGATTTCTCCGGTGAATTTCACGGTACATCTTTCAACAAGAGCTCTTGATGCATTGTTTACAAGGACATTGTTTGCATGCCCATTCATTGACAGATTGAAGATCCTGGCACAGGGACTACTCCTTCATCAAGCTTTGGAACGGGAACAATCAGAATTTGACCCGGTTTTGCTCTGTCTCGATTGATTTGCTTTGAGAGCTTTTGGTGTTTTCCCTTTTTTTACTTGGTTTGATTCGCCTATTATATATCCTTTTTTATTTGAAGATATTTTATTTGAAGATTAAAAAATGGCAGAATTTCGTGAAGATGATCCTATGCTTGATGAACAAGGAAAATCAAATGATGGATAAGATAATAAAGATGATGGAGATACAGTAACACCTTTTCAACCTGATTATAATTCAACTCCTGGTCCATCAGGTGAACAAATCGAAATGAAGACTGCTGGATCAGTGTTTAGACTTTTTGCTTAA